AGCGGTAGAAGCTGTAGAAGTTCTGGCCACCTTCGCGGGCGTAGAACTTGTCATCGGCGATGGTCGCCTTGGTGTTGCTGGCAATGGACCGGCGGTAGTCGCCGACGAGCACGTCCAGGTGCGACGGCATGTGGCACAGATGCCCAGATTCGGGGATGAGGTCGCGGAGATGGTCGGCGGGAACGAGGGCCGCCTCGGGGGTGGTGGACATCTCCATGAGATGGATGTACATGTGGAGGATGCCCGGGTGAGATTTGGCCATGGGGTCTTTAAGACCTCGTTCAAGGACCTCTTTGACTTCGAGCACCGGCGTCGACAGAATGGGTTGGCCGGTGCTAGCTTCGTAGAGACCCCATGGACTGACGTTCATGAGGGCGTCCGCGAAGAGCGCGGTGAGGTCGAGATCATCCTCGCCCCGATGTTCGTGGTAGACAGCCCGCATGGCGTCGGCGTAGGCTCGATTCGTGGCGTCAAAGTCCTCGATGACGCCGTCCGTGGGGAACCGGTGTTGGATGGCTTGGACGAGGCTCTGCTCGAGAGGTGTGGCAGTAGAGAGATGGGCGAGTCCAGCACGGGGAACATGGTACGTCTTCTGAACGGTGCGGCGTAGATCGGCTTCGTCGAACGCAGCCCACTGTTTGTTGTAGTTGGGGCCCGTAGCGAAGGCCACGCCCCAGTAGCCCATGACACAGGTCGGGTCATGGGCAAGTACCTGCTGGAAACATTTTTCAGCCTCCTGATGATTAAATGCATAGGCCCAGGTGAGGCCACGGTTGAACCAGATCTGCGCATCAGGGCTCGTGGTGCTGATCTTGCGGCCGAAAGAGCCGAGATCATAGTATTCTTGGCTGGCAGGCACCGGGGTGGCCTGCAAGAATTGATGTGCCATGATGAATGTGAAGAAGATGGGTTGAACTAGACGAGAAGAATGAAGTAGAGAGGAGAACAAAGAAGAAAGCAAAAAAGAGGGGTCGGGTCGTATTTATAGTTGGATGCAGGTCGGTGATCCCCTCTCGGTGATTGCTGATATCACGGTCAAAGGCCGAATTTCGCCGACTTCTCGGGGATCCATACTTCTTCTTCATCCACTTGAAGACCGACGAGACCCAGTCAAGCACATAAATATCATGCCATATCCTGCTCCATGTAACTAACCATATCTTCAGCTCCAATCATTATCATCAGACCATTGACGAATCTCAATTGAACCATACCACCCACCATGCAGCCCATCACCCTCTACTCTCACCAATACGGCCCCAACCCATGGAAAGTGGCCCTTATCATGGAAGAACTGCAAATCCCCTACACCACCACCTTCGTCAACTTCGTGGATGTCAAGCAAGAGCCGTACACGCTCATCAACCCGAACGGCCGCCTCCCCGCCATCTACGACCCCAACACGGACCTGCACCTCTGGGAATCCGGCGCTATCACCGAATACCTCATCGAGAAGTATGACGTCGAGCACAAGATCAGCCCCGAGGGGTTCGCCGAGAAGTACCACGCCAGACAGTGGCTGTATTTCCAAGTCTCCGGGCAAGCCCCTTACTACGGACAGGCGTCGTGGTTCATCAAGTTCCATCCCGAGAAGGTGCAGAGTGCCATTGAGCGTTACCAGAAGGAAATCCATCGCGTGTGTGGAGTGCTCGAGTCGGTGCTGCTGAAGCGGGACTGGCTGGTGGGTGATAAGTGCACCTATGCGGACCTGTGCTTCGTGGCCTGGCAGCGGTTTGGGCCCAACTTCGGAGGGGAGGATCTGTATGAGAAGTTCCCGAAGGTTGGGGCGTGGATGAAGAGAATGGAGGCGAGGGAGACTGTGGCTAAGGTATATGCGGATCAGGATAACGCTATCGTCGCAGAGGTTGAGAGCAGGAAATAGATCAAAGAGTTTACTAAGGAAGGATAATCTTGGGTGTTGTTATTATATACATCGAAAAGAGTATAGAAGTTGAAGAGTTGCTCAAAGCAGGATAAAAAGCCTTACAATACCCAGTGGCCTCTCCACCAATGCTAGATACTGTACCCAAATCCCGCGGTAGCAACTCAAGTGCATCAGCCACGATCCGCAAAAGTCGAGTTATAAGCAGAATCCATCTCGCGTGCCATCTGACGGATGCCTTCAAACAATGAATTCCTCTTCATCGCAATATTCAATGATTCAGCCCCATGTCGTAGTTCCTCCATGAACCTCTCGGCATCCTGGATCTCCGTTGTCGGATCCGGATAGGAAAGCAGGGGATAGCAGTACGAAAGGCGATCTGACACCATCGCGGCGCGCATCCGATACAGCAACATAAATAACGAGTAGCCGGATTGCATGGAAGTGCATGCAAAATACGGTAAACCGTGCGGGTACCTGCAAGATAGATCAGGGCTAGACGTCAGCGGATCTACTGGCTCATGTCCTGTTTCTGCGCTCCTGGGACCGCATGATGTGGGATATGGTAATGAGCGGAAGATGCGCGATATGGTGAGCGACGACTTGAGACAGATGATTGACGACTCCATCTCAGTGAATGGAAAGACAGCTTCGAAATCAGGAGGACTCTTGGGATAGGCCGACGCTGGTAGAACGCCATTTTCCTCGATGGCAGTTAGGTCGCAATGTTTCTCGTAGAATATTGGAATGTCCATGAATGCCCTGAACCGATGGAGCTTATTTCGGGCACTGCGTGTCATATTCTTTTTGTTAGCCCCAAATGGCGTTCTTGTTTTCTCCAGCACTTACACATGAATTTCAAGACGAGCAACCATTCCCAGGCTTTGTGCGGCAAGACCTTCAACGCCTTCTTTGCGAACTGGACCTGTGAATAGGTCGCATTGCGTTATCAATGACAAGATGTGAGAGTCCATGTGACGGATCTGATCACGTAGATGCGGCGATGTGGAAGGAGTTTTTCCACCGATGCCACATTCCCTGAGAAGATCGGAGACGGCCAAGAGGGACTCTAGCGCCTTGATCAATAGTGGCCATGGCTACATTCAACAATCAGCGAGTGAATCTAGTAAGGAAGCGAAGGAAAATTGTGCCCATACTTCTGGCTTCCCTAATCGAGCATCAAATACAGGGTATGGCGTGGATATTCGTGGGTCCGATGAATTGATAATCGGCGACTGTTTGAAGCGATGAGAAGCCGTACTGATAAGATTATATAATGAACCATACCGTTTCCTGTAAAATCGACGATAGAAATACTGTAAACATCTAGTATCTGTTAGCCGAGATCACCATCAAAGCAAAAAATAAAAAAAATAAAAAAAGGGGGAAGAAAAAAAAAACTGACCGACGTCCACCATGCGCGCCGTTGCGCCTCAGACGCATTTGATCCCAAATTATGAATAGAGAGATCCATGGCCGTCGTCATCGCCTGATTAGCACGGGTGCGCATCCGGGCTACATTCCCCCGCTGGCAGTACTCATAGATACTCAACGCCACAAGGGCCAGGATCGGATGCAATCGCATCGGCACATTAGGATGAATGATCCCTTGCTCTGGCGAAAAGTTCGAACCGTTGACGGAAGTCAGATCATCGATTTCCCTTTCCGCACTGATGAGCGCAGATTGTGCGTAAAGTCTTGCGTACTCGCGCCTCATCCAGACGCTGCACACGCTGGAGGGAGTCGGATTTTCGTCCGGAGGAATCAAGGCTAAAATTGCACATAGCGCTAGACTCAGCGAGGACCTCGGCCAATAAGGTAAAGAGGACTGCTCAACAGTGCAGGTTTCTCCAGGAGGGGGCTGAAACGCAATGTCCCGATCCTCGTACAGTGGCACTGTAGGAGAAGGTAGTAGGGAAAGATATGGATGGATGTAGATATAGTAGGCATTCGCTCTGCGCATCAAGTTAGCCAGCTGCGGCCCTTGATCAATCGCTCCACAAATACCAGATGGAAAACGCACATATCTTCTTCCGATGTATAGACCCTCAAACTAGGAGAAGCCGAAGCTGTCTCACTCCTAGAGCTTGTCGTGTCCATGGGCTGCCATAGAAATTCAGTCTCCACATCTGTGCTCTGCATGCCACTAAAAGGAGACAGCAGGCCAATGATGCTCTGGAGACTAGAATCAATCGACTGCGGAGGAATCGGACATGCTGGGACTGAGACCGGATTGCCATTTGAGATACCGACTGCGGGAGTCGATATCGATGGGGACCTTGGCGGCGCTGGTTGGGGATGCTGCTGCTGAGGCATCTTCGGACTTTGAGTTGTGCTGCCATATTTGGTTCTTCGGCGTGGTCCACCTCGCCTGCTGGGCTGATAGTGACATTCTCTGGACCTTTCCATGCACTTGAAATGACAGTTGGTGTTGGTTAATTTGCCGGGTTCTCCACCGGGGGTTGGCGGGTTCGTCGAACTTACAGGCTTACATGGATGTTGTCCGTCACAGCGCGTCTTGGATGTGCGGCTGGGGCCTCGTTAGTAGTTGCTCCACTGACCTGGACAAGTAGACTCACCAAGCCAGACAGGCTGCTTTGACTGGTTGCGTCACTACTCGCGGCATAGCGAAGGGGCAATCGGCGTGGATGGCAGCAGAGGAACGGACTGAGGCTCGGGCTTTGAAGAATCGGTGATGGACGGTGATGTAAGTGTCACATGACATCACGTGATCTCTAGTAGGGACACTTGAGGTACTCTGGAGTCAATATCTTGTGGCTTTCGAGAAATCCAAGCCGGATGGGATGGATTGAGAAAGGTCAAGATAGGTCCAGATTAATTCTGGTTTGGATTATTCTGGAATCTGTGTGGGCAGCACTTCCACCGATCTCGCAAGCCTGGCCACTCGGTGTTTGACGGTTGACGGTGTCTGCTTGGGATGGTCCCATGGTTAATGGCCGTCAGTCGAAACTCTACAGGATGGGACTAGAAATGACTGTGTAGGAATTTGATGACGTTAATTGTATTTTTAACCTCCAATAAGCCACACCCCTGTTCATTAACAAATTATATCCACAAATGTATTTCCTTCTCCGTTTCCCGTCTCGTCTTGCCACCATCATGCCTCTCCCTGTTGCTGCTTCCATTCGCGTGCTCTCTGTAACAGCTTCGACAGATTCGCCGACGACTGGTCGTCCGCCGGGAACACGTAGTCCATGTATTCCTCATAACGGTCGTCGTCCATCTTGCGGCGCTTCTTGGCCCGTCGAGGCATCTGTTTCTCGATCTTCTCGATGTCCTCGGCCGAGCCATGCGTATGTTCGAACGATCGCCAGGCATTGAGGAGTTCCACGCGCTGCGTACATATTAGTATTCTGTTCCTGGTATGACGGGTCGAAAAGTGAAATCTCACCTCTTCCTTGAGCTCCTTATCCTTGAACACCTTGTGTGCCCGCTCGAAGATCCCCCGAGCACGTCGCTTGGCCTCGTCGCTGATCGGCCGTTCCTCGTCTTCTTCCTCTTCCTCCTCGTCTTCCGGGAGGTTGATCTCGAACCGCGCGTAGTTGATCCAGACCTTGACGTGGTCGGTCTTCTCCAGAAGACGTTCGTAAAGCTGTCGCACCCGTTCGTATTCGCCCTCGTATTCCTCAAAGTCAATGTATGACTTCCACACGAGTTCGGGCATATCCAGAGTCGGCTGGGCGATACCCAACTCGTAAATCGCGCGCGCACGATCGGCATCATCCAGACCTCGCTCCAGCTCGGCGAACTGGATCCAGGACTGACTGTTGGACGAGTTCCACTCGATCTGTTTCTCAAACAGCGTCCGGCATCGCACGAACTCGAACAGCTGGCGCTCCAGATCGATATAGCCCCGGAACAGCTTGTCCTTGGGGCACATACCGATCGCCTGCCCCATCGTTCTACGAGCAGTGGGGAGATCCATTTGTCGGACCTCAAACTGCGCCTTCATGAGCCAGAGCTTGGCAAATGTGAACTTTTTGTGAGGCACCAGCTTCAAGCATTCGTTGTAGACCTGGCGAGCACGCTCGATATCCTTCGCCTCCGTCTCCTCCCAGATGGCGTAGAAGAACCAGAGGTAGATATACCGCCGCCAGTGACGCTTCTCCTGCGACGGGGGGATCTGTGCAATCGCGCGTTCATAGGTGTCGCGGACCCGCTCAGGGTCGCCGGCATTTTCCTCTAAGCGGGCAAAGTCGAACCAGATGTCGTAGTTGCGCGGGTTCTCCTTGAGTTGTTCCTCGTACTGAACTCGGCGCTTGGAAAAGATCACATCCTCCACCCCCGTCTGATCGCCATACTGCTTTTCAAACGTCGTGTACGCCTTGTGCAACGTGATCGACTTGGACCGTGGTAGCCGGTCCAGAGCATATTTGTAGATGGCTCGCGACCGCTCGTATTCCTTGAGCTTAGCCTCGAACTTGGCGTACGCGATGAACAGCTTTTCGTCCATGAAATCCTCCCCGAGCGTCTCGATTGCCATTCCGTACACCTCTCTCACCAGGTCACTCGTCCCGTACTCCTCTTCAAAGCGAGCCCACTTGATCCAGTTCCTCGGCTCGGGATGCACGATGGTAAACCGCTGGAAGATGTTGCGTGCCCGCTCGAACTCGTTGTATCGCTTCTCGAGCTTGATATACGCGCTCCAGGCGCCCTCATCCGGCTCCCACGACATCCACCGCTCGAACACCTGGCGCGTACCCGGGATATTGCCCAGCGTCTCCTCCATGTAGACATACTTGTACCAGAGCTTATCGACGCGGGGCAGGATCGTCACGGCGCGATCCAGCAGGTTCCGCGCGTGGTTGATATTCCGGGTCCGCATCTCCGCCTCGATGTAGCGAATCCACAAGATCACCGACGTCGGGCTGACGTCCAGCGCCCGCTCGAAGATCGATCGCGCACGACGGAATTCCTTCTGTTCCAGCTCCCATGCGGCATAGCGCATCCAGTTGTTCATATTGATTCGGTTCCGGCGCACATAGTCCTCGAAGTCCTTTCTCTTGCGACCCTGGTACTCGTGCAGTTCTTCGAGGTCCGCAAACCGCTGCGTCGGCGCCTGCAGCGTAGGCTCCTGCCGGTCGACAGCCTCGCGGAGCAGCTGCTCCGCTGAGATCTGGACCGGCGCAGCGGCCTTGTTTTTGACCCTGGGAGGGCCCCGTGACGACTCCATGTTGGGCGGACGGAGTTGGCGTTGTTCAGTGCTCGCGACGCGGCCTAGAGCCGTAAGGTTCGATCAATTCGGAATCCTAAGATAGTACTGTTGATTAAAAAGGATCGAGCCTGGGATCCCACAAATGGACTGCAGGCCGAGCACCGCAGGGTTAGCTTTGAGGTTGGTCTGAAGTTCGAGTCGCGGAGCTTCGATCGGCCACCAAAAGTCGAACGGCTGCGGTAGTGGTCCGCGCCGCCACCCCCTCTGCCTGACTAAGCGACCAGCGGCCCAAATCGGTGGCGGCGCATTCAAAACCTCGCTTTCCTTTGACCTTTCAATTTATTTACTTATACGGTTCCTCACCGGTCCTGTCCACCATGTCTACCGCCGAAGAGCTCTTGCGGGATTTCGAGTCAGACGAGGAAGATCTCCAAGATCTTCGGCAAGAAGAGGGAGGAGGCGAGGAGGAGCCTCTCATCGACGAGGAGGAGGAGCATCGACAGAAAACCGGCCCTGAGGTCACCAACGAGTTCGAAGTCGCCCTCTCGACAGGCGATGAACTGACGCGATTACACAAAGTACTACGGGACTATTACTCGATTCGATTCCCAGAACTAGAGACCCTCGTGACAAACTCGATCGAATATGCCAAGACCGTTGCTATCCTTAAAAATGGCCCTCTCAACGACATCAAAGCGCTGTGGACGTCGGCAGACAACATGGTCGGCGCGCCTCTGCAATCGGTTCTCGATAGACCGTCGCTGATGGTTGTCACTATGGAAGGCACGACAACTCGAGGACGCGAGATGACCCCGGCGGAGCTGAAGACGGTGCTTGATACCTGCGAGAGAATTTTGAAGCTGGATCGAGAGCGCACCGCTCTGACGGAAAGCATCCAGTCTCGCATGAACCAGATCGCGCCCAACCTAGCAGCGCTGATCGGTCCAGAAACGGCCGCTCAGTTCCTAAACCAAACGGGTGGACTAAAGGAGCTGGCGAAGATTCCCGCGTGTAATCTGGGTGCTCAGGGCAACAAGAGAAAGGAAGGGCTGGGTCTTGCTACGAACATTGGCATCCGATCACAGGGGTTCCTCTACGAGTCCCCGCTGATCCAGGACATCCCGAACGACCTGAAGCGACAGGCCATCCGCATTGTCGCTGCCAAGATGGTTCTCGCTACGCGGGCAGACGTTTCTAATTTTAGCCCCGACGGGTCATTGGGCGAGGACTTAAAACAACAGTGCTTCCAGCGGCTGGAGAAACTGACGGAGCCGCCGCCAAACTCCGGTACCAAGGCACTCCCCGCTCCGGATGACAAGCCGTCCCGCAAGAGGGGTGGACGACGGGCTCGAAACGCCAAGGAAGCGGTGGCCATGACTGAAATCCGCAAGGCCCAGAATCGCGTTGCGTTTGGCAAGGAAGAAGCGGAGGTTGGGTACGGCACTGGCGAGGGTACGGTGGGTCTGGGCATGCTGGGCCAGCAGAATGACGGACGAATTCGCGCTACCCAAATCGATCAGAGAACCAGGGCTAAGCTTAGCAAGTCCAACAAGGGATGGGGCACGGCGACACCCGCCAGCGGCACTGCGTCGTCGTTGCGTACATTCGGACAAGGCGGTCTGGGAGGCACGGCCAGCGTTCTCAGCGCGAAGGGTCTTCGCAGCTCTGGCATCGGTACTTCGTTGGGCGCAGGGTCGGCGGGTACCGCGAGTACCATTGCATTCACGCCTGTGCAGGGTCTCGAGCTGGTTGACCCGAAGGTTCAGGCCGAAATGAGCCGGAAACGCAAGGCCGAAGAGGACCGATGGTTCAAATCCGGCACCTTCACGCAAGTTGGAGGCAACCAAAACAACAACAATAATAATCAGCGGACAGATAGCGCAGGGTTCAAAGTGCCGGCATTGCCTGCCAACAAGAAGGTCGACATGGGCGAAGGCAAAATGGCACCGCCTCCGGCGCCATTGAAGCGGTAAACTGGGGTTTGTGATATGTCTTTGAACGAAAGCATTTCGAAAGAAAAAAGAAACGGCGTTTTTTTTTTTTCATTTTTATCTCGGGGACCGGGGATCCTCGAGGGGAATTTTTGCGCATGATACCAAGTTCAATCAATGTATAATAGGTTTCGAAATGACAAGCAATCTTCCAAACCGGACAGGCAGGAGTCAGGGCTTACTCACCGTTGGGGATCTTTCATCCGGGTGATCGGTTCTACGAACCATGGAACCCTCCGGCTGTTGGAATCGCTCCGGCGTCTTTCCCAAGAATGTGAAGCAAGGACCATGGATTGCGTGAGATGGGAACTTCTGTCGTGCGATTGCCCCAAATCGGCAAAGTGTGGTGTCAGCCACTTTTGCCCCTGAGTTTTTTTTTTTTTTTTTTCTCCCCTTTCCTCTCTGAGGCCTTCCTGATTCTCGGTAGGAATAGTAGTCAGGAAGTCTACACTACCGGCTAAGGATCCGCCTCGGGCACTTTCTTTGTCCGTTTCATAACGGCGGACACGCGAGATCAGACTCTGTCGCAATAAGCATAACTTTAAGTCGTGAAACCCACCGAGGGACCAATCGGCGTGGCGTCCTTTCTTTGCCTTCTTGTTGTAATTTTTTTTTCCCTCCGACTGATTCCCCTTTTGCCATCCGAACGCGACAGATCGAGCTCGTCAGCGTATTGCGTGCTTTTTGGAAATTCTGTCTTCATACCGCTCCGGGGACCCTTTTCCCTTAGGGCTGGCCTTGTAGTATTTCCTTTCCTCGTAGTCCTTCCTTTTCCCTCTTTTTTCTCTCTCTCTCTTTCTCTCTCTCCGGTTTCTTCTGTTCCCTATAGATTCCTGATCTTGTTTTTTTCCCTTTGTCCTTCCCCCGTAATTGTTAGTTTGTTCTTCCCCAGACTGCTTTCTCTTTCCCCAGTGTCGATTTAATTGTCCTATCTACCGAGTCACCTCAGTAGACAAGACACCTTGCAAGACATCAAGACAAAGAAACAGAACAGAACAGAACCAATGGCTCCCGAAATCGGCAAACCTGTCTTCGTCACACCCCCAGAGACAACGACAACAACGGCAGACACCACCAGGGAATCCTCTCCATCGGAACCCCTTCCCACCGTCTCGTCATCATCATCTCCCTCTCTCTACCACCACAGCCTCATCACCGATGACTTTGACGCTCTGAAATTCCACGCTGCTGCCGCCTTGCAGCTGCAACTGCACAGTCCCAGTGCTCCCAATGATGCCAAACCCACTCACCCCCAACTCGCCCTCCCCTCGAGCACCCGCCTCATCGCCTCCCCCTACAACTCCCCGCCTCATCTCCTCGACCTCACGACGCTGGACACGGCGAACCGGCTCCTCGCGCAGGCATTGACGATCTTGAAACCCGTGCGCGACGACTACGCGACCGCGCCGTACGAGGAGTCGCTGAACTGGCCGGCTGTGTTCTCGTTCCTGCGTGATCTGGCAGCTGCGGAGGGAGGCGAGTTCGAGTGGACGAAGACGCATTTCTACGTCGTGGTCTTCCGGTCAAAGTTGCAGGAGGGGATCGATAACCAGCGCCTGCATGATCTGGATGCCTACTCGCATCAAGAGGCTACTGTTAGCGGCGGGTTGTTGAAGTATTGGTTCGGATCGAAGGATGCGGAGAGGCAGAATTTGGCAACTTGTGAGTCTTCTCCTTTGATTTTGTTCTTCATTTTGTTTACGGGAGGGAAGAAGAGAAAACGGAAGTGAATGTGAAAGCTGACGAGTGGTGAATAATGCAGGTCTATGGCGCAGTCGCCAAGATGCACGAGCAGGGGGTACGGGCCCGTGGCACAAGAAGGCGCGCGGGGCAGCCCGGGAGATGTACGAGAATATCACCTTCACGACGTTGAAGTTGGAGGTTGGCGACGGGGTGAAATCGTGGGGTTTTGGGAATTGGACGGAGGAGGATGTGTAAGTTGGATGAATAAGTTGGATCACAGATGGTTCATACTACTGAGTACGGAGTACGGAGTACATGCACGTGCACATAACCCATTCTGGAAGCGAGTTAGATACCTTTTTTTTTTGTCAATTTGTCACTGTTTAATAATAGTTACTATTTGGGTGATCTGAGAACTTCCCTGCATATGGAGTCCTCCGAGTCTCCGATGTTGTTCAAGAAGCGAGGTCCACTCTTTCTGCTAATGCTCAATGTAGACTGGCGGTACCTGGAGAAGACTCCGTAGTATCCACATGGTGGCAACGCCTTCTAATGCAGAGGATCTTACTGGAAGAGAAAGGACCTCTGGTTGGGCTCTAGCACCCCTCCTTCTGGACTGCGTTCGAATCAAGTATCTTTCCACGCCCAATATTTATCAATAATGCTTGCGTCATTGGTCATTGTGCCCTTGCGCGGACCGTCACACGAATTAACATGCGGGTCTATCGATGGCTGAGGGCTGCCCGCAAATGGCAATAGAGACTGCCAAGAGAATCTGGCAGTCTGCATACTCTGCAGCCATATCGCATGATACTGACAATAATAGCATAAGTTCGGGACAGAAAGTGCACCTATCAAATTAGTGCCTTTACCCCACTCCTAAGTGCCCATCACCATGTATGATATAAATGGAGAGGACCACCTTTCTGCTACTTTTAATTTAGAGGGCCGCGTTGATGCTGAGTAGCACAAAGTTCATGTATGTGCAAAGTCCTGGTGTCTGAGAGATCCTACTTGGTCAATCAACGTATCCTGACCAGTGTCCAAACCACCGAGATGAGGGATACAGTCGACGTTAACGGAAGCGGAAATGTGTCTCCGACAGCAGTCTGCACCTGCGCAGCCGAATCAATTTCCAATAGCCAGCATTGTTTGATTGTTTGTCCACAGACAATGTCAGAGACATTGGGAAATTCATGCTCTTGAAAAAGTCTTTGCACCTCGTCACTAGGAACCTCTTCTTATGGATTAGTGCCTTGAATAAGCTCGAACAAGGTTGATCCAAGGACGAACAGATCCGTAGCCACTGTGGGCGGATCTGCCCAGTGCCGTGGAAGGAAGAATCGGATCCCCTCGCCAGATGCGGGCTTCGACCCGTCGAGCGACGACGGAGAAGTCAATGATCTTAATGTCAAGAGCCGCGTCCAACAGAAAGTTTCGTGGTTTTACGTCGCAATGAATCACCCCATTTCTATGTAAGAGCTCGACGGCCTCTGCGGCTTGATATGCCCACTTCAATTTGAGGTTCGTTGGTATCGAGCCATGGGTCTGTAGATATGCCTTAAGATCACCGCTCCCCATATATTCAAGCAGGAGACCATCCCTGGAATGACCCAGTAGCTGAACAAACCTCTTATGGGGTCCAATACGATGATAAATAGCGGCTTCTTTGGCGATGTCTAAGACATGGCTTTCGATCTCTGAATCAGGGAATGGTGACTTAAGTGCAGTCCCATCATCCATAGCTCCACGATCCCTGTGATGCCTCCCGAGATGAACTGGCCTTGGGCGTCCTTTGTATTCGAATAGACCTTGCCATCTATCCTGGCATTATGATCTTCGTCGGGACCCATTCCTCTCTGTCGTTCAATGGTTAGCGAGGCTGGTTTGCCGGCAAAGTAATGAAATGTAGTATCGTACGGTTTCAACGCCTCCAACAGGGGGCCGACCGATCAGGTGCGGCAATGATGGCATCCAATGCCATGTCCAATCTATGCCGAAAGACCATATCGCCAAAAGCCACCGCGGTCTTCCAATCCAAAGACCAAATGCCATTCTGGACGTGACACTTGTCGATGGTGGAGCAATGAGGTGATTAAGTTAGTAATACCATCCAACCAAGGGCACAGAGCAAGCATATCACGTGAAGGTACGGGACCACTAAGCCTGTCTAAGCCGGATCGGGTTAGCCTGTAGTCTAGGCGATGTTCCCTGAGGAGTCAATTTGGGGCAAGAAGCCGCGAAGATCTAAGCCTATTCCGGAAAGGGAGATATACCCCGCCTTCCAGCAGAGTCGTGGAACTATGTACAAATCAATCTACTTAAGGAGTGTCGCAACCAAGGCAAGATGCATTCTCGCAATTCATCCGTCTGTTCCATCCCTCCATAACCTTCCACCATGCCTGGCGTGATCAGCGACTCCAACCTCTCCGTCGTCGACGGCCCCTTGACCTCCGAGAATGCCGCTCTCCTGCGCCCCTCCGACCCAACCCTCCCCGTCGAGGAGCTGCGCAAGCGATACAACGAAGATGGCTATATTTTTCTCAAGCAGGTGCTGCCCCGCGAGGACGTCCTTGAGGCCCGACGAAAGTACTTCGACTATTTGGCTCCCACGGGTGTCCTAAAAGAAGGGTCTGACCCCGTCGGGGGCATCTTCAACCCCACTAAGTCGATCGACGAGTACCCCGGCATTGGAGCCGGGCATGTCGGCGGAAATGGTCGACCGGGGGGCGACAACGCAGCGCAGTTCGTCGACCGTGCCATCGAGGCCCATTATAAGGACTGGTATACGAAGAACTTGGTCAACCACCCCGCGCTGTATGACTTCATCGCCAAGTTCACGGGCTGGGGAGCAGATACCTTGACCTTCAAGCGGACACTGTTGCGGAATAACATCCCTGGGTCGAAGCCGATTGGCGTTCATTACGACCAGATCTTCTTGCGGTATGGGGAGCCGACAAGCGTCACGGCTTGGGTTCCTATTGGTGATATCAAGATCAACGGAGGGGGGTTGATCTATTTGGAAGATGGTAGGTTTGCTTGTGGCCTGGTGCGAATGAATGTTGAGCCGAATCTGACTGTTATCAGGCGATCCGGTGGGTTTGAAGTGTGAGGAAGAGTTCACCAGCAGGGCAAAGCAGGCTGGTTTGTCGGAAGAAGAGGCCAGGTCGGCCTTCAACTCCAACATGATGTCGACAGGTCTGCTCTCCGAGTTTCCTGCTCAGTTCGCAAAAGAAAATAACCGGCGTTGGCTGGTCTCTGCCTACGAGGCAGGTGATGTTGTGCTGCACAAACCCCACACGGTAAGAGTTCAGTTGCGTGTTCTTGGTTCCATCGACTGACAAAGTCTACTAGATCCACGCGTCGACCATCAACAATGACCAGGACAACGTCATTCGACTAGCGACGGACCTGCGTTTCTGCGACTCCTCCAAACCATATGACAAGGTGAGCACGAATGCCCATGTCGGAGACTGGATCATGCTAATCGAGTTATAGCGGTGGATGAACCATTATCAGTTTAACGATGGTGTTTGAGCGGATTGATTCTGATTTCCTTTGTCAAATTTGAAATCAGTGCGCCTGTACCTTCTTTAATAAGATATGATCTTTCCCCGAAAGTATGGATTCTGTCACATGCACCTTGTGGCTTCAATATGCAAATGGTAATGGGCCAAAGAACTCTTGAAGCGTTCCATTAGATCTTAACGACACCCATAAAATGTAGATCTAGTGTTCGCGCACAAAGGAACCACAGGAGGCTCTACCCATCTAAACTATCTCGGTAAGTATGCGCGGCTGCTTATCAAGTACGACTTGAGCCGTTCGAAGTGGTCAGGATAACCGTACAATGTCCCACTTACTTACCATGCCTTCGTCATTCACGATACTTGACCTGCTGTAAAACCGAACGACGAGCTAACGGAGCAGCCGCTGTGACTTGGTTATGAAAATAGTCGTTTACCTCGGTTCTGCCTTGGCAACCACGAATGCCTCCCGCAGTTTGTTTTGGTATTCTTCTTGATCCTTGAGTTTCTTCGCAAGGAAACCCTGCATATCCGCACTCCAATAGGGCGCCACCGCTTGCTCCAACCTGTCCACTCCGTCAACGTCCAGCTTTGTAAAAATAGGTTGAATGTGATCGAGGAATATGTTATACAGCCCTTTCAGGTTGTCAAGGGCATGAGAATACCAGAAGCTCCCGTTTTCCAAGCCCCGTTTTATGATCCTTGTTAAGCTGAAAGCCCCGGGTTCCTTTTCGGATAGTACTTCTTCCTCGTTTGAAAACGCGTCCATAAATTCGCTATGCATATGTTTGAAAGCATTGAGATGCTCCCCCTCTTCCAATTGGTCCACACCACGACTAGTAAGCCAGTATGGGGGATGTAGCATTTCAATTGGGCGTGAGCATGTCCACTCTAGGTCAACAAGACACTTGATGTTCCAGTCGCCGTCCACAAAGATGTTGCTTTGATGTAGATCCGTGAGATTTAAAATGAAAGACCCCCGATAGAAGTCACGATTTGTGAAATGCGGCAGGATAGCACGCATTATGGTCAGTGTTGATAGCTGCGCCTGGCCATCAAGCTCATCCCGCACAGAATTCGGCGAATGTCGCAAATAACTGTCATGATACCCCAGGAGATCCAGGAAATACGCATCTGGGGAACAATAAGTTAGGTCTCGGTTAATGCTTGTCGGAACGGACTGGTTTTCTAGGTGCTGAAGTCGGAGCGTGAGCGGGCGATTTCTCAGTCGTATGACGCCTCGGTTATCAATTGTTAGAGAACCTATCCGTTCAAATGGTAGAAGTGCTAAGGATAAAATAATCCGAGACAATCCTGTGAATAGATTTTTCCTCCGAGTCTGGTCGTGGCGTGACTCTTCCCAGGATTCGGAAAGCATAACTCCTTCGGTGCTATCGATGTAATCCATAACCAAATATGGGGCCTTCAATTTGTGAGGACACTGTCTGCTCACATATCGACATGGAACCGAGTATCGGAAGATGGAGGAAATCATCCAGCGTAAATTACACATCAGCCGGCTCAAGAAAGATACTTGGCCGATTGCGGTGAACTCCAGATAGACAAATACAAAGTCAGGCTCGTCAATCTAAAGATAGGCTTTTGGAAAAACTCATGCTTTGGTCATTGGCAAGTCCAAAGCCCCATAAATTAGGTATTGGGACGGACGAGCTATTCTCTTGAATCCATATAAACATTGCAGCCTCACAGCGCAGCTTCTCCTACGTGTTGCCCGGGTATTCGACCTCCCCGACTTTATAGGGGAGAGGGAATTGAATCAGTACTCGTTTCGCGACAGGCCATTGATGAATGTACACCGGTATGCAAACGTTAAAGCTCCCCGAAATCTATTCTTTGACTTCTCCGATGCGGCATGTCTGTTTGCGCTCTAGGCCCAGATGAAATGATACAATATTTTCAATCGCATCCCGCTGCATAAGCAGGTATGTGAAAAACTCAATTCTTTTCTCAGGGTAAGACAGCTCCTGGAGAACATTATCATCGTCATCTAACGCCGATTCCAAAGAGACGTGTCTGTTGAGAAGGGGGAGTGTTCTCTGCATCGTGCCTTGCTAATTAGTGTGCTTTTTAAGATAATATATTCTCTTTATCCTCACACAGCTATTAGTAGATACGTATCTACTGGTGCACGAGAATAGAGCCTAAAGAATGTAAAGCGACTGCGGTAGCCTTGAGTGGACTTATTTCGACTTATGGAGCAGCCGTGGTGACCCACCGCAACTACCCCGTACCTGCGCCAGTGCTAATATTTTGCACGCGAAAAAGACAGGGACCCGATTTTCAAGTAGAAATTTTACCATAAAATTCAAAATTCCCGTCGTATCCCTATTTCGTATCAAAGAAAGGGGTTGCAAACAAGGTGTCAAAAAGCTGGGAAGGTTTCGGAAGATGGCAAGTCCAGAATAACAAAACAGTGCCCAAAAGGCCGGAAACGCTAAACCATTTCGGGAGAACCACATCTAAACCACGGGGACTAAATGTGAGAATATCTATGGGAAACCATCAGAGGGAATTCAACACATTCGTACTTCTATCTGTCATATTTGTCTAAATACTGGCCTCATCATCATAATCATCGTCAGCAACGCTCATGTCATCCGCATCAAGACCATCGAAGTTCATAAACTGTTCATTCTTGGCATCGGTCTCTTCCTCGACAACGACGCCATCTTGTACCTCGCAGTCCTAACAACAGTCAGTACTCGATCTGATTTTTTGGATACCTTTCACACGCACCTTGAGCACGGAGTCGTGTCCGACTTGACTATATCGACCGACTGGAATATCATTAGTTAATGAATCCAACAGATCTCTATTTAGGTAGGAATCAACTCACCAATACATCCGTTGAGCACACACTTCGGACCGATGACCGCGTTGTCCATGATCACACATCTATTTCGAGTGAGAACTTGAGCTGTGTGAGGCCTTGGGTTGAGTTTAAATGCCTACCTCGTCAGGCGAGCGCCGCTGCAAATCTTCGCCTTGGAAGAAATACACGATTCTTTGATGACGCACTTCTCTTCCACCTATGAATGGATTAGAGAAGTTGCTTCAATTATATGGAATTGGGTTGGGTTGCTTACCGTCACGTTTGACCCAAGTAAGCAATCGCCTTTCGTGACAATGGACTTTGGTGCAACTCCTTCTGGGCTGGATATTTTCGAGGCATGGCTGAATGGCGAGGCAGCAGCACGGCCAACCTCTTCAATAGACTCCAGCTTGGCGAGTTGTAGTGACATGGCCAATATCAAGGCGGAACTGTCCACCCGCCGAACGAGTTGCTCAGAGGGCTTGGTCATATATGCTAGAATTGGCGGCACCTCGACCGAGGAGTGTGCATTAGGAGAAGATTTTGGATCCCGGGCCTCAGAACTTTGAGCGTGTGTAGTAGTCATGCCACGAAGATCGATATCATCCTCCAACGAGTCCCCATCGAGACTTGCGTGCTCCTCGTGGTTATCATCCTGTCCGCCTAAAATCTCATCGATCCCCAATTTAGCGCTCAACCCACGCTGCCATCCCGCTTTTGCCCAGTACCCGATCAAATCCTCACTCACGGATTCGAGCCGTTCCTGATGCCGTGCCAAGGACTGAATCCACTTCGGTAAGATGTACAAATGTGCATCTCTGTAGCTCGTCAGCATCTTGACAGAAGCATGTTTCTCAACCAAGGTATGACGGAGCAAAAGTCCCTTATCCCTCTCCATCTGCTCTTTCAAGGTATTCATTGGCATTGACGTAACCAATTTCGAGAGCTCATATCGCGAGAAGCCGGGCCCTTCATCCTCCTTCAGCAAATTGACCGCGACAAAATCTGTTGGCTCTTTTTTGACTTCATCTTTGACGCCCTTCGCTGGATAGAACACTGATAAGCCGCCTTGAGACAACGGGCCCAGATCACTCTGCGAGACTAGCCATGCCTCTAGTAAATGTTCACCGGGAATATCGCACAGCAAATCGCAACTCAGAAGCAGGAAGTTAGATCGTATACAAGCCTGGACCTCCGGTAGGCGGAGCAGTTCGGCCGTTCCTGTTGTCATCTTGAGATCCTTAGGGGCTATGACGGTGGGCGAGGGTGAGGGGAGCGATGTTAGATAAGGGTTTTGTTGAAGAGCCGCCTTAACAGACGTGAGAGCGGAGGGGGGTGTAATTAGAACGATATCTGATCGGTTAGCAATTGCAAGTATAGAGCACAAGTCGGCCCGGAAAAAAAGTCAAGCCACTACTCACCATTTATTCCTGCGCGTTTGCACCAGTCGAGTGGGTAGTAGACCATTGGCCTTAGCTGAGGATCAATTGATATTAGTGACTGCTTCCTACTAGAACCAGCCCTAAGATTCGCCAGTACATACTGCGATGGGAATTAAACATTTTGGATTCTCGTCCGGATTAGAGGAAATCGTATTCAAGCTTTCGCCAGGACCACAAAGAATCAAGGCCTGGAAGCCACTGCTTGGTACAGGTGCTGAAAGCACCATGGCGTCTTAGCGTTGTTTGTATAAACAAGCCCCGCGGGCAGAGGTGGGGTGAAAGGGTGGGATTGACGCAGCCAATGCGGTTCGGAGGAGCTTCGAAATCGAAAAGCGGAAATGGTGTAGGACAGTGTAATTGCCTTGTATTTAATTCCTTCACTAGAGGAACGAAAATGTTGCGAAACAAAAGAAGATTCCCTAGTCCTGCAAGAGAGCTGGATGTTAACTAATGGCCCAATGGGTGAGTCAGGCCGCGCCGCCATCACCGAACAAATAGTGCAAAATCAGGCCCGGCCGTCGGAGAGCTGCCTCAGGCGCCAACAAGATCCGGGTCATGTGACCAAACCTCTAAAAAACCACAGATTTCACAGGACTTTTTGGGTGTGGTTTTTTGAAAGATAACAGAAATTGTATGAGCTGAAATACCAGCACGCGTCTGCCCCCAACAAACAATGCGGAAATTCTATAGAACTTTTGTCCGAAATACACAAAGCTACTAGCTATCCAGGGCATTTTTCAAATCTTGATTATCACCATTTTTGTGGCCGTGGCAGTTGATTTGGATGTTGCGAGGCGCCCGCCGTACATTTTCATGAAATCGAGGTTTTGGCAGTCTATCAGGTGCTAGCGGTCAGTCTATCCGCGCTAGTCCCAACCCGATTCTGCCGGCCACGGGGTGCCAGTCCAGAGGATGGTCGATAATAGCCAAAGGTCAGGATTTCACATATCTATTTATTTTTATTTTTTATATATCTAATACTCATTAAAAATCTCTATGTTTGCCCTCTTTATACTGGAATCGAATTTCCTTGGCCGATAACTCCTGTACCCAACGCAATGTATGTAGTCACAACCTCAGCCTCGGAGTCAAGCGGCCGTCGAAGGAACTGCATCGCAATTTGTCCATTTTCCTCTTGGATATCGGCCGAAAGTTTCCGGATGCGTTGATGCTCTGGTATGCAGACAGCGAGGTCGTCTGCCCGCTCCATGACTCGGCCCTCCTCTTCAACATCGATGATGCGTTGCGCGCAAAGCCCGGTATATTGATCGGGCCAGGCACCGTGGTAGAAAGGGGACTGAAGCATCAAACTGACGGCTCTGCGTCGAATCTGAGAATCACGACAGCGAGACGCAATGAGGAACATGGGTGGGGTGATACCGAGGTCGAAGCTGAATAGCAGGCTGAATTGCTGCGATGCCGTTTTCCAGGCCTCGACGATCGCTTCGGCTAGGTCAACGATCGCTTGGAATCGGTGGACGTACTGATCAAACACGACTTCTTGCTCCGTGCCGTACGTGCCGGTGATAATGACTGAGACGTGGCAATAGAGCTCTAGGAGCTTGCGAACACAGACCTGGAGTGTGGAGGATTCGGTGGCGAAGGTGGAAGCATCCAGGGCATCTTTCCACTGCTGGAGGACAAGGGTCGGACTGACGCAAGGTCGCTGGGGGTCCATCATCGAATCACTTTCAAGGATTGAAAAGGCGTAGTTCATGGCGCGGTCAAAGTCTTTTCGTGCGAGGTCCAGGGATGCGTATGAGGAGGGGATCGCGGGCGCAGGTAGGCAGGGTGTCATCCTAATGTAACTCACAGTATGACGGGAATCCATGCAAAGAGCGAACTGGACTCGCAGGCGTTGCAAGATAGGAGTGATCTTCTCATTCATCAACTCGAGCGTCGGCCGAGAATAATCTATGAGCTTTGTATAGTTCTTAGTCGTCGACCTCCACCAATAAATCAGCTTAAGTCCCGCCGTTAGGTGTAGAAAACAGGCAGCGTCGCCGCTGCGGAGCTGTTCGAAACATATAAAAAGGATGCACAGAATCATGGTCAGATCTGGTTTCGAGGCCATATTGAGAGCTTCGATGCGTAGCGACTTCATCGCCTGCGTATAGTGTTTCAGCGCAAGTACTTGTGCAGCGGTACTAGCATGTCTCGGAGAGTGGCGCACTAACGGACATGCCATGTTAGACTCAAGGCTCTCGTGCAGCGAGGCCAAGGCAGTGATGGCATGTTTCACGGAGGCCTCATTATGGCCGAGTTGGAAAAAGACAGGAGTCCAGTCGTCTGCATCCTGTTGACCTAAGATCCTGGGAGCTGTCCTGGACCGGAAAAAAGCGAATGCCCGGCGTTCCTCGTCGCTCAGAGCATTCTGGGAGGAGATAGACTGAGGCACAGCGCGGTAGCCCTCGCAGATCCGTTTGGTGGCGATGCACCGTAAGCAGGCCGGCTTCTGCTCGTCACACTTGACGTGTCTAAAGAGGACGTATCGTTAGCCTTCAAGGGCATTTATGATCAGTCCTTTTCTATTCTTTTTTCGTCATACCGAGATATGAATTCGTAGATACGTTTAGCGTGGGGCAGTGATGCAATGGTACCCGAATTGATCTCACTTGCAAGTCAGGCAGCCTGTGCGAGCTTTTCGACGAGAAACCGTTGGTTTGGCTGTCTTCATATTCCTTCAATCTGGAGAAATTTCATTAATAAGACCCCGTTGATCTGCATAGATCGCGGCGTGGGGGGATAAGCGTCGTTGAAGAATACTTTGGAGAGGTCGAAGACAAGCGGAGAAAAAAGCGGGTAATCAAGCGAAGGGCGGCGGCCGGTCGGTATAACATACAGTTCCATGGTTGATCTCAACCCTCACTCCTTTATATCTACCCAAAAACTATCCATAGGTCAGATCTCAATCCAACCAATCAGGCAAGGGGGGAAAGAAATTCTATCCGTAACTACTACTGCAACTATTTCAGTATCTAAGTCATAAAAGCAATCAGTATATATTCAGGTATGTAGATCTCCTCCCGCTTCTATATATCTACCCCAAAGCTGACATTAGCCCAGAGAATTGTCATTATAAATCAATATATCTTTGGTTCCATCAATATGTCTCAAACTCCGTCCAAGATTCTCATCGTTGGCGCGGGTGTGTTCGGTCTTAGCACCGCATGTACCATTGTCCAACGCCCCAAATACTCCCAGTCTAGCATCACCGTCTTGGACGCAGCGCCGGAGATCCCCAATAGTGTCGCCGCATCCGTGGACACGAGCCGTGTTCTGCGAGCCGACTACGCTTTTAAGCCGTACACTACACTCGTTTCAGAGTCGCAGAAATTGTGGAAAGACCAGTCCGTCGATGGCTGGGGTGGAGAGGGGCGATACCACGACACAAGGCTAGTGTTGACAGCCCAGCCTGGCACCGAAGGCCACGTAGATGGCTATTTGGAAGAGAGTTTTGAAAACGTCAAGGAGCTGGCAAGGTCCGGGAACTACACATTCGACGCCAAGAGTCTGAGGGATTTGCCGGATCGCGAGGCCATCGCCCAAGAAACCCGGTCTGGCGGGGCCAGTGGGAACTTTGGCTACGTGAATGAGAGATGTGGCTGGGCAGATGCTGAGAAGGGTGTGCGATATGCGCTCAGGATTCTTCAACGCCGAGGTGGCGACCGAGTTAGCATTAAGACCAACGTTGGGGTGCGCAGATTACTCTATGCGCGGCCTGATGGGCCTGGACCTTCGAGATGTACTGGTGTCGAAATACACGATGGTTCTCAGGTTTTGGCGGACCTGGTTATCCTTGCGACTGGCGCATGGACGCCGTCCCTCGTCGATCTCGAAGGCAGAGCGGCGGCTACTGGCCAGGTACTCGCGTACATGCCCGTCACTGAGGAAGAGCAAAGGAAACTAGGGTCTACCACGCCGCTTTATTTCAACGTGAGCCGCGGAATGTTCATGGTGCCTCCGCATAATAAGGAATTGAAGGTAGGCCGTCACGGCTTCGGATATCAAAATCCCACAAAAGTGTCCATCCCGGTGCCGACCCCATCAGGGGATCTTCAGTTCGTCGAAAAGATAGTCAGCGTGCCGCGAACTGACCTGCCCATCCCGTCCGAGGCAGAGAAGGCATGTAAGGACTTTCTGGTCGAGCTGTTCCCGAATTGGCGCAATCGGCAGTTCTCAAAGACACGAGTATGCTGGTATTGCGACACGTAAGTTGAATTCTGCCAGTGACTCTTTTTGCCACAATGCTTAGGATTAACTGACTCTAGACCAACCGGGGATTTCATCATTGATTACGACCCACGAGCTGCTGGGCTTTTTCTCGCTACAGGCGATAGTGGGCATGCTTTCAAGATCTTCCCAATTATCGGAGAGAAGGTAGTAGATGCCATTGAGGGTAATTTAGAGTCTGAGCTACGAGAGCTATGGAAATGGAAGAGCGACGCACCCTCAACTTTTCAGGGAACAAATGATGGCACAAGGGGAGGAAGAAGGGATATGATTCTGGATGTTGGGGCCCATAAAAGCGCTTCCCAAGGCCGGAAATCCCGTCTTTAACCTGGGTCTCGCCGTTACTAGTCACCAGTCAGGATCAGAAAGGGGGTTGGCAGGCTGGGGCAATAAGGCAAGACGATTGGCTATTGAATTCACGTGAATATTCCCCTGAAAAATAGTAGGGAGAATGGAAAGATCGCTCACTACATGTGCGGAAGATACTACAGAACCTGAAATATAAGGTCAATCAAATCGATGACGAGAAAGCTTCACTCAGCGTTGAAACGAAACAAAATATGATGGTCTCTAGGGTGGACTATGTACATTTTCGACACCGTATTCTGTCTGCCCTTAAACAGGGTGATATAATTCAAAGAGACTCAACTCCATGAATTATTTCGGCCTTGGCCGCATCTTTGTATTCGACCTCATTCCAACTGGGGCGTACCCAATATATAAACTTGAAGAAATTCAAATAGGCAAGGCCTGTGTAAGTCACCGGAACATACATCGCCCCACGTCGAATCCACCACATCGCCACGCTGGCCGCCCACTCTGGCGACACGATCGCCTTTCCCATCGAGGACTCAAACGCTGCTGGAACTATATGCCGATACACCCCCCGTGGGTCATCATAGAGCGCCCGCGCGAATGGCAAAAAAGCACGCTTAGAGGCAGAATAGCGTTGTAGAGTCGGTATCCCCCAGGCAGGATGCACCTCAATTTCACTTCCCACGTACCAAATCTCCGGGAGTGTCTTCCGCTTTTCCCCAGTTTTCGAGTCTATGAAATGTCGTGCGAGCTGGATGCTGGAGGTGCAGTTTGCAGCAATGGCGTCGGGACCCTTGCTACCGTGCGCCAGAATAAGCACATCGGCTTGTTTAAGCAGGGGAATGGCTTTAGAGAAGTCCTCATGCGTCCAGTCCCTTCCGTATCGGAGTTTCTGTACGCTGCGGACATCCTCCTTGCGTAGCTGCTTCACAATAGCCTGGCCAAAAGCCCCTGAGCCACCCGTTATCACGACTCGCTTATTCCTTAAAGAGTATGCCGTTCCTGCAAACCAATCGAACACTTTCACCATCGAGCTCATGTATCGGTCTGGGTGGACGTGGTGCAGCGCGTGGAATTGAGGGCCCACGAGGACGGCGTGCGGGTCTTTAGGTACGGTATCGTAGGGGATATGGTTCGAGTCCTGGCCACTCATAGCAATCACAACAAGGGTCCTAACCGCCTGGATGATAACTATGAGGTACAGGGGTGTGTTGTCGAGGGCTTCGCTGACCAGGAACCCCTGGATGAGGGCCCAACCTAGAATACTTCCTAGGACCTGGCAGAACATCTCGAGAGGTAAGGCGATCCAGGCGTTCTGGAGTTTGTACCGCGCGTTGAAGTTCAGGGATCGGTTGTAGTATAGGTGGTGGTATTGGTGCCAACGGGAGAGGGCTCGGAGGAGCTTCCATTGGGAGTTCGGCCATTGGTGCAGGAGGTAATGGGCTATATCGAAGAATATGGAGCCGACTAGGTAGAGGTAGAGGATGGAGAAGACGAGTGCTGGTAGAGACATGCTTTGTTGATATGTTTTAGATACCTGAATTGACTGAATTGGCTATTTCTACCCTGCTAGGAGGGCTGGTATATAAGTATTGTCGCTAGCAGGCATCAATCAGAGTCGAGAAACATCTTCAAGAGCACACAAAATGTAGAATTTTTTAAGGAATATTCCATCTATTGGACCTATAGGTCCACTTGCGCGATATTTGGACTCGATTGACCTTGGCATGGCATTAATTAGAAAAAGGGGAGCCATACAGAGCCTTTGTGGTGAAGCCCATACTGTTCTCTACGATAAAGCCATCCCTCTAAAGGCAAGTCTATGGGCCTAGGTTGAGAATGTTTCATAATGTTACAGGGTCTACCAATACGGAAGTTATCTAGAGAAAGAGTAAACCCGAACAGGGTTTGAACCTGTCGATCCAAGCTGCTTAGTGCAAGAGGACCACAAAGACCCTCCTGGGTTAGCTATATCTGGTTAACAGGAATTGAATTTACTGGGTAGGGCATGTGAAATAGGACTGTTGTTTCCATTGTGGTAGGGAGATTTGGTAATTGCTTCGCTTCTCCTGTGTCAGATGTCACAATTTCCAGGATAGATGAGGAGAATGAGTTGTGGAGTGGGCCTATATTGCAAGTAATTTGAAGCTTCTGCAAGCCCTAGTATCTCCATAGTAGTTGAGGACGGAAGATACTCGGCGTAATTGACTTGGCTGATCGATTAGCAGATCAAGGACTGTCCTGACTTTGCGTAGGGGTCTTTCTTCGTACGTTACATCGCTACATCATTAGCAGCCATTCATTGATCGCTAAGAGTGTCACGATATCGGCAATTCATTCGTATGCACAGACATGAGCTCAAAAACGAGAAATAGGCAGATGCGATACTTTTGAGATTCTGTGAACAATAAGGTGCTTGGCAGGAATCTTCCACCACCTATACCTATCTTGCCAGAGGGCTAGCGGGAACTCGATTGTCTCGAAAACCTTTCCCTTTCAGCTAAATCATCGTATCTTTTACCCGACATAGATCAGAAACAGTTCAACATGTTACCTTATGTGGGCTCAGGCTAGCACTTGAGCTCTGAGACCATTTCAAGTGCATGATCGACAAGAAACGCTGGTTGAGTATACTCATCTTCCATGGTTCTTTTCTTCTACGAGGATGTTTCAATGTGCGACAATAAAAGGCAGAATGAGCTTGATTGGCTCCATATGTGCTGTAAGACGAACCATAGGTACTCCGTAAACCTAAGTTTAGAACGTTCATCCGGTAAACGTTGAATGGAGATCCACTCTACCGGTGGCAGTGCAAACGAGTACAGCCTCGGTCATTTCCCCCACAATGAAGTCTTGTTACCGCGGGAAGTGGGTATAGTTGAGTAGGCAGCTATATTCTACTTCATATGAGTAACTGTCAACTAAGAACGAGAAAAACTGTAGGGCATTGATTTAGACTATTCAGGGTCAAGTCCAGCAATACTGAGATCATATAATACATCTCAATAGTCTTAGGATATAGAGCACAAGTTGAAATTGATATAATCGAATTGAAATGATCTTGCATATCAACATGTGTTAAACCTTTTTAATTGATTTCATTACCAAGTTTGAATGGGGTGACGCTCTAGGAAGAGTTAGAGTAGTCTCTAGCCATCGCCAAGGAAATCTTAAACATCAACATCCCTAACTACTAGTTAACTAATCTGCTTCCGTTTACTTAATCGGATAATTGGTCGGCTAAAAACTCCGTGTATGTCTTTGATTGTCGATTAGGTCGCTCGTAGGGAGTGGAAGCACGGATTGATTCAGAGTCCCGGCGAGGCAGACTGCGCTGGTAAGGCTGAATCGACTAGAATTTTTTTTTAATATCGGTTTTGATTCAATTCACTATGGCTCGTATTGTACTTTTTCATCTTTCCACCCTACATCATACCCTGCTATGTCTCAAGCTCGAGATTATAGGGAGCAGGACTATCCTGTAGGTAAGAATACCCAGAAATCTCTCATTATTTTATTTTTGAAAACCTGTTTCTCATACCTAGATGACTTTTTAGACTTATACCACCCGATTAGCAAGCATTCTAGAAACAAGTAGAATTGTGCTCCCCATTTTATCATCACCGATTCATGGAATGGGCTCGTCAGAGAACTAAACAAGGGGTAAGGGAGAGAAAATAGGATTTAACGCCATATCGCTGAGTTTAAACAAGTCGAATTATCCCAAATTATTACTGTCAAGTGCTCTTCTATAACAACTAAAGATTCTGGTCTCCTCTCCAGGATACATGACCCCAAACTCGTCGTTGAAACAAACGGAGAAGTTCCCAATGCTGCCAATAATATATATCTCAGAATGAGCCAAGACCATAGTTACATCTACGCTTGACTCGATTTGCAGGGAGCTTTAAGCTCAAAAGGTACAGTGGCAGATCCTAGAAAGATAAGCATTAATGTGTTGAAATAGGAAATACAAGGCCTACTGGTTTTTATCGCAATAACCGCCCGTCCATCCCTGGCCTTGTTGGATACACTAGAACGCCGTCAACCACCGCATTGAGCGAAAGACCGAAAGCAAGTCAACGTACAGTATTTCTGCAAATGATACTGCCAAGCTCACCCCCGCCGTCAGTCTGACAGGATGTCTCGTTTTTCAACATAACGTCGCGCGCGGGCAAGGCACCCACGGAGGAGATTAGGAAGGAGAGACCAAAGAGAACGAAAGACTTCATTTTTTCCCCCGGAGGACCAAACAGTCGAGTGACTGATTATATCTGAATTCAATGAATGTGGATTGAATAAATAAAACAGGAGCTGGGGTTAGCATTGGCTGAGATGGCAGCTGCTGCTCGTCGGGGATCCCCCGGGCCTTATAGCACTACCACCCGCAAAATTCCCTGGCTGGTTTAACGTTATTCAAGGACACGCAAGCAGTTGATTTACATGGCGGGGTTGGTCGAGCCCGCTTCATCGACGTGAGGGTGCAAATGCGTGTTTCAAACTTTTCTTGGTCGATTCTGTCGGTGTATGCAGGTTGTCGTCGTATTACTACTAGACCCGCAAGGATTCGGCTCAGGAGCGGAGGCTTACTTCAACGAAAGAAATGTTCGAATTTCGACCATGGGAAGGGAAAGGGTTCCTGGGCCAGAATAGACCCAGGACTTCCTCTTCTCCGGTTGAGGACTCTGGCAGAGGAAAGAATGAAATCCTTGCATCCGGGCCTCTCAAGGTCCTTCCCGATTGGGTTGTCTAGGGCAACTGGCGCCCGGCGGTCGGCACAATGTTCCGCCGGCCAACGCAAGCCCCGCCTTTCCCTCTTTTGGCCCCGCCCCTCCTCTCTTACGGCCGTTCCTTTTTTCTTCTCTTTCTTCTCCTCTTCTCCTCCCTCCTCTCTCTCCGGTCATCATCCTCCCCCCTTACTCTTCAATCCCATCTCGTAAGTGCTTCACCCCGAGGCTGCCATCCAGAAGTCTCTTGATCTGCATTATTGAAAGCCATTGTTAACGGTTTCTCCATCCAGTTTCTCTTTTACATTCAGCTGTAAATATCATCATCATGGCTGCCCCCGCTCAGAAGTTCAAGGTCGCCGACATCGTAAGTAGCTCTCGAGCCTCTGAAATCAACCTCAGTCTTCAATTAATTGCTAACTTCCCTAGTCTCTGGCCGCCTTCGGTCGCCGTGAGATCGAGCTCGCCGAGATTGAGATGCCCGGTCTTATGGCCATCCGTAGCCGTTATGCCGCTGACCAGCCCTTGAAGGGTGCTCGTATCGCCGGTTGTCTTCACATGAGTATGTGGATTTTTTCCCTCCTCGAGCAGATGGAGGCCTTTCTTCAGGCTTGCTAACTCAGTCTAGCCATCCAGACCGCCGTCCTTATCGAGACCCTCACTGCTCTTGGTGCCGAGGTTACCTGGACTAGCTGCAACATCTTCTCTACCCAGGACCACGCTGCCGCCGCCATTGCCGCCGCCGGTGTCCCTGTGTAAGCCAACACATTCCTCCACCGCCTGACATTCCGACTAATGAACCGTCTAGCTTCGCCTGGAAGGGTGAGACCGATGAGGAGTACAACTGGTGCTTGGAGCAACAGCTCTCGTCCTTCAAGGACGGCAAGAAGCTCAACCTCATCCTCGACGACGGTGGTGACCTGACCTCCCTCGTCCACGACAAGTACCCTGAGCAGCTCAAGGACTGCTTCGGTCTGTCCGAGGAGACCACCACCGGTGTCCACCACCTCTACCGTATGCTCAAGGACGGCAAGCTGCTCGTCCCCGCCATCAACGTCAACGACTCCGTCACCAAATCCAAGTTCGACAACCTGTACGGCTGCAAGGAGTCCCTCATCGACGGTATCAAGCGTGCCACCGATGTCATGATTGCCGGCAAGGTCGCCGTTGTTGCCGGTTACGGTGATGTCGGTAAGGGCTGTGCCGCCGCTCTGCACAGCATGGGTGCCCGTGTCCTGGTCACCGAGATCGACCCCATCAACGCTCTCCAGGCTGCCGTCCAGGGCTACGAGGTCACCACCATGGAGGAGGCTGCCCCTCAGGGTCAGATCTTCGTCACCACCACCGGTTGCCGTGACATCCTCGTTGGCTCTCACTTCGAGGTGATGCGCAACGACGCCATCGTCTGCAGTAAGTTTACCTGGTCGAATGATTGCGAAACAAATAATTAACACATCGCAGACATTGGTCACTTCGATATCGAGATTGACGTTGCCTGGCTCAAGGCCAACGCCAAGTCGGTTCAGAACATCAAGCCCCAGGTTGACCGCTACACCATGGCCAGCGGCCGTAACATCATCCTGCTGGCTGAGGGCCGTCTGGTCAACCTTGGCTGTGCCACCGGCCACTCTTCCTTTGTCATGTCCTGCTCTTTCTCCAACCAGGTCCTGGCTCAGATCGCTCTCTTCAAGGCTGAGGATGTTGCTTTCGGCCAGAAGTACGTCGAGTTCGGCTCCGCCGGCAAGAAGCCCGTCGGTGTCTACGTTCTGCCCAAGGTCCTCGACGAGCAGGTCGCTCTGCTCCACCTCGCCCACGTCAACGGCAAGCTCTCCAAGCTCACCCCCGTGCAGGCCGAGTACCTGGGTCTGGATGTTGTCGGTCCCTTCAAGGCCGACCACTACCGCTACTAAGCGGGGCCACCCAATTTTCTTTTCTTTTCTCTTTTGATGATGTTTGGTATACCCTGACCCCTAGACTTGTTTTCTTCAACACGTGACGATGTTACGATCAACATACCGAGTTCTGTATCAACTTGGAACTCAAAAGCGTTTGTCCTTCAACGGCAATACACAAAAGGTGGCATATACGGGGGTTTCATTTCTCATGGCTTAGGTTTTCTGGTTGTAAATGGGCTGGAGTATTTTGCATTCAACTGTGTGCCGCTGGGAGATTTTCTTTTCTTAATGTTACTATAACCTGATACATATTAGACCGAGCCGATGGCCGGTGTCGTGCATGAATGAAGACATTCAATGCGATCATTGCTTGTTACGCTGAGAATCATATGCTGATATGTACAGAGTAGAGTCCTGCCTACGCCTGCTGGAGTGTGTCGGCGATGAGCTGGACGAAGGACTGGGCGGCCGTGACGGCAAAGTCCTCATCGTTGATGGCGCGCGCATCCCGCACGACGGCAATGCCGGTACCCTGCAGCTCGGACTCCAGCGTCGAGAACAGCATCTCGTCGGCCGCCGGATCATGGAAGAGTTGATCCGGCGTGTCCAGCAAACTGACGCCGCCCGTCGGCAGCAAAACCCGCACGCGGTCCGGCCGCTTCGCGCGCTTCAACTTGTCGGCGATCCACCGCGCCACGCGATGGTTTTCCTCGACCGTCGTCCGCACGATGGTCACCGTCGGATTATGTTCGTAGATCCGCCGATCGGCAAACTTGGTCGGTAGCTCCTCGCGGGGCCCAAAGTTCACCATGTCGCAGGCTCCCACGCTCACCAGCTGCGGAATGCCCGCCTCGGCTGCAGCCTCCAGCCGACTGGGCCCGGCGCTGAGCACGCCGCCGACCAGTTCATCGACCACCTCGGTCGTTGTCATATCGATGACCGCATCCAATTGCTTGTCTTTCACTAACCGCTCCATCGCCTTACCTCCTGCCCCGGTGGCATGGAAGACATAGACTTCGTACTGGGATTGCTGCTCGGCTGATTCCAGATACTCACGCACTTGATCCACACAAGGTGTAGTCACTCCGAACATGGTGATTCCCACCTTTACCTTACTCTTTTTCTTCCCGGTCTCCTCATCCTCTTCATCCGCAATTGCCCAACTCCCCGCCACCATCCCACTAATTGCTGCTGCCGCATTCCTCAATATCCGATTCAAAATCGTATTTGTCCCCGCGATATCCACCACGCTATACATCATCGAGATATCCGTGCCCTCGACGAACCGGCGCACGTCGCCGCTCGCCATCGTCGAGACCATCAGCTTCGGGAACCCGACCGGCAGCGACTCCCGCATGACCGACGTCGCGATGTTTGTGCCGCATGATCCACCGATGCCGATGATCCCGTGGATCTGGCCGGCGCGGTACAGCTCGGTTGTTTTGGCGATGGCGGCGTGGCTGATGGTCGTTATGTATTCGGCGCGGGGGAGGTTGGTGAGCGGGGAAGTGGTTGCGGGGGTGAGGATTTGGGAGGTGGTGGTGGATGTGTTTGGATTGTTGCTAGAGGCATGGGTATCGTGGGTGTTGGGCTGGGCACGTCCGACGTCGAGGATGAGCACGTTGCAGGCGTTTAGACGCTCGATCTGTCGTCGCGTATAGTGCAATTCGGGGGATTTGGAGTCGAGGGTGCCGACGAGGAGGATGGTCGGTTGGGACATTTTGCTGGTGGGTGTGGACTGGGTTCGTGGGAATGGCAATTTGCCAAAGGTAGTAAGTATCTGTAGAAAGTATAAGAGAGGGAGGTTGCAGCGATTACGAGAGGGGAAATGAATTAATTGTTTGCCATGACGTCGTGCGGGGTTCTGGCCCTTTTTTCTTTTGACGCAAGGCCACATCACTTTTTTATCCTCCATTTTAATTCCGTCCTATCTTGTGAGACCCTGCAATTGAGTTGACTCAATCAATTAAATCACTCGGAACGAATATGCCTCGTCCCACCACTCGAAAGGAGGTCCTGGATCGCCTCCGCAAGACCATCGCGGACGGTTCCATCGTCGTGGGTGCCGGCGCCGGTATCTCCCCTCTTTCTTTTTCGCTCCTCGAGCACGATGAATCGAAAATGTTCTAAGAAAACTGATAGGAATCGGTCTCTCGGCCAAATTCATCGAGAAAGGCGGCGCCGATCTCATCCTTGTCTATAACTCCGGTCGCTTCCGTATGGCTGGTCGCGGGTCGTTGGCCGGCATGTTACCCTATTCCGATGCTAACCAGGTAGTGGTAGACATGGTGAGCATTCGTTCCTTTTATAACCTCTTAATTGCAGACCCAAGGTCACAACCAAAGCTAATTGTACCCATTTAATGCAGGCCAAAGAAGTCCTCCCCATTGTCGAACACACCCCCGTCCTAGCCGGCGTCTGCGGCACCGACCCCTTCCGCAGCATGCCTGAGTTTCTGCGCGAACTGCAACGCATCGGGTTCGTGGGCGTGCAGAACTTCCCGACGGTGGGGCTCATCGACGGCAAATTCCGCCAGAACCTGGAGGAAACAGGCATGGGGTTTGAGCGGGAGGTCGAGATGATCCGCCACGCGCACGAGATGGACCTCGTCACGACGCCGTACGTGTTCACCGTCGACGAGGGCGAGCAGATGGCGCGCGCCGGTGCCGACGTTATCGTCGTGCATGTCGGCTTGACGACTTCCGGGACCATTGGTGCGCAGACAGCGCTGTCGCTGGACGACTGCGTCAGTATCGTCCAGGAGATTAGGGATGCCGTGGTCAAGGTGAATCCGGAGGTCATTGTGCTATGTCATGGCGGGCCGTTGGCGGGGCCTGAGGATGCGCAGTACGTGTTGGCCCGGACGAAGGGCGTGCATGGCTTCTTTGGGGCGAGCAGTATGGAACGGTTGCCGGTGGAGTTGGCGTTGCAGGAGAATGCAAGGCGGTTTAAGGAGATTAAGGTGTAATGTATGTAGTATCTTCCATCCGACTGGGACATAGATTGTATTGAGAGTGATCCAGGTATATTAACTGTTAACCATTAACCAACGTAGATCTAAGAACTTAGGGCTAGGGTCCGCCGGGGCCCAAATAGGCAATTCTCCGTGGGGGAGACGGCATATCGAAGTATAAGTTTCACGGCCTCCATTTCTCCAGCCCTCCTCGACACTCCTGAACCCCTCATCCCCTCCCCTCCAGACTCTCTACTCATCATGCTTCGTGCTCTTGAAGGTAAATTCGGCATCATCACCGGTGGTTCGCGCGGTACGTGACTCCTCTCCCCTCTATCTCCGCTCAGACCGGACAGCCCACTAACCACCGATGTACAGGAATCGGCGAAGCCATTGCGCGCAACCTCGCCGAAAAGGGCTGTTCGCTACTCCTCAACTTCACCTCGGAGTCGTCGCGCGCCCGCACCGAAGATCTCTGCGCCTCCCTCGCAAAGGACCACTCGGTGCGGTGCTTTAGCGTCCAAGCGGACCTGAACCAGGCCGAGGCCGGGACGTCGACGATCCTATCTGCGGCCAAGCAGCACTTCAGTCCCCCCGACGGAGGCGACCTTCGCATCGACATCCTCATCAACAATGCCGGCGTCTCCGCCGACCGTCTCCTTAACGACCCCATCAACGGACCCATCGACCCCGCCTACTTCACCTGGCACTACAACGTCAACGTCCTGGCCCCGCTCCTCCTCACCCAAGCCGTCGCGCCTTACCTCCCCGTCGGTGCGCCCCGCACTGGCCGCATCGTCAACATCTCCTCCGTGTCCTCGACCCTCGGGTTCGCCGGCCAGACCGTCTACGGTGGCACCAAGGCGGCGCTGGAGGCCATGACGCGCACCTGGGCACGTGAACTAGCGGACCGCGCCACCGTCAACGCTATCAACCCCGGCCCTGTCATCGGGGATATGTATTTCCTGACGGGTGAAGGGTTCTGGAACCAGATTCAGGGGTTCCAGGATAATACGCCGCTGAGCGAGCTGGTGGAGGGCGATCCGCAGCTGAAGTCGTTGACGCCGGAGCAGATTCGTCTGGTGAAGGAGAAGATGGGTGGCAGGAGACCCGCCTTTACGGGCGAGGTGGCCGGCGTGGTGGGTATGCTGTGTACGAAGGATGGTGGGTGGACTACGGGGAGTGTGGTGTGTGCGAATGGGGGGATGCGGATGGGATGTTAGTTTTTTTTGGGATGAATTGAATTGAATTGATTTGGTTTAGACATAGAGAATAGTTTATGCATGAAACGTTTATAGATCCATGTTTTCTTTTAACGGTCAGTTTGTCCTCCCTACCTTATTTGTAAGGCATCCCCGGACGACGACAAGCCATTACGTCATCCCGCCCTCCTCCGTCTTCTTCTCTTCGGTGCTCCAATTCCTCGTCTTCCTTTCATCTCACCTCCCCAATTACTCTAATTCATTCATCCATCTCAATTCAATTCATCGTCTAATTAATCAATTCCTTTATCGCGGTCCAATCGACACAAACAAAATGTCCCTCCCATCATCCCTCCGTCTCCGTCTCCTCCGTCTCCCTGCTCCGCGTCTCCTTTGCCCTTCTACCTCGGCATCCGTGCCGTCAATTCGATCATACCACTCTAGGCATCTGGGGTTGCAATCAGCCCGTCGCTCCCTTACACGGACAACTCCAGTCGCGCAGACACTGTCATCTACATCGACATTCTCCTCGACATCGGCATCGGCATCGGCATCTACCACACGAACTCTTGCAACCTCCTCGGGCAAATCTCCCGCCGATGAGATCGTCGAGGAGTTACAGGAATTGTACGTTGACCTACTTGGCGTAGCGCATCCCCTTCATCCTTTACAATACTACACTGGAAATCTCCTTTATTCAATCGTGAATTTCACACTTCGACCTCAATGGATCTCCTTCTCTAAAAAACACAATGAAGGAAAAAAGAAAGCTAACACCTCAACCCCAAAACCAGATACGAAAACGCCAAAGACGAATTCGAAATCGCCACCGACAGCACAGACGGTGGCACGATCTACGCGGCCTCGGACCGCGAAAGTGCCCGCGACGCCCTAAACCAACTCCTCATTGTCTTTGAGCTCTACACGCAAGACCACAGTCCGACGCAGACGGCCGTGAGGGCGCAGGTGCGGGCAGAGACGGAGGAAGGGAGACGGGAGGAAGGAGAAGGGGAGGATGATGGACAGGTTGTCGAGACGAATTTCGATCCCGCGGCCGTGGAGCCGGAGGTTCGGGAGGAGGTGAAGAAGAGGGTGGCGCAGAGGGTGAGGGAGTTGAGGAATGCGGTTGAGTTGTTGGAGGAGAGGGCGATGACGGAGTGAGATCTTCTGTCTCTTTCGGATCCTGTATAATGTTGGCCTCATTTATAGAGAAGTGAATGCATAGGCTAGATAGGTAAGGACGGGGTAATTGTATCCTATCTGGTCTACCTAATTTCCTTGACTGATTGATAATGGACTACCTTCCAGATATATACCACATTGCCCCGCTTCTTCTCATATCTCACGCGCAGGGGACCACTGACGGGTCCTTTATTGTCGGGTCTATGGCCAATGATAAAAAAAAAAAAAAAACCAAAAAAAAGGGTATGGCTACCGCTTAGGCCCCGTAAACAGCCCCCGATGGCAGGGTTTCCCGCTGGAATTCCTCCTGTTTGACAACAAACTGCGTGCGTGTCCAGCTAAGGATGGAAAGTACTCTAGGCCCTATACATCCAACCTTTGCCTAGTGATGGGATATAAAAGGGCTTTCAAGCTCGCCCGAATTGGTAAAAACCATCATTTCGTGCCCTTTTTTTTAAGGCCACAAATTCTAAACATCAAAAACAGTTGAAGCTCGTGATTTGCTTCAGGAATACCTCGTCACGCTACACAACAACAACACTAATTAAACAACTCGCTTGCCATGTGTGAAACGAGAGTTACGACGACTATATATGCCTGCGGATGCAGAGAAGTTAGACGAGTGCCGGGTTCCTGTCCTGAGAACCATCCCCAACCCTGGCCGGAAAAGCACATGGGAAGTTCCCATAATCGCCGAGTTAAATGTGCGAGGTGCCGAGGGGCTTCCAACGGAACCTAGATTGGGGTGAGTGCATCCGCGCTGATCAGGGTGTCTGAGGCGTAGTGCCATCGATCGCTGTCAGGGGCACTACTCCCAGGTCGTTCAAATAGCCAAGAAGTCTTGAGAACAGTCTGGTCGTCAACTTCGTAGACCTTAGCAGAAGCTCCAACCCCCAGTGTTTTCAAGTCACGTTGAGGGTGCAGCCATAAGGTGTATGTGTCGCAGTTCGATGTTGAGGCGACATCATTACTCTCAAAGTCGCCAGGCTTTCCAAATTTAGGCGGATGATATCCGAGAAATGGCGGGAGTATATGAGACAAGAGGCCAAATGCACGATAACCTAGATAAGCAAAGTATCGCAATACCGAGCAACATCGCCAAAGATACGACAACATCCTGGAGGTGCTACGCATAAATCAAAAACAGAAAGTAATTAAGCTATCCAGAAAATCCGGCACGTATGTATGTAGGTATACGTGTGTACTATACAGACATGACAATCGTCATTCAAACTCGTCATTCATATCCATATGCAGAATCAAAATCCAAACCCTAGGTATCGTAACATTTCCCACCCCCTCTCGTGCAAGGTAAATAACTTATACTTCGTAGTTCACATTCCGTCGCCAATCAACGCCGATTGTTCCCGAACGCCGTTATGCCACCGCCGGAAAGGGTAGGTCGAATGTATCTGTGAGCGGGGACATTAGGGAGGTCTCGTCTTTGTGGGTGGACCGCATGTGTCGTTTTAGTTGGTCTGTTCTGGTTAGCAGAGGGTTATATCCGCCAAGGGAAGAAAAGGGTCCTGACCAGGTCGCGTGAAGCTCTTCGTACATCCGGGGTATATACATTTGTGTCGTCGTTCGCCGTGGGCTGTGCTCGTTAGTTTCTCTCTGCTTTTATGTGTTTTGTTAGATACATACTTAATCGGTGACTGGACATATTCGAAGACTGGTCCTGTTGTTAGCATTTCCCCCCCTCATTAAACCAGAAGGTGGACTTACGTCGCCGGTCTGGAAATTGCACCCCGGATACGTGCATTTGAATGGCTTCTCGCCCGTATGTGTCCGCGAATGCGTTTCTGCTCCGGTCAGCTCTGTCCGTACAATCTGGTAATGCGGTAATGCCACTTACTCAGCTCGCTGCTGTCAGTAAACGACTTGCCACACTGTGAGCAATTATACGGCTTCTCGCCGCGGTGACTGCGCTCGTGTCGTTCCAACGTCGCCTGACGCGCAAAGAACTTGCCGCAGACAGAGCATCGGAAGTTTTTATCTACCAACCGTCAGTTCCCATCTCACGCGGACAATACAAGCAACTTACAATTACTGTGTGTCAAAAAGTGGCCCTGCAGCTTGGATTTCTGCGAGAACGGCTCGTCCGGCCGGTGGCATCCCTCCCAACAACAATAATACCCAGTCCCCTTGGCTCCATCCACCGTGGCCATGTGCCGACAGATCAAATGTTCTTGCAGAGCGCAACAGTCGGAAAAGGTCGCTCCGCATGTGGTCCTGATACCGTTCGAGCTCGAAACCCATTTGCACACGTGCAGGTCGCGGTCCGTAGGACTGAAATCTGGACTCGTAATGACCGAGGAGCCCCCCTCCAGCGGAGGCGGCGACTCTCCAGGGCTGGACAGCAGTTGCGAGCTGATGCTAGATCGGGAATGGCGGGAAAAGGGCGAGTAGTGAGCGTATGGGTGATGGTGGGTGTGAGCATGAGCATGAGACCGGCATCGGTGATGTGAGCGACATGGCCCCCTCGGCGCGCTGCCATTCAGCTGCGCCGGACTTTTCATGAGATCATTGGCATCGAAGTGAGGGATGTGGAAACAGGCAAATGAGTTTGGGTCAGGGTTCGAGTCATGGGTCGGGTTTGGATTCGGGTTGGAGGGTTCCGATGTAGGTTGTTGGTGAAGGGTTTGATCGTCATGGACATGAAAGTTCTGGCAGGCCGACAGGTCCGGACACATGCCCAGCACGTGGAAGACTTCGGCCGGGTTCACTGCGTTGGGTAAAGGATAGGACGGATTCATCAAGTTGTCGTGAACCTCTTTGGGAAAGTCATGACAGTGGAAATGGGGCGTGTTTTGAGGGTGACAGTGAGGCATCGCCGTGGAGAAGAGAGGAATGAAGTGCTCTGCAGAGGAGGTTGGGCCCATGAACCCCGACACGGAGTTGCCGGCAGCTTTAGATAGTTCCTCGGAGGAATGGTTGAGGGAAGCCGAGCAAAGCAAATCATCGGACTCTAGGGCGAGAGGGGCTCCCAACCCTAGTAGTGACTCGAGGCTGTGGTCCGTGCCATGGACATGGCTGTCCTCGTGCCCAAAACAATGGTCCTCGAAGCAGGCCGGGTCGGGATTTTGGCAGTCATTGTCATCACAATTGTCATTGCAATGCGCCGCAGAGCACGCGGTGGAATCGTCGCAGTCGACGAAACCATCGCAGACGGAACCGCAATCGTCGGAACAATGGTCCTCGTCGCAGCAAGTTTCATCGACATCGCAGGGAGCCAGCGAGGCGTTGTGCTCCTCACCAGGACAATCCCATTGCGACGACGGGTGAGCAGTAGTGGCAGTAACAGTGGCAGTGGCAGCCGCAGAAGTCGTCTCCTGCGGGTCTTCCGAATCTTTCCCGTCCAAATGGAAGGCCTCCCAATGGCATTCGAGACAGAAATCGTCCTGTTTTGTGTGAGAAGCCATTGCTCGTGTGATGTATCAAAGCCTCGACCAACGACCGATTAAACTTCCGACGAGGGGGGCTGTTCTTCCCCTGATACCCGAAGGAAGAAGATCACTTTAGGGGCTCGCTTCAGCAGTAGGAACAACAGCAGATACGGAGAGAACACCGTGCAGCGGAGACCAGGCAACGGGGGGAAAAGGAGAAGGAAGAATAGCAGGGCGGGGAGCAGTCTAGGAGATCTGGGGGGGGGGGGTGCACACGCAATGAAACGTCCCGTCTTTTTTTTTCCCCTTCCTGACCAGCGGCGTTAGTGTGAAGGTGCTTGCCACGCGAGTTCTGACCGACAGGAACAAAGGATACCAATGAGAACAGCCCAAAAAAAAAAGCGAAAGCAGCCCCGAAAAAGAGGAAAAATAAAAAAGCAAAAAGAAAAAGCGGCGAAGAGCGTCAATCAGGGCCAACGGGCAGTGCGTGCGCAGAGATCGCCTGGAAGAGAAAAGGACCGATGGGACGGGGCATGAGGAACGGCGGCGGAGGACCTTGGGAGCATGAGGCCGGTATAATGAAATTGCGCGAGTTGGGCGAGGTTGATTTCCTGGCAGACGGTAAGATGGCAGTTGGTGGTGGTGACGACGGGGAAGCAGAGAGCGCGCAAAATGATGAGGACCTTTGGAGTGAAAGCCTGAGGACCTTGCGGGTTAGCGTGGGTCCGCGGCCTGGCGCCAATGAGGGGCCTCAGGTTGTCACGCTTTTTCTTCAGGCACACAGTGTTCTTCTAGTAGTACTATCCAGAATACACCTACAATGTATATCCAACATCTTACATCCAGTGCAGACGGATCGTTCTGGCGTCATCCATGTTTGGTCTGCATCATCAGGCCCCGCCGAGGGGTACCTTAGACAGTAGTATCCCTGACTAGTCCTAAGTGCTCCATAGTAAGTTCAGTAAGTTCAGTAACGCTGATCGTCCGACTCATTTCCCATGCAATATCTCCACCATGATGTATCCCTATTCCCTGCCTCTACTGGTAACACCAGAGAGCTCCCTCCCCGGTCCCTCTGCACGTCTGGTTGCACTCAGCACGTTCTATAGTTACCTCCCTCTCAAAGCAGACTAGTCCCGATCGGAAGACCACGTGCGGCTCCCACCGCCTTTTCTCCAGATCGTCATTCCTTCGCCGGAATGTGGTTACCTTCGATTATCTACATCCCATCTCTCTCTCGACGTGATATCACATCCTCCAATTCCGTCAATTCTTCATGGAAGATCACTAATCAAACTCCCTGATTTAACCCTAATTACACCTTCCTCCGCCTCTCCCTCTCTCGTCTCCACTCCGGCAAACCCCCGTCCCTCTACGGCAGGAGATCTCCAACTCAACACCTCCACCCTCTTCAGGGTCGCAAACCAAAACAACATACAACAAAAGAAACAAAAAAAAAAAAAAAGAAAGAAAATGGGAAACATCTGCTCCCGCTCAAAAAACGAACCCGAACCCTTCTCCCGTCCCGGTCGCGTCCTGGGCTCCAATCCCCCTCCCCCTTCTGCGGGTGCTCCTGGAGGGAAGAAACCCGCCGGCCCGCGCGCCCCGCTCCCCGCAAACTCCAAATCCAATTTCGGCTCCCCGGGGAGGACCTTAGGGGATGCCGACGACGCCGGTGGTCAGAACTCCGATGCTCGTACTAATGCAGCTTTGGCGGCGCAGGTAAGCCAGTTCTTTCCTTTTCTGTTTATATATTCTTTTGCTTTGGGCTCTATTACTTGGTTGGTTGGTTGGTTGGTTGGGATAAAACAGGTGCTGACTCGTATCGGGGTTCAAACAGAAACGCGCAGAGTCCTCGACTCCAGTCGGAAAGGGTAAACTAGGATCGAAATTGGCGGCGCAGAAGGCTCAGACACAGACGCAGACCTTGAATGAGGTTAGTCACGACGAGAGAGCAGCGAGGGATGCGGACGACGCGGCGAATACGAGACGCTGGGAGTGATCTGCGTATACTATTTCAGTTGTCTACATATGTACTTGGTTGGGGAAGATCTGTTTTTTTCTACTGCGTTTTCTGGTTGAGGTTCTTCTGCTCTCGTTTTCTTGTATCCAATGGAGCTGGTATCTAGGAGTCTACGGTTGATTATAGCGAATTTCAGCATTAGGACAGAGCTTGGCCAATGTCAATAACCTTGAGCAATCTAGCGCTTGGGACATAACCATTTATTTCATTCCATTGCCATCTCCCTGCGTCTCCCCAGACCCCGCCGTGGCACGAAAAAAGACAACGAGACTTTGGTATAGTAAAGTATGATACAATTATATGTGAGGCGAGAAGAGCACCTTTAGACCACGTTATACCGTCCTCCCACGGGGGCCCGCGCGTCGCTATCCGCAGCGGCAATGGTTCCTTCCTTGAGCAGCCGCATAAGCTCCCGCATGGCATTCGTGACGGAGAGCTCGGTTTCGCCTTCAACAAGAATATACAGCTTGGGGTTCTCGCCGGGGCCTGGCTCTTTGCCAGTCCCGTAGAAACTGCCCTTGGTGGTGATGGACGTTCCGGTAGCTTCGAGGATCTTGGCCACGTTCGTACGGTTGGTAACGGCCCATCGTGCTTTCTCTGTTTCGGAAACCATGTCATTAGCAGTTGTTCGGAGCCAAAAGGAGAGGTGGGTGGAGAAGTAGGGGGAGGGGGGCAAAGGAACTTACGTGGAAAGTCGTTGATTTCCAAAGTAGCATGGAAAGCTCCGGCGTCAGGGCCGCGGTTGTCAATAGGCACGCCAGATCTCATAACACCGGCACGACTGAGACGTGCATGGATATCTGCAACCGCCGAGCCCACCTTGTCCAATGGGTTCTTCGATGTGCTGGCAGGATCCTTCTCGGTCCTGTGCACAGTGATCTTGCCATCGAGATCAATGCCCTTGGGAACGCCGGGAGTCGGCGCCGCAGGGGCGTTTTGAGACCCGGATATCATCTTGTTGAACTTCTCTTCGGCCTGCTCATTCTTCTTCTCGTCCTTCTCCTCTTCCTCTTCGCCCTCTTCGCCGGTCTTGTAAGTGCGGCGTTCTCGCATCCGAGCGGCATCTCGTTCCTGATCTAGCCGCTCCAGTCCTTTTCCACCGAACCCAGACGCGCTGGCCTTCTCTTTGCCCGCGCGCACTTTCTCCAAGAACGAATCAACCAGCTTCTGCACGGGCTCGGGCACTTGCTGGCCACTTTGTTTCAACGCCTTAGCGATATCGACCGAATACCGCTCCTGATCTTCAGTCAGGAACGTCACTGCAGTTCCAGTATTCCCAGCTCGCCCAGTTCGTCCTGCGCGGTGAACATAATCTTCGAGATGGTTCGGCGCATCGTAGTTCACAACGAGCTTGAGCTGCTTGACATCCAGACCACGAGCGGCAACGGAGGTGGCAACCAGAACGGGGAATATACCGGCCTTGAAATCTTCAATCGTGGAATCGCGGTCAATTTGGTCCTTTCCACCGTGAATGGACATGCATGGGTAACCCTTGCGCATCAACTCACGAAGAAGGTTGTCGGCTCCTTCTTGACGGTCAACAAAAATCAGGGCACGGGAGTCTTCGTTAGCCTCGTCGGAATACAAATTGCCCAGCAGTTCGAGCAGACGAATAAACTTCTTGTCTTCACTACGAACCTCCACGATTTGTGTGATCTCAGGCGCAACGACACTCTTGCCGCCGACCACGATCTCCACAGGTTTGTTCAAGGACTTGCGGGCAAGTGCCTCCATGTTCCGCGGGAAAGTGGCCGAAAAGAGAACTGTCTGTCGATCCGGTCGAATGTTGGCCATGATTTTCATGACCTGGGGTTCAAAGCCCATGTCGAACATGCGATCGGCTTCATCCAAGACAACATAGGTCACGCGGCGCAGATTTGTGACTCGCCCAGAATTGGCCGCAAGCAAGTCAATCATCCGTCCCGGGGTGCAAACAATGATCTCCGCACCACGCTTGAGGTCAGCAATCTGGTCTTTGATGGGGGCTCCACCATAAGCGCACACAGCCCGGAGATTCAAGGCCTTCAAAAACGGCTTGCAGTCCTTGTGGATCTGGGTTGCCAGTTCACGGGTCGGCGTCATGATCAGCCCAATAGGTCCTTCCATGTTATCCAGCGGCCGCTGGTCTTTGATATGTCGGAACATGGGGATCAAGAAGGCGACTGTTTTACCAGATCCCGTCTTGGCTACACCGATCACATCACGCCCGGACATGATTGCTGGGATGGCTTGTCCCTGAATCGACGTAGGACTATCGTAGCCCAGTCGATCAATCACGTCTAGAGTCTGCACTCCTAAACCACACTGAGACCACTTCTGCACTGGCTTTGGAACATCCACTCCGCGAACCTTGATCCCGTCAAATTCCAACCGCAAATTAGCGACCTCCTCTTCGGACATCTGCGCCAGATCGCTGGGCTCGGTGTAAAATTTCTTTCGGAAAGACTCATATTCCGCTTTCTTGTGATCGACTGTCGGGATGTCCTTCTTCTTTTTCGCCTTGTTGGCAATGGCTAAGAAGTCGTCCGCATCACCGTCACCCACGGCAGTCATATCTACATCGTGCTCATCACCAAACATAGCTTCCGGCTGCTCTGGCTTCGCTTTGGAAAACTTGGCACCCGAGGTCTTCTTGGGAGGAGCGGACTCCGCCAGCTCCGACATGAAAGCATCCAAGGGATCGACCTCTTCTTCTTCTTCCACCTCTTCCGCATCAACATCCATTTTATCGGATTCTTGCTGCTGATTGGAAGATAAATCATTAGATTGCACGTCACCGTTAGTTTGATTCTCGTCTGCTGGTGTTTGTGACTTGAACGCTTCGTTCTGCAGGCGTTCTTCTCGCCTTTCGGCAGCTGCTCGTGCCGCCGCGGCATTTTCCTCTTCGGTGCCCCCGTCCTGCATGTCGACATCGTCGTCTTCTTCCGCGCCCGCTTCGACTGGTTTATCAGCCTCTTTGGTGTCATCTAATGGAGGCGTAGGCAGCTTTTCGAGCTTTCGTCGCGTCGATTCTTCTTCACCAAATCCGAGGGTCTTCTTCTTCGTTGCGGAGGACTTGTCGGTATCTGTGGCTTGCTTGTTGACCAAACCAAATCCACCTACATTGCCCTTGGCTTTTAGGGCAGCTATAGATAAACGATTAGCCAATGTCGATGGAGGATAGATGACCAGATAGTAGAACTTACAAGAAGATGCACTTGAAGAGGCAGTAGGTTTGTTAGCAGACACCTTAGAGGTGGTGGCAGTGATGGCAGTGGTGGTAGTGGTGGTAGTAGTGGTAGTGGTGGTAGTGGATGTCTTAGCCGTAACCGGAACAGAGATATCAGTCCCCAACACAGCCGGCGCAGCTTGAGTTGGAGCAGCGGCATTCTTCGCAATAGCCTTGGGGTCGAACTTTCCGGCATACCCGGTGGGAGCAGGTACGGGGGATTGAGGGGAGTCGACAGCTGGCGATAGGCCTGACTTTCGATCGATTTCTTCCAAGATGTTCCTAGGGCCACCGGCGGCGGCAGCTTCCTGCTGTTTTCGTTCCTTCTCAGCAGCCTGTTTCTGTTTCCATGCTTCCAATTTCGCTAGCCGTTCGGCGCGTTTTTGCTCGTCCGTCGGAGCGGCAGAGACTGGTGTGGAAGGTTTCGACGTCTGTATGTCGGTTAATACCTTACCGTCTTTTCTGGGGATTGGTTGAACACATACCTCGCGAGATCGCGGGGCCGAGTCCTTTCCCCGGTCTCGGCTGTCATCCCGTCTAGACTTGTGTTTCAAATCAGCAGAATCGTCTGTCCGTCTCCGAGCCCTATCGCGGGAGTCATCTCGCCTGCTTCGATAATCCCTATCGCGGCTTCTGCGACGGTAATCCCGATCATCATCTCGGTCTCTCGATCGACGTCGGTCACGGGAACGATCTCTGCGACTGGGTCGATAACTGTCTTCGTCACGGTGATCATCGCGTCTATCTATCGAGCGGTCACGTCTGCGGAATGAATCACGATCACGGTCGCGTTCGCGTTCGCGTTCACGATATCGTCTCTGCAAGGGCCACAGGTGATTAGTTCCCGGACGAGGTCTAGGTTTATCGCATGCTTGCATTGACCGCCACGGACGACTTACCTCGGGACTGCGAGATCTTCGGTAACTTCTGCCATCATCTCGTCTACTCCTCTCATGACGATCATCTCTGCGACTGCGTCTGGATGAAGAATATGTGCTGCCTACAGGTGATGGTGAGCGAGTATCCCCGTGGCGAGCCATTGTTGCAGGCCAGCGATGAGTGAGTATTACTGGAACTCGAAGCACCCGACGAAATTGCGGGGAAGATAGTAGTAAAAGCAAAGTATTACCCTTCCATTAGATGCAAAGCTCGGGGAAAGCAAAGCCGCTCCTGGTCGAAGTTGGGATAGATGGTGGCAACGGGCGGTCCTTAGCAGGGTGGAGGGATTCTTCAGACGCAACCGCGCTAGGATAAATCCCAGCCTGACGCAAACTCCCGCGCAAGTCCTCGATTATCACGTGAGGACCGCGACGTCAGGCCGTCAGGCCATAGCAATGATGTCACGTGGTGCGTCCCTTCCTCATTGGGGTTACCCCAAAACGACGCGCCCAGCCAGCTTCCTCCCGCTTGCGTCTAAGAAAGCTCCCCTGCGGTCAAGCCCCTGCAGTCGCTTTCTTCGTCTTGGTTGGCTACACCTCCCTCCTGATTTACTGTTATTCCCACTATCCTGTCGTCGCCTATCGTCGCATAACATCGCCATGCCTCTGAACGTCGCTCGAGGTGGAGGCGGTGCCCTTCGCGGCGTCTACCTCAATGCCGTCGCTCGTCCCTTCCGTGTGGCCATCTCCCAGCCTCATGTCCGCCGCGTGTGCCTTGCGACGCATCGCGGTTCCCTGAAGCCTATCGCCGGAGCTGTTCCTTCTGTCCTCTCGCGCCAGCTTGTCAACACATACGCGACCGCCAGTCAAGCTAAAGCTACAACCAAAGAGAAGACGACGAAAACACCGAGGGCGAAGAAAGCCACCAAAGATGCTTCGGAGAAAAAGACTCCGCTAAAAAGGACCTCTCAGAAGCCAAGGAAGGTGCTGACAGAAAAGCAAGAGCAAATGAAGAGCCACCGGGCGCACAGAAAGCGGCTCCAGGAGCTCAAGGCAACTGGGCTGTCCCCACCCAAGGTATCCAGGGGGGTCTACTGGAACGTCGCGGTGGCCGATTTGGTACCCGAGGCCATGAAGACGGCCAAAGGTCCAACTGAGGTGTTCCGCCGGGCTATCGAGCTTGCGAAGAACCTCACCTCGGAAGAGAAAGAGGTGCGTATAATGTTTCCCACCAGCAAGTTTTTGATGCAACGCTTCAATGCTCACAATTGACTGCAGCGCTATTTGGCTATCGCCCAATCCAAGCGGGAGGAAGAACTGGCCAACTACAAGAAATGGGTCCAGTCGCACACCCCCACGCAAATTCGGGATGCCAACAGTGCCCGGCGGAGGCTTGCCAAGCTGAGGGATCACCATGTCGCCCTTATTCGCGATGAGCGGTTGGTCAAGCCAGTCAGACCTCAGTTCCTCTTCTACTCGATGGAAAGAAACAAGTCGGGCGATTTCAATCACATGACCTCTCCCGATAGAGCCCGTAAAATCGGGGAAGAATGGAAGAACCTGACATCTTCCGAGAAAGAAGTATGTTTTCCAGCTCCCATTCATCTTGGAACTGACGAAGTAAACTCCTGCAATGCTAACATCAAATCAACAGAAATATGTCCAGCTCCGCAAGGCTGACCAGGAACGCTACCATCGCGAATGCAAGGAAGTCTATGGTGATGGGCCAACACCAACTGAATGAATGGAGACAATGGTATGCGCGCTCAGTGATCCAAATTCTCGGTCATGCTCATGGTAAGGAAGAACTTTGGGGAGGTGCGCGTGATCGCGTATCCTACCACGATAGGCCTCTGTTAATTGTGCGCGCATGTTATTTGTCTGTTCCCACGTTGTCTTAGTCTACGAATTGTACTCTCTAGCCATATTGCTGAAAATCAAATCAATCGGTTAATTTGCTATCTTATCTCGTAATTTTTGGGTGTAGAATGCAGTGTCTCTTCCATAGATGGAGTACTCAAAGTAGCATGGCGCCTGAGCGCCCAGATAAGCCATGGGCTTGCAGGAGCCTGTTAGTACAAGGCAATGAGGGGCCCAATCTGTATCTGTGGGACGAGTAACGACTGGTCCGTCATGTTGAATTTCCTCTTCTGGCTCTTGAGTTCAGGCACTTCAACCTTTTGACATATCAAGGAGCCTGACTGTCAACGCGAGGTCATAGCTTCATCTTCACACCGATCTGTCTCAAAACACAAAAAAGGACGATGGTCAAATGAACAGACTTTGTCAGACCAACTCCAACCAAGATCCCCATGTCGTGTCACCGAGTCCGCGACCCATGATGCAGGCTAGTGACGGTGTCGATGTCCGTCGTTTCACTTGCACTACTCTTCCCGAGCAATAATGCAGGCACGTACAGTATGTTGACGTTGGGCAGGAAGAGCTACGGTAACTAGTTTGAACGACATACATGCGTAGTACTCCGGCGTACATGAGAAATGTGGGTATACGGAGGACTTTCGGACATTACGGCAGTCTCGACTCTCGGTGCCCCATGAGTCATTTGGGAGTGTAGCCTCCAGAGCTGCGAGGGATGTGGATTGGTGCTCAAGTAACATTGCTTCTTTTGGCTCAACTCGTCATCATCTTGGACTTGGTTGGGTCTTGTCTTCTGCTGGGCCTCGTTGACCGGTTCCCATTCGGGTCCAGAATTCTCTGGGTCGGGCATATGCAATGCTCGAGATGAAACATGCGGTATAGCCTCAGTGACATATCCTGGATCTAGAAGTTTCCTTAGGTACATGATCAGTGAGTAACCATGAGCCAGAGTCGATGGAAAATTGGCCCGCATATGCTCCGCAGCGGGGATTACGATGCAGCTGGAGACTGAACTCTGAAGAATAATGAAGAAGTTCAGCCTGATGGACAACTCACGACCGAAAACCAGAAAAGAAAAAAAAAGCCTAATAAATCAAAACAAAAGGATAATAAAAATAGACGGGACCGTCCAAAAGAGGAGTCGTACGGAAGAGTCGGACAAGTCTGTCTGTACTTACCACTTCCGACTTGACTAGAGAACGGACGTTGGGGCGTCTGCTAAAGCGCCGGCTCTCATAGGCTCGAGCGAGGTCTTTGCCTTCGATGCGGTGAAGAAAAGACGGCGCTGGAGGAGGGGCTAAAGTAGTCGCTCTGCTGGGATAGGATTTTCCTATACCCGAGATTCTCGCTGGATTTACGGCGACAGAAAAAGGAATAACAAATGGGCGTTAGATGCCCGATGGGGGTATTTCTTGAGAAGATTCCATGCCATGATAACTATTGTAGAGATCGAGAATAGAGTGTTGTTTGTTGTGGTGGTTATCTGATCAAACTTGACTCCCTAGTGCAGCACGGTGTACTCGGTGGACAGGGACTCCGGGAGTAGAGATCCATCTCGTGCCTTGTTGCCTGAGATCTTATCGATTGTCTCTATTGTTCGTGTTGACCCAAGGAACCATCGTTTCTTCCTCTTATCCGTTCCCCCCACTTGGAGGGACAACAAACACATCTCCGGTTCACTTGTTGTTCACTTGTTTCTCCTGAAAAGGCAATCGAGGTTGATCTCCGATTTCGAGTACAATCAACGGTAAATCACCATCATAGTCCACCGTCTTACCGTCAGGGTTCAGCCGGCTTGCCCACCATTTCCACCGAAGGAGGGGGGCCATCTTTATCGATAGGAGCGTTGCAGGCACTGCGACCGGGTGTGTGACTGGCTTGTGCCTGCGTGACTTCTCTTCCCTACACAATTTGTTGATCTTGCGCCAATCCCAGAGATCCGCGCTCGTTGCTGTCCACTCCCGCTAGACTTCGCTGGTCGCTCTTTTACCCCCAGCCACCAGCCACCGTTTTTACTTCTTGTCTCTCGGGGGAATCACATCAAACTGCCGACGATTGATTACTTTCGAGGTAAGAGAGAGAAAAAAAAGTCCAAGCCCTCGTGCTTTTTTCCTCTTGAGCTCCCCCTTTTTTTTTTTCCCGCGCAACTGCTGACTCTCCCCATGTACGTGCCATACTAGTTCGCATTCTGAACCGGTGCCCATCGCATACCTCACCGTCCAATCCAATTTACTCGTAGGACGATCTTCACTACTCTCCTTTCTCCAATCTCGCCCACCGCCTCGTCATGAACTACTGCGCTTTTCTCCCTGTCCCTACGCCTTCCTACTGACCTTTTCCCTTCAATTTTTCGGATTTCTCTTCAACTTTTTCCACCTTGTTCGACTCTTCTATTTCGTATCTTTACCTTTAATTTCGGATCTTCTCTTTACCTCGTTTCTTATCGCAAGTTGTGCTTCACATTTCATAATTGTCACGTCTTACTCCGTCTGACCTCCGGCTTCTGGTGTTCTAAAGGGAGGCCCTTTCTTTTTTCAGCCCTTTCCTTTCTTGCTTCACCCCTCGACAGCTCCTCATTCCATTGATTTCTCGCCCTTGATTTTGTTATTTAAATAAAATCACGACCTGGCTCTCCTCCGCGCTCGACTCGTTTGATGTCAATTGCCTGCGGCCGATGCCCCCTCAGTACCCATGCGCCTGACGCTATTGTCTCGCTGACCTCTGTCAAGCCGCGCATACTTTTTCATTTTGTGTTTTTTGCAACCATGGAAACCCCGCGCATGGCTCGCAATGATGTGTTTACTTCCGCTTTCGGTGGTTTCTCGCATGCGCGCGATGCAGCTGTGCGTCATGGGCAGCAGGCACGATGCAAGGGAAGTGGCCTGATTGGGAAGAGTGTGGACATACTGAAGGAGTTCTTGGAAATAGGACTTGTGGGTATAGATGAGGTGTGTTTTCTTTCGCACAGAGTTATTAATACACTTGAACCTCTAACTGACTACCTCAATCTAATATAGGCGAACAGCTTTCGAAGTTCTCTCGAAAAGGCGGCCCTACTTTCGGAAGTGAACTTTCACAGGCTAGAAGACCCAAGTCACGATGACGTTCCTCCTTCATACGACGACGCTGTCAGAGACCTACCGCCAGAATACGCTACGCTTTCGCCACTTGCACATCGAAAAGATGTGGTTCACGATTCAGCGCCGCCCAAATATTCCCAAACTGCCAATTCCAGACCCTCGTCCCGTGTCATCGACTTTGATGGTTCACTCGGAATTCGAGAATACAAGGGCGGGAAAAACAAGAAGAAGAACAAGCCGGCACCGCAGCGACAGGCTACACCCCCGCCAAACGATGACGGCGACAAAAAAGACGAGGGCGCGGACGGGGGATCCAACGGCGGGGATCCTCCAGCCGATGGAGGTGATGCTGGCGACGGGAACGGCGATGGCGGAGATGGTGGAGGCGGAGGCGGTGGTGATGAGGGTGGAGACGACGACTGGGATGCTTGGAACACTACCAGCACCAAGAAGAAGACCAAGAAGCAAAAGAAGGAGGAGGAAGAGGAATTAAGGCGGAAGGAGGAGGAAGAACAAGCGGCCAAAGAGGAAGAAGAACGCAAAGCCAAGGAAGAGGAAGAACGAATAGCAGCAGAGACCGCGGCAGCAGACAACAACAATCTCAGCTGGGCGGATGATCCTAACGGCAATGATGACTCATGGGCTGGGTTCGCCACTGCAGGGAAAAAGAAGAAGAAGGGCAAGGTATTTGATAGCGTGCAACGTGCATATCAATTCTTGAGCTAACGTTTTATAGGGGACTGATTTGTTAGGGGTTGATCCTCCCGCAAACTCGTTCCAGGACATCAGCTTGGGTGACGGGGCTCCGCAATTAGACCTCAGCCTTGACCCTACGGGTGGGAAGTCTGCCGGAACGGATTTCAATTTCGGTACCTGGGGTAAAGGTTGGGGAGGCGGAAATAAATGGGGATTGGATTCCTTGGGAGACATGAATGGCGTCAAAGACGAGAAAGGGAAAGCAGACAACAACCCCTGGTCGCTCGGCTCCAAGGATCCTATGAAAGGCTCAGTCGGATTCGATTTCGGTGGCTCCAGTGACCCCCCGCCGGCCGCTCCTGCGGACGAGCCAAAGGCCGATGATGATAGCTGGGGTGGTTTTAATGTCACTAGCAAGAAAGATAAGAAGAAGAAAAAGAAGGGCGTTTTGGAAGAAGAACCCCCCAAGGAACCTGAACCTGAGCCAACCCCACCCCTCGAGCCTGAGCCTGTGCCCGAACCCGAACCTGCTCCAGCAGCGGACATCGCGGGACTCTCCAAAAAAGAAAAGCGAAAAGCAAAGAAGGGGAAAGATGAACTACTGGCGCCCGAGCCAGTTGTAGAAGAGCCTAAAAGTGATGATATTTGGGCAGACATTGATACGAAAAAGAACCCGGAGCCGGAAATTGCAGATGATAATGACTGGGACTGGGGCGCGTCGATCAAAAAGAAGGACAAGAAGAAGAAGAATGCAATTCTTGAGGACCCGGTGATAGAGGAGCCTCCGCCGGCCCCAGAACCGCCACCGGAGCCCGTTGTCCAGAAGAAAGAAGAAGACGATTGGGCCGGATGGGGTGCGCCAGCTAAGAAGGACAAGAAGAAGAAGAAAGGCAAGCTGATTGAGCCTGAGCCCGAGCCTGAACCTGTCCCAGAGCCCGAGCCCGAACCTATCGTGGAGCCTGAGCCTGAGCCGGAACCAGAGCCCGAGCCCGAACCTGAACCTGAGGTCCCTGCACTGCCCGATGACCCTCTTTATAATAATTGGGACAAGCTGTCTTCAAAGGATCGGAAGAAGCGAGAGAAGTCGCTGAAAAAGAAGGGTCTTCCCATACCAGGTATAGATATCCTAATTCCTCCACCTCCGCCCCCAGCGCCCGTGGAACCAGAGGAACCAGAGCCAGAGCCTGTGGTGGAGTCTGAACCCGAACCAGAGCCAGAACCAATCCCGGAAGTGATCCCAGAGCCGGTCATAGAGCCAGAGCCGCCTGTTGAAGACGATAGCTGGGGAATCTGGGGCCCTTCAAAAGACAAGAAAAAGTCAAAGAAGAGCAAAATCGCCGAGGACCCTCCACCACCTGCACCAACTCCGCCGTCCCTAGGATTGGATCACGATATCGATGCATTCGCGATCGAAGATGTCCCCGAGGAGCCCATGCTGGATGACCCCCCTCCTAAATCCTCAAAGAAGAAAGCAGAAGAACCTCCCGCGAAAGCCACCAAGGGATTCTGGTCCGCTTTTGGAGCCGCGACCTTAGGGAAACCTAAGGCCACGAAGAAAAAATCCGAGGAAAAGCCCAAGGTGATCGAGGAACCGAAGGAACCCGAGTCTGCCCCGGCGGACGCTGATTTGCTCCTCGATGTTGGTGACGAGCCTGGGGAACCCGCGGCGTCTGACGCGCCTGACGAGCCTATAGTAGAAGAGCCACCCCCGCCAGCCGCGCCGCCAACGAAGACACCTGTTGTCAGCTCCAAGTCCAAGTCATCAGCCAAGCTGTCCGTCGCTGAGCGCATCAAAGCCCTTGAGCAGGCGAAGAAAGATAAAGTAAAAGACAAGGCCTCCGGGAAATCTAAGACGAAAGAAGCCATCCCGCCCCCAGTGGATCCTCCCGAACCTCCTCAGCCAGATCCGGAACCAGAACCGGAGCCAGTGGAAGAACAGAGAGTTGCACGAGACTCGGTCCCTGGAAGCTTTCCTGACGCCTTTGACGACGACTTTGAAGACCCACCGCCCCCTGTCCCAGAGCCTGAGCCCGAGCCGGAACTAGAACCCAAGCAGGAGCCCCCGCCACCAGCTGAGCCTGAGCCCGCGGTCTCGTCGAAGAAAACCAAGAAGAAGGACAAAAACAAAGGGAAGGTTGTCGAACCGGTGCCCGAACCTGAACCAATCCCTGAGCCGGCTCCAGAACCCCCACAAGAGCCAGAACCGGTGCCCGAGCCCGAGCCCGCTCCCGCTCCCGCTCCAGTTTCCAAATCGGACAAGAAGAAAAAGAAGAAGGGTAAGCTTGTTGAGCCTGAACCGGAGCCCGATCCAGCGCCGGCGCCAGACCCTGAGCCCGAGCCCGAGCCTGCTCCTGCAGATGAGCCCCAACCGGAAGCGGAGCCGGAGCCAGAGCCCGCAGAACCACCCGCTCCCGAGCCCGAAAAGCCCAAGAAAAAGAGCAAGAAAAGCTCAACTTCAAGAGGCATCATGTCCTCTGCTGATGCGCCGCCTGCGGATGTGACCGCGGGTGACGCGCCCCCAGAGAATGATGCTGGTGGACCCCCGACACCACCGCCCGAGCCAGTTGCGCCTGAAAGATCGGCCAAAAAGGAGCGTGCACGTGTCGAGCGAACGGCAGGTGCCGCGTCCTGGGCGTTCTGGGGCGCTGGGGCTCCACCGCCTAAGAAGTCAGGTCATCGGGAATCCAGGCACAGAAGGGAACAATCACCGGGGGTTTCAAGATCCAAATCGAATAGACACGCCAGACCTCGGGAGCCTGAGCACGAGATGGAAAAGTCATCAGCATCTGAGAAGGACAAGCGCCGAGAAGCCAAACTCAACCGAGGAACGGCCTTCTCGAAATTCATCCTTGGAGCCCCCCCTCCGCCTTCACGCACCAAATCAAGTCGTCGAAACGGACATTCCGCCTCAAAACATACTTCTAGAGGTCCGTCCGTCGATATGAATGATACTGGCATTCCATCACCCCCGCCAGACGACGGACAGGAGATGCCCGATAAGGTAGCGCGAATGATGGGAGTATCCGGAACCAAGCGAGAAAGGCCGCGTGGAACGCGAACGAAATCAAGTGGTATGTTCTTTGTATTTATGTCTTCTTTGAACCTTGCTGATGGCCAATTTTGTTGCAGGTGCTCGTGATCCTTACGCATTGGAGGACGAAGACATGGTCATGGTAGATCGAGAGGATGCCGAAGGGTATCCACCAAAGACACGCTCGCGCGAGTCCAGACACTCCGAGAAGCGGTCAAGAAAGCAGGTTAGTAGGCCTGACTCTTGACGTAATTTTTCTATGGCGAATATTTGCTAACCATCTACTAGTCGCGGTCGAGGCCCGAGGAACTTCAGGAAGATGCTGTTATGGTCGATGCTGACCAGGCGCAGCAAGGCCCTGATGTCTTCTCTGGACCAGATGACATTGCTTTTGTCGAAGCCCCACCAAAGGAGCCGCAACGCCTTAAACGCTCAAACACCGCTCCTAAGAAACCTGAGACAGGTGGATTGATGGGTCTCATCGGTTCGCTGCGCAGGACTGCGCGTGCGGAGCCTCCTGAACGTCATAAGTCTCGCTCTCGTCGTGATGATGATGCAAAGCACATGGCGGACCCCGAACGGGACGAGGCTCGGCGTCAGCGCCGTGAAGAAAGAAATAAACGCTCAGCCCGCCCGGAGAACGAGGGCGATGGGTTTGTCACCGACGCTCCTCCAGCCGAGGAAGCGCCAGACATGGAAGCAGACGATGCGGAAGCTAGAAGAGCAGAACGCAGGGCGCGACGTGCCGCAAAACAAGCTTCTCTGGACCAAGCTCGAGAGAACGAAATGCGTGAGGCAGAGGAGAGGCGCGCGAAACGAAAGGGAAAAGAACTCGCTCGGGAGCGAGAGATGCATGATAGACAGCTTCGCGAAGAGGAAGAGCGGGAGCAACGACGCCAAGAAGAGAAGAGAGCACGTCGAGCTGCCCGCGAAGAGCGCCGCGCTCGTGAAGAGCAGGAGGCCCGAGAGGCGGAAGCCCGGGCCGAAGCGAAAGCTGCGGAACGCCGTGAAAGGCGCCGGCAGAGGGAAGCAGAAATGCAGGAAAATCCCAGATCGCGGCGCCACTCCCGCGTGGATGATCGCGCTACTCGGGATTTCTACGCTGAGGACCCTTACGCCGACCCGGAGAGATCGAATCGCCGACGATCCAGGGCCCCGGAAATGGCCCGGGAGCAACCGCCGCCGATGATGTCCGGCGGACGGAGGGATAAGATCTCGTCTTGGGTTGATCAACAGCACATCAACCCTCCGGAGCCGCCGCCCCTTGTGGCCACTGTGCTCGACATGCCACCCGGTCCGGGCGATCAGACCAATGCGCACTCGATGTCATCGGATGAGGAAGCCCGACGTGACCTCCGCCGCAGAGCCCGCAGACGAGCGCGGTATCCGGGACTGACAGATGATGAGATCAACGACCTACGCGAAAGAAAACGTGAGGCGCGCCGATCTGACCGGGATGGCATGAAGAGCAGCTCCGGTAGTGGCGACTACGAGCGGGACCGTGGCATGCGACATGACCGGTACAGCGCGCCGCCGCCGCCGCAGCCCAACTCTGGTGGAAAAATGAACTGGTTCAAGAAACTCACCAGTCTGTCATGAAGAAGGGGAGATATATAACGATTTTTTTTCGACTTTGCGTGATGATTCAAATGATTGAAACGACAGAAATATTATTATGACCTTGTTGGATTACGAGAAAAAAGGATATCAACTGGATGACACCAACAAATTGGACCGATGTTGGATACGAATGAAATGTATTTTTAGCGAGAACCAAAATGTGTTACTCTCAGCTCGATGATTATAGCTTAAATGATGATGCGTTATATGTACCTTCCTGTCTATTTTGACATAAGAACGTAATTTAAATGGGAATTGCTAAGGACACCCCAACTGATTATCTAATATCAGTTATTATGTAATCTCACCACGACCACACCCCATTCCATTCCATCTAACTAATTACTGTAGCAACAGTATGTGTGATGAACCTACGCAGGAAAGATAGATGATCTTTATTAAACGGCATTCTATTCGAAATACCAAACGTGAGGAAGAGAAGCAAAGGTAAGGCTATCTAGGAAAACAAATAGAGAGGCGCTGGTTTGTATGCTTAGTAAGTACCCTCTGTCTTAGTCATCTTGTCAGCGACGTCAGGGTCCTGACATCGACTGCGTATACCGAAAGCAAAAATACTAGACAAAAAGAGTGGAAATTCAGATGAATCAGGTATTAAAAAGGGAACTCCAAATGCAGTTACAACAGGCAAGAAAAAAGGACCATCTAAGTGCTCAAACTGTGGTGAAATTGGGCATACAATCAGGTCATGTAAGGTATAATAGCTAGATGGAATGGAATGGGGTGTGGTGAGATTACATAATAACTGATATTAGATAATCAGTTGGGGTGCCGTTAGTTAGTAAAAAGTTGGGGTGTCCTTAGCAATTCCCAATTTAAATCTGTAGTTAACGTAATCAACTACCGAGCCGCGCCTACCACCGAGCCGCGCCCCTTCGATAAAACTTCCTACTTTTTTCATTACTCTTCATTCAACGCGTCATTTCTCTCCCCCATACTAAAATATGCCTCTTTCTCAAGAATCTCGTATTCAGATGGCTAATTCTGCATTTAAAAATGGTCAAATTAAATCGAAAAAACGCGCTGCACATATTTATGGAGTTCCTGAAACTACCCTACGCAGCGAATCAATGGTATACAACCACGATCGGAGACACGCGCCAATAGTCATAAATTAACAGTAATCGAAGAAGAAACTCTAGTAAAGCGACTACTAGATGCAGACAAGCGAGGCTTTCCCATTCGTCCAGAGTTTCTACGTGAAATGGCTCAGATATTACTTTCTGAGCGTCCACAAAACCACACTGCAGTTCTTGGTATTAATTGGGCTTATAAGTTTACCAAACGCTATCCTCAGTTACGCACACGATATAGCCGACGTATGACATATCAACGTGCAAAACAGGAGGATCCACAGGTCATAATACCATAGTTTCAAACTGTCCATGAAGCTATCCAAGAACACGGTATACACGAAGACGATATCTGGAATTTTGATGAGACTGGCTTTGCAATGGGGCTCTGCTCAGCTGCTAAAGTTATTAATGCAGTAGAGCTTAGTGAGCGGCCACGCAGAGTTATCCAGGGTAATCGTGAATGGGTTACAATTATCGAAACGATCAGCTCAAAAGGCGTACATATACTACCGATTATTATACTGAAAGGGGGCTAACAACAAGCTGCTTGGTTCCAAGAACCTAAGCTTGCTGGAGACTGGTGGATTGCAATAAGTCAAAATGGCTGGACCACCGATAAAATAAGTCTTCTTTGGCTAAAGAATGTCTTTGAACCTTCCTCCAAGCGCTATATGACCGGTGCAAAACGCTTACTTATTTTGGACGGCCATAGTAGTCATTTGACTGCTGAATTTGATGATTTTTGCAAACAAAATGCAATAATATGTCTTTGTATGCCTGCCCACGCCTCGCATCTTCTTCAACCGCTTGATGTGGGTGTTTTTGGCCCACTTAAAAAGGCGTACGGGAAGTTTCTTGAAAGGCGTATGGTTGCAGGCAATAATCATATCGATAAAGAAGACTTTCTATTACTCTATCCAGACGCCCGGGCTCGAGTCTTTACTTCTACGAATATCTGCAGTAGCTTCGCAGGGGCAGGGTTTAAGCCATTTGATCGAGAGCGTGTTCTTTCTAAACTTACCTTTCAACTACGTACGCCTACACCTGTACCATCACTAGTTGAAGGGTCAATTTCCTCTGCTTTCCAGAGTCCACAGAATACTCGCCAGCTAGATCGAAAGATACGCAGCCTGCAGAATAGTCTCAGTGCTAAACGAAAGCTTTCTAGCAGTCCGGTTGCTCATATCCAATATCTTGAAAAGGCTGCACAAATGGCTATGCAAACCAATCTTCTTTTACAGCAAGAAATCAAGGATTTACGAGCTGAAAATGAGCGAAAATACAAGAAGAAAGCAAGGAAACGTGCTCAGCTAGGGCCTGATATTGCTCTACCTGTACAAGAAGGCCAAAATCACGTTCAGCAGTTGGATACGCAGCTTAATGAGCAACCTGAGCAATCTACTACTGTATCTCGTCAACGGGCTCCGTCACGCTGCAGTGGCTGTTGGACAGTTGGACATACAATTCGGAGCTGCCCTAGTAAATAGTTAAATTTTCATATATTTATTTAATCAAATTTAATGGAGTTAGTGGTTGAAAAGCTTCAAAATCTTCGTGATTGCATAAAGGGGCGCGGCTCGGTGGTAGGCGCGGCTCGGTAGTTGATTACGTTATTTAATATCTATCTTATCTAATCGGTTATCGATTGCGATAACCGTTTATCACGTGCTACAGATGCCCTAACGGCGGCATCGGCATTAGGGCACGGGCCGTAGATATGGACATGGATATACAAGATAAAGTAAATTGGACGGGAGGGAAACAGGAAAGATGAACAAGAAAAACATATAAGCAAAAGAGAAGAAAAGAAAATAGAGGGTAGTGCCATACGTGTATCAAAAGGGAAACAGAGAAAAAGAAAAAAAGGTAAAGAAAAAGAAAAGAAAAAGAAACAATATCAAGAAGGAAGACTCAAGTCATATCCCGTAACGTAAAACTCTAGTCGTCGTCACTGGAACATATTAACAGGTCAAGATACACGTAAATTTTCCCTCCCTACGCCGTTAAGGTCATGCATTGCGATTTCCCAGAATTTGCCCCGCGGGTTTTTTTCCAGATAAAAAAAGACGTTTCATCTCGCTCCGTTCAGCCATTCTCCTCTTATTCGTCCAGCATCTTTTTTTGTATTGTTTATTGTTTTAAATTTATTTGGCGGTCTCTCCGGGCAGAAGGTTGCCCTTGACGGCGAACATCTTACCCGTCGTGGCCGAAACGAAGCTGTCGACCTGGCGGGCGTACTGCTCAACCTGTCGGCTGTTCAGCATGGTCTCCAGGCGGCTGGGCTCCTGGGGCAGCTTGAACAGTCGCTGCCACTCATCCTCGGGAAGCAGGGGCTGCTTGAGGGCGGCGCGGCTGGCGTTCTCCTGCTTGCGCTTGTTCTGCCAATTCGTGATCTTGGTCTGCTCACGAGCAAGCGACCGCTGGTAGTACTGGTAGTTGTTGGTTTCGGTGTGGTGGGTCTCGATGCTGTCGAGGAGAAGGTCACAGTTCTTCTCCAGGAAGGGGTCGATGCTGAGAGCCAGGTTGTCGAAGTTAGGCGCCAGGACGGTGTCCTTGACGAACGGGCCCGATTCCAGAGCGGCCAGAGACGAGGGGAGCTCCGCGGGAGACGACTGGCTGGGGGACTGGAGCTGGTGGAGGAAAGAGGTGATCAGGTGAGAGTTGTGGATTTCCACGGGGAGTTCAACGAAGATGTCCTGGAATCTCAGGTTGGACTTTTGCAGCCTGTAATTGGGTGTTAGCTGGGTTTGAACGGGCGTAGATGCAACAATCTTTCAGATATTGCAACATAAAAAAAAACACATACTCGTCGGAAGTGAACTTGTTCTCCTTGAAGGCAGTCATGAACTTAGGAGACAGGCGGAAGGCCCGCAGGCTGAGGCTGCCCTGGGCACTGCGGCTGACGTCGTGCACCAGAGCCACCGTCCTCTCGTTCATCTCCTTCTGGTAAAAGAACTGGTTCTCGATCACGTTTATGTTGACGAAGTTGCCCATGTTGGCGCTAGTGTACCATCCGACGTTGTTGGCGTCCACGTTGACCTCCCGAAGCATGCGGATCATCTCGGCCTGGTAGACGGCGTTGGCCTTCGCGCGAGGGGCGGCGGCGGCCGGGTTGGCGGCGGCATTGTCAAAGTGCGACTCCGCGGGCACTTCGACGACGGGGAAAGGGAAGCAGTTCGTGACCTCGAGGCTGCCACCGGCGTCCATACCAACGATCGAACCGGTCGCAGTCGTCGGGAAGGTCTGGGAGCAGTGCTTGATGATTTTCATCACCACCTATTTTGATACGCCATTAGTCTCGCTGTCGCTCCCAGCATGAATATAGCGGGTGGGGGGAGGAGAGGATTTTCAGGGAGCAATCATACCAAGGCCTCGACCTTGATGGCCGCGAGGGGAACGGGAACTTCTTTCCTGTAGACAGCATTAGCAAAGGGGACCAAAGACACAGTCTCGAGACGACAACGGGGAGCACATACTCCGCCATGTTGGATATAAGCAGCGCAGGGGATACGATGGGGTTGACACTTCGGGATGGAATCGTAACTTTGTGTGGATGGATTTGATCAATTTCCCACCGCCTATCGCTCTGTTGGGTTAGCGCGCCAAGCCTGGCAGTATCGCCTCGTTCGGCCTTTTGCGGATCGCCTCGTTTCCTCTGTCCCCGGCCCCGACCAGACCAACTCGTTCGTTCTCGTCGTGCTGGGGGTCGTCGGGTTCATGTCGCTGGCGCAATTGCTGTCCTGATTTTCCTCGGGCCTGTTCCCCGTCCAGGACGACGCGCTGGGGCCAGCGTGAGCCACACGCCCATCCTAGTACTACTAACCACCACTACCCGCTAGCTAGGGACCCCATCCTAGGCTATGTATAACCACTACTATTTAGTACGCCCGGCTCTCTCTTTCCCCTCACATCCATGTTTCTAGCCTTCTCAACCCATCAACAACATGCTCACCGAAACCCTACAGTACGGACAGGGCCACGTGCTCCAAACGGTGGCCGTCACCACCCTCCCGGAATCCTCTCAAGATAACAGCTACTGGGTAATGTAGGTACAATAACAGAACCCATCTTCGGAATCGACACGAGACCGATGTCTAACCTGCATGGTCTCCTCGTTCATTCCCCCTCCCCGGCATCAAAATCCCCGAAAATCCCTACACTACATAGCCCGGACTGATTCGCGCTCCTATGTTTACAAAAAACTTTCAGTCTCATACACGGTGGCGCCTGGCGAGACCCCTCGCAGACCTCCATCGGATACCTCACCGGCGCCGCATCCATCCTCATCTCCTCGCCCGCCTACACGTCTACCACGCTTCCTCGCATCGCCGGCTTCGCATCCATCGAGTACCGTCTCAGCCCGCACCCAGAGTACCCGCAGGACCCGCAGACCACCGACCCGCGCGCCCTCCGCGCCGCCAAACACCCCGATCATCTGCACGACGTGCAGGACGCGCTGCGCTTCCTGCAGCACAAGTATGGCTTCGGAGAGCGGTATCTTCTCGTCGGACATAGTTGCGGGGCGACGTTGGCGTTTCAGTCGGTGATGGCGGGGTTGCGGGACCGTGCTGAAGACAAGGAGAAGGTCGTTCCTGCTCCGACGGCGATCCTGGGCGTCGCGGGTCTCTATGATCTCAGACTCATTCGTGATACGTTCTCGGATGTGCCTGCGTATCAGGAGATCGTGGAGGGGGCGTTCAGTAAGGACGAGAAACTCTGGGATGAGGCCTCGCCTGCGGTGGTGCGGGGACCTAATGGCGTGGAGGGGTGGGAGGCCGGTCGGTTGGTCGTGCTGGCGTATTCGGTGGAGGATGGTCTGGTCGATCCCATGCAATGGAAGGCCATGGAGCACGCGTTGGCGGGGTGGGAGAAGGACCATTCCAAGGAGAAGGGTCGGCGGGTGGAAATGCTGCCCCTCACGGGCCACCATGACGAAGCCTGGGAGAACGGGGAAGAACTAGCGAGAGCGATTGCTTTCACGATTGAGAAGCTCGGCGATTGATTTGTCGCCTCAAGAGCTTAAGTATAGCCATGCTCGATAGAGAAGGTAGAAACAAGAGTAGATAAGGTGGACAGAAAGTCTGCAGATTACATGGGAATTGAAACAGTTTACCTGTTTCGCATTTGTGCCCCGATGTCCAGTTGGGATTATGTAACTAGTTCACATGAGAAGAACAGAAAAACAGACCGGCCATTTTCAGAACTTCCGACGCCCACCAGTGTTCGTGATCATGAAATGCAGTACATGAAATTGCAGCTTGAAGATCTCTGTCATACGCCGGGTATTGGAGAAACAAAAGATTGAAAAAAGAGACAAATCGTAACAGAAAGAACAAAAGGGGATAGAAAGGATAGAAACACGGTTATCTCGAGTACCACTATGTCTAGGCAGTACATGATCGGAGAAGTCCATGAAACTATGAGGATTGGAGCGGAAAAGGGGAAAGGGGTGATAAGGTCAAGGCTGATGAAGAACGAACCATCGTGCAAGGCGCATGTAGCAAGGATAACAGGTCACAATAGCTCAAGACAGATGAATGCCTTAGTTGCCAATGTCCATGCGTCCGGAAGCGGCGTCGCCGACAGTCTTCTCTTCCTTGCCATCAAAACCAGGCTCGTCAACTTCATCGTCGTCGTCCTCCAAATCATCTTCCTCGGTGTCCTCGATGTATTTCACCTCGGTGCCCGCCTCGCGAAGACGCGCCTTAGTCTCTTCACGATATTGATCCTGCCAGCGAGCAAGTGCAGCACTAGCGTGAACGCGGAATCCGTAGATGCGGGGCTCGTAACGGCGGATGCTCTTCTCCGGAATCAGGGCAGGATACACCTGGAAAAGCATGCTGTGGAACGTGGTTCCGAAATAGGCACCATCGATTTGAGCGTGACGCGAGGACTTGGGGTTGTAGATGTCTTCGCATTTTGCGCAGTAAAGACGGACGGTGCTGGTGTGGGGAAAGTCATGCTGTCCCATAGGAAGAAGAGGGTGACCCTCGCACACGACACGAGGGCATTTGCCAAAATCGCCCTTCTTGTACTTGTCGACCTGTAGACGAGTCAGATTTGAAAGACCAAGGCCCGGGACCTTCACTTTTGTTTACGCACCATTTTGGAAAGACCACGAGTGGTGATAATGTAGCGAGCATGGACGAGTCCGTACAAGTGACGCGCGGATTTCTCAATTTGCTCGCGCAAGTCGTCGTCCGCGTCCAAGTCGAAAACATCGGTCACAAGATCCAAAGCATACTGGTAGTACGCGACCTCGGTATTCAAGCCAGTAAGGTTGAACCGATCGGTCAAATACTCTTCATCGACCTCGCAGAAGTACTCGTTTCCACGGGAAGAAATGAACTGTGCAGGCCAACAACTGTCAGAAACCTCTGGAGAAAACCCCTCGGGAACTATGGGAACAGTGATCGCATATGGATATCTTTCATGCTCTCGCATTACAAAAACAGGGGAAGGGGCCTGAGGAGCCTCGGGCTGGGGGTCGAGGGATTCGCCTTCATCATTGGTAGAATGAGAAGCTATAGCCTGCTTCATCCGCTCTTCCCTTTCCCTCATCTCCTTGTTCGCCTTCTCTTCCTCAGAGGTAGAATACTGGTGCCACCAAGAGCCAAGAGGAACGGGCGGTTCGGGAGAGTAAGGCCTCTTAGGAGATTTGGGTTTCTCGGAAGAGGAGTCCGAGGGAACAGGCTCCGAAGACATTCTGAATGACAACAGTTGTGCTGCGTGACGTGTGGTGTGAAATCAAGGGGCAGTGAGAGGTGAAAGCTTTAACAGTTTCCAAACTTCCTCAAGAGGGGGTTCTCTCTTCACTGGGTCATGGTTGCATCGTCATTGCATCGTTGAGCGCAGCCGCACCCACCTTCCCTCCGATGCACTCACCAGCCGCAACTGTCATTCGGGTACAAAATCCATGGAATGAACAATGGAAGAAGAAAAAACTTACCCAATCTCTCCAGTAACTAGTGTAGTCACTGTCAGTTTCGCTATTAAAATCTTCCATCATTTTGGCGTACGGTCACAGGACGATCAAAGAGAAGTTGTCTAAAGGTAAGATTATTTCTTTGCTTTGCCTGTAGCAGTTGCTGAGAGGAAAACTGGGTCAGACCATCCCAGAGCAGGAAAGCCCCCAGAACTGTACAGCTGGAATAATCTTCCTCAGAGCTTCCAACAGCCACAGATTGGAGTTGAGGGGTACAGAAAGGCGTGCAGACCGGGGGTCACGGATGATAACGTTGCTGCACAGTGTGAAGATGGATGAAGTGAGCCTTTCTGCTTCATTCCGTCGGCCTGTTATCTGTGGATCTCCTTCTTCCGGTTTAGCGCGGGGTTGGCGGTGAGTTTCCATTGCATTTATCTCACCGCCTTTGTTGGCCCTCTTTGCTACGGATTATCCCGTGCGAGTGGATGCACATTGCATGCTCTAGAGATTTCAGATTTGATACTGCCTTACAGATGAATTTCTTGAGCAATCATCATAGCTACTATGCTTATTCTACAGGGTATGCAGTGAGATATGAATTGATTCCTTTGCCAATCAATGGTAATATTGCTAGGATCTGGCACGCATCCAGCGAACTATATACATCCAACATCCCTCGAACTCAATAGATAAAAACAAAAAATGCCCATCTCTACCACTGCCAAACTGCCTATTCATTTACAGAGACGGACTAGCATTCTTCACAAGCTGCTCAAAGTATGCCTATAGTCCAAGCGTCAGTCAATCAAAACACAATTCCCTTTGAAGCAGGTATCGGATGCAACTTACCTGGAACCAGGTACCAGCCTCGGGAGCAGGCTGCAAAGCAGCACCGAGACCACAGTGGGCATCGTAACGCTCCGCAGACTCGTCAGAGGTTCCGTCGCTCTCTCCACCCGGCTTGATCCAGACAAAGGCGTCTACTAGCTCATCACCCGTGTCGGTTGATGGGCGAGCGCCGAAACCGGTGTTCTTGACATTGCACCAGTCACCCCATTCATTCTGACCGGTGGGCTGGTTTCCATTGCGTCCTACCAACACGAATTAGAACACAAGTACTTATGGAGTTTGGTGGAATGAGAAAGGAGCTTACCGGTGTCGACGATGAAGTGAGCGTCGAAGCCCGCGCTGGCCAGCTCCGGTGCAAAGTTGTTGATGTAGCTCTTCTCGTCACAGATCTCGTTCTCGGACGTGTACGAGGGGCAAGAGTCAATGGAGAAGGCGTTGTAGTTAGCCACGTTAGTCGCTAATCCACGAACAGCATCGGGAGAGGAGGCGTTCTTGTACACGGAGGCGTACAGCTCGGCGGCAGGGCCGATGTTCGCAGGCCATCCAAGCCATCCAGCATGGCCTTGCGCCGCATTAGCACACTTTCGGAGATCCGAGAGACCGTGTGGGGGTCTTGTAGCCACGTACCAGCATCCAGATACATTGCGACATTAGGCAGGTTCAATTGCGTAATTGCGTAGTTGGTGCACTCCAAGTACGCATCCTTGGCGTTGGCGCACTTGGTCACGTCCAGGTTCGTGACCAGGTTGGCCAAACTGTCAGGCTCTACAGACTGTTAGTAGAATGTCCAGTCCTTCATCTCTACCTGGAACGTATGCTCACCGATGACTAGAATGATCTTGGTATCCGAGTATTTCTCAACTTGCTCACGAATGGAGTCGATGTACGCCTTGTACTTCTCGACTCCACCGTCATCAATCGCATACTCGCCGTTGCTAGCCAACGCGGCACAATCGCGGTCGGGCAGGTCATACACGACGAAGATACCGGCGACATCGTCTTGGGACTTGATGTCATCCAGGAATTCTCCCATAGTCGGAACCTTATCGGCGGTATCCCTAGAGATCAATTGGTCAGTAATTGAATTGGGTTATCAAATATACCGCCAAAGAACCTACAGCCAGTAGAAAGATGGGATATCGGCGGCAGCGCTTGCCTGTTCAGCCAACGACCCGGTCATGGAGGGGATAGCTGAGCTTTCCACCTCGGACTTGTAGTACGGGTTCACATATTGCTTAACGCCCTCGAAAGGATTACCGTCTGCGAGGCTACCGGTAGGGGTAGGAGAGCTTGATGGGGGGCTCGACTGGGAGACAGTGGTGCTGGCAGCAGGCAACGCCTTCACAGACGAGAAAAGAAATGGGAGAAGAGCTGCGAGAGCTCGCATGTTGACGGTCTGCATACTGAGAGAATAAATGCCGGTGTTGTTGCTGCAGTCCTCAGAAGACACAATAGCTGGCTGTTATCACCTTCAATGTCAGATTCCCAGCGACAATGGCCCTCTATTTATACCAATTGCTTCATATTCTCGACCCTCAACACGACGCTCCAACTACCAGAAGCAACAAGGAGACGGACGAAGTAATTCGGCTAAACCCAAGGCATGGCGAATTAACTACAGCCGGCATTCGAAGCAGTCTGTAGGGCTCAAATTCCGGTCCGCATCGGGAAACGGAGTGCCTGCAATCCAAGGCCTCCGATCCGTTAAGACGGACTCTCCGTCCCCGAAAAGGCTGAAGGGCTGAAGATCGTCATTATAAGGGTGCACGTTGAATTCTTCCGGGACTGGCGTCTGATTGAATTCCCATTGAATCAAGGAGATCTGCTTCCTGGTTCCTGACTTATTTCTGATGAAACTTAGTGAATGGTCCTGGAAGGGTCCTGATAGACGATAGAGTTGCCACAAAAAAGCCATAGAAGTAGAGTCGTACGCCCAATAACGCCACGGAGGGAAGCCACGACGCCTTCATACGCCATCAACATTGTAATACTACTCCGTAGTGCATAGCTCGTAAGATCAGTGCTTTAGTCACGAGATGAGTTAATGAAGGATGGTGGAGACAAAAGGCAAATTCGGGGTGAGGATCTTTGCGGGGTGAAGAATGGAATTATTGAAATTATTAGGCTGTCCCGCCCGAATCGAAACGAATTCCGTTTCATCTTTAGGATTAGATTACTGGGATTATCAGACATGCCACCAGATTCTTCCGCCTCATCGAGTCATTTCATTGCAACGCCATAATGGCATTGTTCTGTCAAGGAAGAGGGCTGCAACGGTAACTGGATGCTCTACATGCCACGAAGCTCAATCGAGCACGCCATCCATCTCCTGAAAAGACCCCGTGTCACAGAGAAATTAACCAAGGCAGCTATCGACTTGCCAAGATGTGGAGAGTCAATAGGCCAGGAAAATATCAGGCATCTTGCTCAACTTGGTCCGGTCCAGCGGCCCGAGTTCCCACGAAGCAGGATCATCGTGGATCGTGCTCATTGGACTAATACTATAGTGGAAGGGGGTAGGCACCAAGTCTAAGGCTACTCAGTATAGAAGAAACAGTCGTATAAGAGATAGTATAATATGATTAATTTTTTTTATTATGTTGATTGACAAGATCGACGTGGTATCAAAGTATGACCTTTCCGCTTGATATTTGGTTACACAAAAGAAAAGCAAATGAGTGTTCAAAACAGGTCGAAGTCAAAGTGAATGCGTAGATATCCTCAGCCCAGCTAATTGTATCGCGCTGCATAATCGCACTCAGCTAGAAATTTGTGGATCCCTTCGACTCCATCGTATCCGGAAGAGCTCGCCGGGAAACTGGCGCTTGAGACTTCGGGGAAAAGGGCACGATCGCCGAGTTCACTAACATTGATGCTGGAATATCCCGAAGATGATGAGATCCACGGATTTTCAGCAAATAGTGTAATGTCCTCGAAGCTGATCTTGTTCCCTGACTGTTCCAGACGGCTGGTCGAAGATTTGGCTTTGTTCTCCGGAGACATCATGGCCTGCCAGTCAACCTTTTCGGGCTTTCGTAGCTCCGAGGCATCCTTCTGGTAGTAAAAGTATTCCCCAATATCCGAAGAAGGCGCACTGGGAGCAAAAGGGAAATGCAGAGCCACATCAGCGCCTGTGAGAGCATTGAAATCTTCATCTTGAGCAATCTTGCCTCGCTGAACTCCGACCTCGTCGCAGAGCCGCTCCACAGTTTCGGCATCGCAACCAGGGAACCGCACACGGATTGTCGACTGATCGTGAAGCAAGATAGGAAAATCACCCAAGGAGGATAGGCGCTTGAGATCATTCAGCACGGCGGCCAAATCCTTGAGGGCACGCGCAAAGTCGGCCGAGAGGAGATCCAGAAGACCATCCGAGTTGAGCGTCTCGGACTGGAAGGCACCATTGGGATCAAACTTCTTCTGCAGGCCGAAGGCCGTGATAGTAGGAGTGAGCTGGAAGTCAATGAACGAGCCAGGAGCAGTATGAGGGATAGCCATCATCTTCTGCTCAGCTTGGTCCTGAAGCATAGTCACAGCCTTGTATTTCTTGTTTCCGCTGACGGAATCAATGCCGTCGAACCGGACCTTCTGCCCTGAAAGAAAGAACGCTCGCATTCCCACGGACACATTGTTAATGACCTGGGCTGGTGCAGCGGGGCCATGCGAGAAGTACCTTGCGCCCCCAATACGGCCAGCACCAATAGCATAACCACCCGCTGTACGGCAAAGTGTACCACCGGTCAAATTTGGGCGGAGAGCCGACGCAAATGGTGCCCGGCTTGTGAGACGACTGATGTTGGAGGCAACCCGCGACGCCTGTGGGGTAGCCTTGCCACCTTGTAGTCCGGTCCGGATATAAGAGAGGAAGGAGTCGGTGGCACGAGTGGAAAAGTGGCGGCTCCGGGCTTGTCGGATCGCAGCAGCTCGACTGATGGGCTGCCGAGGATTAATCCGAACATATGCTGGCTGAACCCGAAGGGAGTTTTGTTGGACAGGCTCTGGAAATTTGGTTTTTATGGTTTTCCAAGCCTTCTCGTAGGCAAACCTGCGGCCAGTCAGCAAGGCGAAGTATAGTATCCCGGGGCGGTAAATGACTCACCTCGCTGCTCTCCAGACCTTGGGGAGCAGCAGATGCCCGCTAGAAGGCGGCATCCTGGCGGTGATGAAATATATGGATTTAGAGAAGATGAAGTGATGAAAGCACCATCCATGTGACGGACAGTAGATGGTGAAGAGATGAAGGGGAAAGAATGACTGGATGCCTGATGATGACGGCACCCTGTGGCGGTGCAGACACATGACCCATACGTGCTCTTATCAGTGATCACATGATTAGTCTTATCCACTCCCGTTCTGGCCTGATTGACGCCGGCGAAGGCTGCTCCGTCGGACTCGGAGCACTGACATGCAAAATATACTGTCCCGCCGCCACTGCAACCGCCACTACAAGTCGATCATACAGTGCTATCAATACTACGAGGTAATTCGTCTCAAATAATATTTACAATTGAATTTGGGAATTTTCGTCTAGATACGTGGGATATCATAAAGAAGGAAGCATTTACTCGTCATCGCCAAAGAAGACCTTGATGGGGAGCCAGTCGTCACCGCAGACCTTGAAGCGGTCCTTCAGGTTGTCGAGCTGGTTGATCTCGTCGGCAGTCAACTCGTAACCGTCAAGCTCGAAGTTGGCATCAATGCGAGACTTGCTGACGGACTTGGGGATGACACTCCATCCCTTCTGCAAACCCCACAGAAGCAGGACCTGCTGGGGAGTCCGGCCCTTCTTTTCAGCCAGCTGCAAGAGGGTAGGATCCTTGTACAAGGGAGAGTTGGTGGAGCCTAGGCAGGAGTAGCCGGTGGAGTGGATGCCCTTGGAGGTGTTGTAGGCAACCAGCTTGGGCGAGGGGTTGTTGGGGTGCAGCTCGATCTGGTTGACGGCAGGGACGATCTTAGTGCTGGGGTCGTTCAGAAGTTTCTCAAGGTTCTTGATTCCGAAGTTGGAAACACCGATGTTCCTGACCTTGCCGGTGGCAGGGAGCTTCTGCAGTTCTTGCCTGAAAAAAGAAACGAGAGACGTCAGCTGGCTTGTCTTGTAGTCAATTCGGCGCGAAGTCAAAGGTGGGCTCTTACCAGGTCTTGATGAAGTCCCAGTCGGGCAGGTGCTTCTTCAGGTCGTTGGGGTCAGTCGAGCTGGGCCAGTGCATAAGGTAGAGGTCGACATAGTCAACGCCGAGGTCCTTCAGCGAGGAGTTGATGCCGTCGTTAACGCGGTGGTGCCAGGGGTTGTCGAGCTTGGTGGTGATCCAGATCTCGCTACGAGGAACGCCGGAGTCCTTGATACCAGCGCCAACCTCAGCCTCGTTGCCATAGGCAAGGGCACTAAAACGGAATTGTCAGTGGATTGCACATGATGTGAAGGGGGCCGAGGAATGGGGACATACGTGTCGATGTGACGGTAACCCTTCAGGAGGGCGTTCTTGACGGCCTCGCGGACCTCGTTGGGCTTGGACTGCCAGGTACCGAGACCCAGGGCAGGGATCTTGTCCCCGGTGTTCAGGGTGTAGGTCTTCCTGTGGTTTCAAACAAGACCGCATTAGTTTCAGCGTTGGATGGTAGGGTAGATGATGGTAACAAATGCATCCGCGGTGGACACTTACTTGGTGTGCTCAGCGGTCGACATTGTCAATAGGTGTGTAAATTGGGAGTTTTCCTTTAGAGTTGGGGGAGAAGATTTGGATGTTGAAGATAGAAGAAAGGGGACTAGCAGACAGGGGGGAACTCAGAATTTATAACTGGGATCTGAGAACCTACAGCTTAGAGACTACTCCGTAGAAAGCCAAACAAAACCGGCCTGATAGGAGGCAGGTCCATCCAGCGTACCAAAGGCGGGATGATGTCGACTGAGGGGCAGGACTGACGCCTCAGCGTTGCCCCTCCAAGCGTAAAGTGGGGAGCGAATGAGGGTAAATCTGTGGCCAGGAATTAGCCGAGCCACTCCGAAGGGTCCCTATTTACCCATCCAGGACATCGGCGACAATCGGGGGTGCCAATGGTCAACTCGGGATAGGATGGACGGCTTTCCGGTTGATTTATTTTGGATTCCATTGCCGAGTTCTCCTGCAGGTTCGGAAGCAATCCCCAATAACACCCAGCAACTCTCGTGATTTACTCCGGAACGCATTTTGCCTAAATTCGAAGGCTCCACTTTGGACTGCGGGTCTGCCTCAGGCCAGTCGGGCGAGTCCAGTCTCTCACCGCCCGATTCTGCCGACCCTCCCAATCCACCCGCGGCAAGTCGGGAACGCCTTTGTCTTGCGGCGTTGCTCTTCGGCATTATTCCATTGCCTTCTTCACTTGTCTCAGTCCATTGGTAGATCCGGGTGTATTCGAGCGGCTAATTTCGACCCCCTTTGGTAATTTGTCCGCGCCCCTGGCATTGAGTGCGTTGGCTAACGATCATCTGCCCGGCAAGTCGTTTGACTCTCCTTAGACCAGAATGTCTTCGGGATTCGTGTCTGCTGGGACAGACCAAGAGCCCGTCGAGCGCGACGACGAATGGCTCCGTGTGCAACATGAGCTGGAGGAGGAGCGGAAGCGCAAGGCGGACCTTGGCAATCAAGATGGCGGGAAAAGCCTGTACGACGTTCTTCAGCAGAACAAAAGTGAGTCGAATCAACCGCGGGGATCAGGCTCGATTTCAAGGCTGCGCGGACGCTTTGGATTGACATATTAGGGTGATTGTTCCTACGGTATAAAGTGGCCAAGCAGGAAGCCTTCGAAGAGAAGATCAAGCTGAAGAACCAATTTCGCTCCCTGGACGAGGATGAAGTTGATTTTCTGGATTCCATCATGGAGTCGACACGCGCCCAGGAGGCCGCGGTGAAAAAGGAAACAACTGAACAGCTGGAATTGTTCCGCCGACAACGAGAAGAAGCAGAGAAGGCTCTGTTAGAAGATACGGCGGCGGATGTTGCACCGGTAGCCGAAGGGGAGGACTGGAAAATACCTGCCCGCAAAAGAAGGCGAGAGAAGAACAAGGAGTTACTTCTTCCCGGTAAGAAACGCAAATCCACCAGCGAGGCAATTGGCGAGACTTCTACTTCAGGGGAGGCAAAGGCCCCCCAAACTACGAAGAGGCCGGAAGAAGCGCCTGGGTCTGTGTCTACTCAAAAGTCTACACCCTTAGAGAAACAGAAACCCCCAGTGGAATCAACGAGACCGAAGGATCCCGCAAAGGGTGCTGAATGCACTGTCTCCGCTCAGCCAGAAAAGAAACCAGAACCAGCAGCGAAGCCGCCAGCGCTGTCTCTTGGTCTCGCAGGATATAGTTCGGATTCGGATTAAATTTGCTTGCTCAACTGTCAGCTTTCGTGCGACCTTATATTTACCTCTGCTGGGTCCCTCGTGCATATAACTCCATGATCGTTTACCATCGAGAAATCACTGTACTCACTAGCGGAGTGCCCTGAGGGTGACTACTATTCACTAGTGATGACCAAAATATCGGCAACCCAGGCTCCGGCGGGAGCGCAGTATAGTTCAGTCTAAATTCTCGCCTCCCAGAGGAAGGATTAACTCATTACACATTTGAAAATTCATAGCTACCTAGGCTGGCTGCTCGTCGTTGAGATAGCTCAGAGACTCCAAATGATTACGCCAATAATATCCATTGAAATATCCTGAAGTATGCAGTTTATTACGTGGTATGTTTGCGATGAAACATTCGTCTAGAACTAATATTTTCCTTAAGTCATAAGTAGTCTTGAACTTCAAACACAGGTATTAGAGGGGGAAATATTGCATCAATTCGACCCTTCAAGAGTGAACCCTTGATGTCTCAGGCTGACTACTATCGGCAACACACTCGCCCCATCACTCGCTCTCTCTCTCTCATGGCACTCGCCATCACTTTATTCCTTGTGGGTGACATAGACCTCTTGTTTCTCCTCTTGCTCCGCAACCTTGCGCTCCAAATCGTGGGTCAGGTAATTCTCCTTCTTGGTTCCCGGCACAATCCAAGGCGAGTTGGTGAACAAATGGTTCATCTCTTCCAGAGGCAACTTCTTGGTTTCCGGCAGCAGAAGCCAGAAGAAAACCGCATTGGTGAAATTGCAGATGACGAACACGAAGTAGTATCGGTATTTGATGGTGTCCATTGCCAGGGGTGTCACCTGGCCGATCATGGTGTTGAATGCATAAGAGGTCATGGTGGCAAGCGAGACACCCTTCGATCGGGTTCGTGTGTCAAACACCTCTGCCGGGATAATCCACGACAGGGGACCACATGTGCATGAGAACGAGAAGTTGTACAACCAGGTCATGATGATGAAGCCCCAGTGAGCTCCGGTGTTGTTGACCTCAGGAGGGAATTTGGCCAGCAGAACGCAGGCAACGATGAAGGTGACCATGTTACCCAGGTTTCCGGAGATCAAAGTCCAGCGACGACCGAGACGGTCAATGAACATCATACACAAGAACTGAGCAACCAAGGCAATCACCGAGTTGATGGCCTGGTAACGCAAGGTTTCATCGCCCTTGATACCGATTTGTCCGTAGATATCCACTGAATAGTATCTGTCGCGACTCATCGATTAGCTCTACAAACTCAAATGTGGTGAGTTCAGGCAGGCAGGCACTTACTGGATAGCCGAGACGCCAGTCATCTGCACCGAGGCCTGCAATGCACAGCAGAGGAAAAGGCGGCGGAAAGACGACCGCGACGTGAAGAGCTCCAGGTAGGACTTGGCCTCATTCTCATGCTCAAATGTCACGGCCTCCTGGATCTGGTTGTATTCCGCACGAACCCAGGGGTCATTTACGTCTCCATGAGCGTGAAGCTTCGCAAGAGTCTGAAGGCCTTTCTCGTGATGTCCATGGTCAATGAGCCAACGAGGCGACTGTTCAATCATCAGAAACAGCGAGACTGCGAGGGGAGTAAGACTATCTTACCTCGGGGAAGAACATGATCAAAAGACCTAGAAACACAGCCGGGACGATTTGCAGACCAAGAGGTACCTGCCACTGGGCATTGTTGGTCGGATCGAACCCAATATAGGTACCATATGAGATCCAGGCAGCGCATAACGAACCAACGCCCAACATGAACTGCTGCAGCGCAGTAACTCGGCCTCGAATGTCGGGATGGCAAATTTCGGCCTGGTATAGGGGGATAATCATGGTAAGGAAACCGACCCTATTAGCTGTTAGGGCTGGGTTCTTTGCATCAGCTCTTCCACAAAGCTTACCCTAGTCCGGCCAAGAATCTACCACTGTATAGATATTGCACTGTCTGGGCTCCAGTCTGAAGGCCTCCACCAAGGCAAAAGATGATACAGCCGATCGTGATGGTCCATCGTCGCCCCAGCATGTCACCGGTGGGACCGGCGAAGGCGGAGCCAAAGAAGGCGCCGGCAGTGAACAAGGATACTACCAATCCACTTGTGAACTATTAGCATATTCTCTTGTGTTTTTCCATCTTGCGCAATTGTTTGACCAGTGCAAATACTCACGTTTGGGTAGAATCCGCCTCGAATTTGGAAGCAAAGGATTGACTGGCAATGACCTCCGCGATAACACCGAGATCATCTGTGGAAAACCATTGTAAGCATTCATTCCGATGAGCATTGCGCAGTTCAAATACATACATCCATAGAGAAACGATCCGAGGGAGGCGAAAATGCCTACCAGGAACTTGAAAGCCGGTTAATAGTCTGAATGTCGGGAACACCTCGTCGGACCACGACTTACCTGGTACCATGCCGGAGAAAGACGCATGCTGGGCTCGATATGGGGCTCCTTCTGGGCCTCAGCACATTCAATAAACTAACACCCCGGACGCTCAAAAACAGGATGAGATGTGGAGGCTGGAATGGGGTGGGAGGGTCCGCCCTTCTTTTTAAGACCGTCTGGGGATCGGATGCCCGCAACAACCTACATTTAAATCCGGGGGATTCTACGAGAACATAATCAATCCCCTTGGTATTCCTTACTCATGGCTCACGAGAATCAGGGTAAACCAGAAAAAAACTAATTATCGCAGCCCTGTCCGCCGGAGAATCGACCGAAAATGTGACTTTCCACGCCATCTCCAAGGAAGCAAATCCCCGACTCGAGTCGAATTGCATCCAATCGAGACTGCGCCGTAACATGCCACGACCTATCACCATCTGATCACGAATAAGGATTCGAACTAACCCCATGGCACGCTAAGTGCCGCTTGACCTTTGCGGGGTGTAGCCGGGCCACGCCAACTGGGGGGAGGAGAGACGCTCATATAAGCTCGCGTGCTGATTGACGGAAGATCTCGTGGCGCTGGCTCGGCTCCAACACCAAGACGACGGCGCCGTCCACGACTGTCATCCTCCATCATCAGCTCACGATTCCCTATATCCCTCCGTGGCCTAGAACGACCCCGCAGGGGATTTGCCCAATTCATCCCCCATGGCTGACGCTGAAATCGGAAACATTAATATTAGCCGTCAAGTCGCTTCCGCCACCACAGCTTGGTCCTTCAACTGGTCATCGTTCAATCCCATCTTTCCCTTTTTCTGTTATTATTCTTCGATTTGCCATTTATTTATCACGCTTCCTACCAATCACCTGCAGCTACTGCTTCGACACCTTCTGTCGGCCGCATCGCATCAACCATGACCACCTTCACGCAGCTCAGTGACCAGGATGCGCCTAGTCTTGCCATCCACCCAACCCGACGTATTTCTAAGATCAACCCTAACATCTATGCGGGGTTTACAGAGTAAGACTCTCTCCCGTCCATGATTATTCCGTCCCAATGGTGTGTGTTTGGCGTTCTGACACGTGGTGACAGGCACATGGGCCGCTGCATCTACGGCGGCATCTACGATCCGGGTAACCCCTTGTCTGATGAGAATGGTTTCCGGAAGGATGTCCTCGAAGCTTTGAGGGATCTGGACATCCCTGTCGTCCGTTACCCTGGCGGTAACTTTATGGCGACCTATCATTGGATCGATGGCGTTGGACCCAAGGACCAGCGCCCTTCAAGGTATGTTTCACTAACAGGCCGTACCATTCCATCTATCTTGCTCGCGCTAGTCGTCGTCGCGTGACATGCGTTGTCCATGTACGTGCTAACTCTAATGAACCTCAAATAGGCCCGAGCTTGCTTGGCTGGGAACGGAGACGAACCAGTTCGGAACCGATGAGTTCTTGAAATGGTGTGAGGTCCTTGGAACCGAGCCCTACTTCTGCCTAAACTTCGGAACTGGTAAGTGATCAATCCCCTGTATGACTCTGAGCCTGCAAGCTAACAATCACACCACAGGCACTTTGGATGAAGGTATGGCTCTGCCTTTTTAAGCTGTGCAAATGGCGTCTGGTCTAACTTTATCCTACGCAGCGCTGGCCTGGGTGGAATATTGCAACGGCACTAGAGACACCTACTATGCCAACCTCCGCCGTAAAAATGGTCGTGAGGAGCCGTACAACGTAAATTTCCCTTTTCTACCCTCGCCAGCCCACCGATACTAAAACATCATCGAATCTAGGTCAAATACTGGGCCCTCGGAAACGAGACATGGGGCCCATGGCAGGTTGAGCAGATGACCAAGGAAGCGTACGCCCACAAGGCATTCCAATGGGCAAAGGGTACAATTACTCCTACTTCAAATGTCCTGTCACACCAGCAACTAACATTCTACCACAGCCCTGAAGCTCCTGGACCCCTCGCTGGTCCTGGTTCTGTGCGGACAAGACGGCACTGCATCCTGGGACTACTACACCCTGAAGCAGTGTCTGCTTCCCGCCCACTCCCCCCTATCCACCAGCACCGTCCCCCTCATCGACATGCACAGTATCCACCTGTACACGTCGTCTTCATCTCACTTGCCCAATGCCACCGCCCCCTTGGCCGCCGAGCGCGCCATTGAAATCACATCCTCTCTCATCGACCTCGCGCGCATCGAGAACGGCGTCCCGCCCGACCAGCTCCGTCCCACCATCTGCTTCGACGAGTGGAACGTCTGGGACCCTATCCGCGCCGAGGGCAGCAAGGGCGCCGAGGAGTCCTACACTCTCTCCGATGCCCTCGCCGTGGCCGTGTACCTGAACGTCTTCGTCCGCAAGAGCAAGGACGTCGGCATGGCTTGCATCGCGCAGACCGTTAACGTCATCTCCCCCCTCATGACCACCAAGGACGGCATCATCAAGCAGACCACCTGGTGGCCGTTGTATCTCTTCTCGCGGTACATGCGCGGCTGGACCATCAGCGCGCACATCGCCTGTGGCGTCTACGAGGGCGAGACCTCCCCGAAATGGGTCCGCGGAGTCAAGGACACCCCCTGGTTGGACGTCAGCGCCACGCTGGGCGAGGACGGCTACGTCAATGTGGCCGTGGTCAACATCCACGAGGAGAGGAACATCGAGACGAAGCTGGAAGGCCCTGCTGGGAGGGTTGCCGTGTTCACGGTCACCGGCGACAGCGTCGCGGCTTGCAACATGAACGGAAAGCAGGAGGTCGGTATCACCGAGAGCACCTGGGATGGCAAGGGTGCATACGTGTTCCCCAAGCACTCGTTCACCCTGCTCCGATGGAAGGCTTAGACTGGATCTGTCTGCCCTGTTTACCAATGAATCATGAACATTTTTCCCTTTGCTAGAATTGGATTAGACGCATTAAAAAAAGACATAAATACATGACCCCAAACATTTCGTACATCCGTCATATCTTAACCTTCATGAATCTTCATATATGACCTTTATTGTATGATTTAATCCAACCATATTAACCGAAGTTGACATCATGCACAATATCATCTTCGCCTAGGTGAATATTCAATCTGTAATTCCCACGAGGTTAGCCAACCAGTACTCGCAGAGTCCCCTTTCCAAGACGGGCAAGAAAAGAAGAAGACCAACCGTTCTTGTCTATAGTCCATTGTCATAGCATCACCTGGCTTGATAATCCGATGCGATTCGGGTAAATCTTTCTTCGCGAACGTCTATAACGAAATGCGAGAATCAGCACCATACCATTCCTAAGAGATGATAACTAACATCAGAAAGAAGAGGAACGAACGTTAACATCACTTGGCGAGTCGCTGATCTTCTTCCCCGCCAGCTTGTTGAGCCATTCTTGCTTATTGTCCGTGTCGTTCGTCGAAGCGTTGGTCAATCCAGGGACGACGAGGGGCATGGTGGAGTGGAATAGTCTATGAGATGGATGCGATTTTGATGTGTATGGGCAAAGTCTTGGGTATATGGGTGATGTAAGTCGGGAAGGCTTCATGAGATGAAAGAGATGGAATCGAGAGATGAAGACGGCACGGGGAGGATGGAATATATATTAGTAGTGATGCCTGTTTCTGGAAGGCGATGACGTCGGCGGATCGGAGTGCTGGTTTGGGTTTAGCGTGGAATGGGGTGTCGTGATCTGCCGGCCCGAGTCTGTCTGTCAGTCCTACCCCGAGCAAAGAATCCGGATTTGGGGAAGAATTTCCTATAAAACCAAATCTAGTCAGCCTTCATAGATGTCTAAGTCGAATAACTGAGCTGACTTACGGAGTGGCTTTCCGGTATGGCTCTATTTCGATTTCATTGAGGCCGCAGATGATCACTCGTCGAAGAGTGGCTTCGTACGAATACTCGGTGTTCAAATACTTGCTAATGGCGGCCAGCGTGAGCTCTGCTGCCTCTCTGGCGGGGAATCCAAACTCGGCAGCGAGTGGTGGCAAGGAGATACTGTCCATCATATTTCTTTCAGCAAGCTCGAACATATTCTGGTAACACAAGCGGAGGAGTCGTATCGATTTTTTAATATCCCCAACATCGTACACAGGACATACGGTATAGATGGTCATCTCATAGGGACTTTGATGCGCCTTGACGATCCTGGATTGTCCGACGTTTATGTTGGCGTGAATGGGAAACTCGTGGGAGACCGAATCGAGCTCAGCCGTTTCGACGCCCGTTCCATTACGGACTGACTTGTTTAGTATGACTCGACAATCGGTCTGCAACTTTTCGATGTCGTACTGAAAAAGGGAGAAAACCCGGTTCAGATCATGGGATGGCTGGAAGATTGGATCAGACACGGGGGTAAGATAGCCATCTTGATAGAGCTGTTTTATAGTTGGCACCTGACGAGCAGCTAGAATCTTGTCCCTGCGAAATCCAGGTGATTGGAGCCTTCTCGGGCTACCGCTCACAGTACGTAGCTCTTCTGCAGAAAGTTCCAGCTTGATTTCAACTCCGAGATCATCCAAGTCCGAGGCTTCGTTGCTTCGTTCCTCACTGGACCAAGGTCCTTCTTTGATTGGAGGTGCGGGAGGAATTTCAATCTTCTCTTGTTTGATACTCACGTGGTTGACGAGAGGTGAATCGACGATGAACAGCTCCTCTTGGATGGCACTCACAGGGGTGCTCGGAGATGTCTCACCAACGACAAGCTCTTTTTGGCTGACGGGCGCTAGGGTGGTGATATGGGTACCAGTAATCATAGGTGTCTCTGGTATTTCTAAAGCGACATCGAGACATGAGCTATGTTCAGAACCGTTGATCTACGAAACACAGCCCGCAAATTTGCTTACTTTCGTTGTCCGCATCTTCAACCTCCGGAGGACAAAAGTTAGCCCTGTTTCGCACAATCAACTGCCGGAGGAGTTCAATGATCTTTTCTGGACTCTTGTCTAGATAAGGCTGAAATTCCTGTGCCACCAATTCAATGTGAATGCTGATAGCTTGATGGACTGCGTCTCTTGTGCTCTTGAATCGAAAATCGTTGTACAAGAGGTTTCGAGCATGGATGCTTTCTAGAAAACTGTTTTTATCTGTATCTTGGTTACATCTGTCAAAGACACATCTGACTGGGCCCAGATGTCGTTGGAAAGTCTTTTTCTCCGGCCGGTATCACGATCTTTCTTCTTCGTGATGCGATGGGGAGCCATAATATTTGTTCTCAAAAAGAGTCGAAGGAAGTAGTTAAAGGTGAAGAAAATATCCAGAGCGACTATACATGGAATATTAGAGGTCTCTCGTGGGTTTCAAAAGTGAATTGTCATAGGATGTGTCGAAAAGTGAGAAGCTCTTTGCTGTTTACCAACACTCATATCATTCCCATCGACAAAGAACAAGGATGTGAAACGGGCTCTGGTATCGACAGTGGGAGGGTTCCATTGCCCCAACGATCGAATATTTGAGAACTAAGAAATACAGGAATAGTGGCGAGGGTGGATTCATTGATCTGACAATAGCAAAGCTTTGTTGGACAAAGATAACTAAGTCCGTGTTCGAGGTATAATCTACACCTGCGGAAAATTAGTACAAACTGCAACACAGGTGTCAGTGAGATGATGTTAGTTTGAAGTTATACCTAGGGGTGGCCCTGATATCATTACCGACCTTTTGTCAAAGCAGGAAGTAGCGTTAGGGAGGATCACTTCTCGGGGGCAGCTGCCTCGAAAGCAATGGATGGCCCTCAAGCCACCACAACAATGAGTTCCCCAGGCTAGAAGCAAATCATTGCCTGAGATGCCCTCTCCAGATTCGTTCCTTAACCAGCATACACTACTGCATTGCTAATATTGCTACTGGAGCTCGATCTGTGGCCCGGCATATGTCAATTATCTACATCTTATACTTTTTGCAGCTCGACGGAATCTTGCCGTTGCAATAGTGTCGACGATGGGGCAAACATCCCGAGCACCACTACTCTGGCGGATGGAGGAATGGAAGTCTAATGATGTTGTCATTCGTGAAAGCATATTAAACAGAATCCATGTTCCTGGACACAGTCTTCATCGCCTTGCGATTCGAGCTCCTCCAACACCGACCTCAGCCCTTAACCAGACTGTCAAAGTGACAGCTAGCAACACGACCACTGCCAACAAGCCATCCCCGACGCAGACAAAGACTCACATCTCCTTGGTCCCGCATTGGAGCTATGAGAAGAACTCCATCGCTGTCGCCATTGTCATTTCCGTCGTGACGGTCATAGCCGTCACCACGTTGGTCATCCTTCTTATTCAGAAAGTCCGCAGAAGTTGGAAGCGTCATAAAAGCGAACAGAAAGACTATGCTGGCTCTAGGTACCGTGTCTACTATTTGAACGACAGCGCTGAGAATGGGGGACTCGAGCACAAATTCAGTCGGGAATCGGTCATGTTTAGCAAGGACGCCTCCGGTCAAGAGTATCTTGTTGAGCAGGATGGCGATAAGATCACTCGCGTTTATCGCGCAGGAAAGAATGATTCATCACGCACCTTCGATTCTGTTGGCAAACCACAGGAACCACAGCAACAGCAGCCACCAGCAACACCGGTTCAAACAACGCTGATGAGCTCGGCCGGCATCGTCGACCTAGCTCAACCCGTATCTGAGGTGCAACCTAACAAACCATTAACCGTTCGTGGGCGTTCTGGCTCCATCCCCAAGCCTATAGTCGTCGTGCCTCCTCCCTTGAAACACGTCACTTCGTTGAAGGCAACTCCAGTCACGCAGCCACCGGACCTCATCCCTGAGAGACCATCCTTCATTCCCAAATCTCGAAGCGAGGCCAGAAGAAGTCTCATCAAGCTGGCAACGGACCCAAGCTCGCTATTTCGACTGCCTTCGATCAAGAAAACTACCTCGCCTATTTATCGCCCTTGAAATACTGTGGCCTGCGTTGGCTTGTGTACTCGAGAATACACAATGAACTCTTTGACGAGAGCAGCTATCCATTTGAGAATGATGTTGTTGAAAGGCAAGAGCTTAAGATGAGAGAGATACGCTAGCATCAGTGATGCATTTCCATTCAGGCTCTTGTATACTTTTTTTGTTCTTTTTTCTCTATTGTTTTAGAGCTCTTCTCTTTGTCTCCTAGACCGAGCCGATATCACCTTCTCTGCTGGATCAGGATACTATCTCAGCTGGTGTTTTACTTCTTTGTATTTTCAGAAAGGGTAGATAGATCCTTACAGCTTTGAATTCATAGTGCCTTGGTCTAGGTAATCATAGTAGCAGATAGCCTACTTACGGGCGTCTGTCTTTATCCGTAAAGCAAGGAGATAACTGAGAAATCCAACTTCCTCATTATATGTGATCTTATTTCGCTCTCATATCATCATTACAACAGGACACCACACCAGTAGAATAGAACACAAGGGCAAGAAACGGGCAATGGAAAGCGACAAGGAATACAAAAAGCGAGCGAGTACATCTACAGCGCGATAAGGGAGAGAGTTAAAAAAAAAATGAAAAGAATGATGTAAGGACACACGCACACAGAGAGCGAGGAAAGAAAAATGCAAAAAAGAAATATCTATCTATAGTACCACACACAACATGAGAAAAAGATACCTCAAATCTTTTCAGGCAGCTTTATTTAGCCTCGTGCACATTCCTCAGACATCGTTCTAGTCTCTTGCCCCGTTCCTTCTCCCGGACGATGGTCGCCTTGACAAAGGTGCGGATGGCGTCGCGGCCGACTTTCTCGCGCCAGGAGGTCCAGCCTGCTAGCTCGCTGACGACGACGTCCTTGTTCCACGTGATTTCGCGGGAGACGTGGGCGATCTGGGACTCGGATTCTTGGATCTTGGACTCGAGGTCGCGGGCGGATTTCTGGCGGGATTCTTCGAGGCCGGGGAAGTTGAGGTTGAATTTGCGAGGGAGAGAGGAGGAAACGAGCGAGGAGCGAGAGCGGGCGAGGGAGCGGTTGGCGGAGGCGAGGGTGGACATGAGGGAGATGGGACGCGAGAGGGAGTGGAGGATGGCGGCGGTGGTGTTGTCGACGGAGGTGAAAGCTGCGAGGAGCTGGAGGAGAGGGGAGGAGTCGGAGGTTGAGGTCAAAAGGTACGAGGCGTAGCGGGCGAAGGCGTCGACGTGGGATTGTGGGAGAGCGTTGGTGGGCTCCTTGAGGGTTGAGATGGTGGCCGAGCAGAGGGTTACGGCGTCAGCCACGTCCGCAGCCGAGTTTTGAAGCGCGTGTCCGTGGCGGATGAGGCTGCGAGTGTTGGCGTGCACCGAGCGGACCATGTCCTGGGCATGTCTGACGAACTGCTCCGTTTCTCGCATGCCATCGTTCGTGATCGGCTCAAAGTCGTCGACGATGGATTCGGAGAGAACCTGCGCCTTGCGACGGGACCGGTCGGCCATCATTTCTGGATGCAGCTCCGGTACGAGGAAAAACTCCCAGAGCATTTCGTGGGTCGAGAAAGTTGGATGGGATAGCAAAATCTTCAGGAACCGATCAAGTTTCTCTTGCATATCGTGAAGAACCGAGCGGGACGGCTTGGAGTGTATTTGGAAAGGGCTGCGGAAGTCGGAAAGTGAGGGCATGTACGAGGCCGGATGTTCGATGGAAAGCCACTTGGCGAGATTCTCAAAGTCAGAGAACGTCCTGCGGCAAGTTGTCACGGTGTACGTGGTAGACCCAGGTCGGGATTCAGCTGCTTTGGCAGATGGGCTGGGAGCGCCGGATTTGAGGACAAAGCGCACCGTTGCATCCTCTACGAAGAATGAACGAACGACGGTGGTGACTCGACCAGATGGGTCGTTGGTTGTCGATGGAGAGTTGGAGATGAGAATGAGGTCGTCAATTCGATTTCGGACTTCATCGTCTTTCGCAAGTTCGACCGCTGTCAGTCCCCGGGCCTCTTTGAGGTGCACGTCCACTCGCGGATCCAAAAAGAGGATCCGTACTTGATCAATCCTGCCGTATTTGCTGGCCATCATCAAAGGGGTAAACTTCTTATCGTTCGTCGCATTTGGATCACAGTCGCTTTCCTGGAGGATGCGAATGGTAATATCCGGGTCGCTGACAATGTGTAATAAGGTGTTGCCCCGCGAGTCAACATGATCATCAAGGTGCAGAGGCTTTCCGTCTTCCTGGGACTTCTGAGCAGCTGTCAATGCTTGATGAACCATTGATTTGTAGTCCGGGTGATCATAGGATCTACAAAGTGCGAACAACGGGGTTTGCCCGTGCTTGTCGCGCTGTCTCCAGGGGAGCAACCCTTCTAATCGACGCATGACGGACGGCGTACTAAAGAGATAGTGGGCCACGGTGCGGCCATGAATGTCAGACTTCTGGAAGTAGGAGACAACCGTATCCTTATCAGTTGCACTGAAAAGGTAACTAAGCAAGACGTCGACAATCTCGGTGTGAGCCAGCTGAACGGCAGCATTCAACAAGGTTGTCCCATCCATGTTAGTATCCACAAGTATATCCTCGAGTGGGTAGTATTCTTCGAGACAGAGCAAGTATCTCAATGCCTCTGGTTGGCAGCATTCCACCGCCATCATGGGGACCGTGTGCCCTGCAGGGTCTTGCGTTTTGGTTAAGGTCTCGATGGAACTGTCACCTTCGATCGTGCTCGTGATGGATCCCATTGTGGTTGTTCGCGAGGCCATCGATATCGCAGAGGATTCGGACAAACTACGAACGTCCATAGAAACCTTCTTGACCGGACGTTTGATCTCTCTCGGGGAGGTGGTCTCCCAGGTCTTGAACGGGAAAACGTGCGAAAGTGGCGGCGCGTCTTGGGGATCATCCAGGATCGCAGATTCACCGTTGGTTTCAGTATATCCGTTGGGAATGACCAAAGGGGCTCGAGGAAGGCTTGGCTGCTCATCATCATCCGTCTTGAAAAGGACACTCTTGCTCTCAGGTTCGTAGGGAATATCATCCATCGATTCGTGGTCGCCATCCGGTTCCAGAATAGCCTTCATATCGGTGATTCGCCCGCCTTTGGTAGCATTCCACAAGCGTTTATTTCGGATGCTCGCCCTTCGCAGGCCTGCGGAATCAGTTACAAGGTACGTGAGGACCGCCTCAAGAGTACTTAGAGCGTATCCCATTTCGCCACTGTCGACATCGTCGACGTAGATAAAATGCTGCATGTATAACAGCCGTGCCTGCAAATGCTTGACTTGAGACCGGATAACAACGATAAGCAATAAAGAGACCAAGATGTCAGCATTCACCGTCACGGGAGAACGCTGCTTCTCGGACGCCTGAGGATCTGTTTTATCGTAGTTGCCAGGATACGAAAGAATCTTGATTGTCTCCAGCAAGATGGTGAGCATATCATGAGGGCATTTCGCATCGAGCATTTTACGGAATTCTTCTACCGCCTTGCCTAGGCGTTGCAGGAGCTCGCGCTTGCCTTCACGTCCGCCCTCGACGGTGATCCCAACCTGGGAGACATCGATGTTGTCCATCTGGCGGGTCCGCAAGTCCAGCTCTGTATCTTCGGGCTGCCGGAAGGCACATAAGCGAGGGAAGAGAAGCGATTCGTGCACCTGCTCAGCCACATAGCGCTCAATCAAGCGCTCGACCAGTGGCCCGGTTAGATCCGTCGTTGCGCCGAGGAAGGAGAGTTGCTGTTTGTCCACCAGCCGAAACAGGTCGATAGCCGCAGTCACAGCCGTTTCCAAACTGCGACGCATAAGGTCTTCGTCGTCTTCAAAATACTCGTCCGAGTTAAAAGGAAGCCCTTCCCTGAAACGAGATGATGAGCTTCTAATTGATGCACTTCGGATTGATGCGCTTCTGACTGATGCACTTCTGACTGACGCGGCTTCATCATTCGGGGTGTCCCCCCGGCCTCGCTTCCCATCAAACTCGGGTATCGAAGGCGAGCGCGACGGGGGAGGGGGCAGGGGTTTTCCCAATTCCTTTCCAAATTCGCGGAACAGTCTCTCTAGTCCGGGCTGCATTTGTCTGGCGATCATGGGGAAATGCGAGAGTAGCTCCCCAAAATTCCGGATCTCCTTCTTTGGCGGCGACGAGGTGGGCTCCCCTGACTTGGATCCCGACGCCATGACAGTCTTGGTCGGAAGCGTCCCCGGAACGACGGCAGAGATGATCTTTCCGGGGTCGAAAGACCCGATCAAGGGTCGGGAGATATAGTATATAAGCCATGGCTGGGAATCGGTGCTCGGGGTGTAGTAAAGCGCATCGGACAGCAGCTGGGCTTGCGTCAAAGACTTGAAGCCTGGAAGAGTAGTTCAGCATACAAACGTCGAACCTAGTGGAGGGGGAAAGCAGATCGTCCCCACCTTTGTTGCTGTAAACCGAGCTTTCCTTGATGATCACAGTCCGTCCGTTCGCCGTCGGCACCTGCTTCGCCTTCCCCCTACTATCACGGACATTGGAATCATCCTTGGCTCCGGCCGGTCCATTGGAAGCGAGTATTCGCAAAGTATGGCTTGCGAGGAATTCCTCCGAAACAACGAGGTCGGAATAGAGAAGGGACGATTCGCGGTCGCGTGAACCAATCAGGGATTCTGTTACCGGAACCAGAAGAACCTAGAGAGCGCATAGTAGGTCAGGAACAGCGGTCCGAGGGGATGATGACATAGTGTGCAAGGGGACAAGTACATGATTCTCGATCGGCACGCACTGCCCCGGAACAGTGCTGCGGAAGAAGGCACGCAGGAAGGGGTTTAGAGGGTGCATCCAAACGGTCTTGGACGACGGCCCGACGAGGGAGCTCTGGTACTCATCAAGCCGTCTGTATCGATTGCGACCAGGGCTTGCGCTGCTCGATCGACAGAGGGCGAGGAGCAGCTGCGGCGCATGTGTTTGCGGGTACAGGAACGCGTGGGAAAGACCAGTCGAGGGTGGAATCTGGAATCACAACGCTAATTAAAAGTGCAACAGAAGTCAAGAGAGCGCGGAAGAGGGAGGATCGGAGAATTCGCAGTCCGGATTACGGTCGAGGGCGAAGAGGAGCAACGATGCAGCCTGGCAACTTTCGCGGAGTTGGAAGCTCCTGGCGCTATACCCGATTTGGTCGGCCAGTTGGCGGGCCTCGTTCTAGATTCCCTTTTATGATTTATGATTTATGCGAATTGATTCAAATGGACCATAGCATGGCTAGTATAATACAAACAGAATAATAAACAGAACACCTTCCAACAGCATTACAGACGACGGACCTTCCGGCTCCTGGTACCACCGAACTTGAGGCGACTCGCGTCCGTTACGCTGCTCACCAGTCCTCGGATATTCTTCCCCTCGTTACCCAGCAAAACCTTCGTAAAGGCTTCGCGGCCCTGGCTGAATCCTCGGAAGATCACCTCCAGTCGCTTAATGCTGGGGAGAAGGCCTCGCTCCTGGATCTGACCAAACACGTGGGCCGTCAACTGATATGCCGAATCGTATCCTCCGCGGCCGCTCTTGCGGAAACCCAGCTGACCACAGCTGATCGAGAATATCGGGTTACCATTCGGACGGGTCAGGGTCAGGATGGTGTTGTGCTTATGCGTATAGACGTGGAGGTGGTGCGGAGGAGAACGGTCGGAATACGGTTGCTTGATCAAGTCGGCCTCCAAGCTCTCGGCCATCCGGGAGTAATCGCGCGTAACGCTCTGGTTGGTACGGATTTTCTCTTGCTCCATCATTCGAGTGATCGCGTTCAGCGGCGAATTATCATTTGCGGTCGCGCTCGGCTCTGAGGATGTATTCAAGATCTGCCTCTCCATCTGTCGGGTTCTCTCTCTGGGGTCCGAAAGGGTCTTCTGGGTCGTGGAGAAGGGTCTCATGGATCGAGCTAGCGAGCCTTGAAGCTGGCATGGCCGGCTCATGGCCGGCAAGGCTCTCGTCACGGCGTTCACGAATGTCGAGTTCATTCTTGCGGCTGCTGGTGGATCGGAGATGGACGGGATGGGACAATAACACAGTGCAACTGACCAGCAGGGCCGTTGATCAAGGACAGACGGGGGGGGGGGGTCCTGAATTAATTGATTGGGTTAATAGATTGACGACAGCAACAGGCGCAGCACCGTAGAGAAATCGGGAAAGGGAAGAAGTCGGGGCAAAAGGCGGCGGAAAAGGGCCGAATTTTCGGGTCTTGGCGCATCTCAACTTTTTCCTTGTCCTTCACTTCTCTCGCGGCCGAAATCGCTTCCTCTTCTTCCTTCTCTTTGCTTCCCCACGCCGCTTATCCACCATCACGCCCCCCTTTTACCCCCCGGGGAGTTGCTGACTTCAATCTCTTCTTCTTCTTCTTCTTCTTCTTCTTCTTCTTCTTCTTCTTCTTCTTCTTCATTTCATCTCCCTTTTTCTCTCATCCATAATCTCTCATTCCTCTCCACAGAGCATGATCTCGGCTACCAGGATGTCGGCTACCGCGCGGGCGGCCACCTTGAGATCTCAAGTGCCGAACTTGAAAGCCACCTATGGCACTGCGGTCGCCCTGCAGCGGTCTATGATTCAGTCCGCTTCTTATACCACGTCGCCAGCTGCGAGATCTCCTCTTCTTATCAACTCCGAACGCCCTGCATCTCAAATCCTTTCCCCGTACGCTGCTCTTCCGCTCACGAAGTCATTTCACGCCGCCACTGCTCGCTGGCAGGAGCAGCAGCAGAAACAAGAACAGCAGAAGGGAAACAAGTCCGACGACACAAAACAGGAAAAGAACGAGGAGTCCAAGGATCAGGAGAAGGAAGAAGGAAAGAAGGAAGAAGGAAAGGAGGAGGCTCCTCCACCGCCCCCTCATGGCGACAAGTCACCTTGGCAGGTGTTCCGAGAGACCCTGCAGACGGAATTCAAGGCGTCCAAGGAATGGAATGAGTCGACGAAGGCCCTGGCCTCCTCGGCTCACGAGTTTTCCGAGAGCGAAAACATTAAGCGGGCTCGCGCCGCTTACGAGGCTGCCTCGGGAGCTGCTTCCTCCCGAACCTCGACCGCATTCAAAACCACTGGCCAGGCTATTGGCAAGAGTGCTGCGTGGACATGGAACACGCCCGTTGTTCAGGGTATCAGGAAAGGTGTCAACGCGACTGGTTCCGGACTTGAAAAGGCCACTCGACCTGTGCGAGAGACCGAGGCTTATAAGAGCGTGAAGGATGCTATTGATGACGGCAGCAGCTCTCGCTATGGAGGCTGGATCGAGAAGGAGGAGCGACGCAAGCAGCGTCAGAGGCGTGAAGCGCTTGAAGCCCAGTCTGGTCGTCGCGTTGAGCCCATGGTTGAGGACCCCAAGTAAGCATTGCACCCCGAAAACAAACACGAATCTTCTGATTTCTAATGTCTATTCAGCGCTGGTACGCATGTCACTCTCCACAAGGATGCCGCCTGGAAGGAGTCGTGGCGCGACTTCAAGGACTCGAACCCCATGATGCAGAAGCTTTTCACTCTGAAAGAAACCTACAACGAGTCGGAGAACCCTCTTATCAGTACCGCCCGCAGTATTTCGGACCGCGTTGCCGGGTTCTTCGCCGAGAATGAAACCGCCCAGGTTATCAAGAGATTCCGCGAGATGGACCCCAACTTCCAGATGGAGGCCTTCCTGAGAGAGATGCGCGAGTACATCCTCCCCGAGGTGCTCGATGCCTACGTGAAGGGAGACGCCGAGACACTGAAGCTTTGGCTCTCCGACGCTCAGTTCCATGTTTATGCTGCTCTTGCGCAACAGTATAGCACCGCCGGACTCAAATCGGACGGTCGTATTCTTGACATCCGTGGCGTTGACGTCTCCCACGCGCGCATGCTCGACCCTGGTGACATTCCCGTGTTTGTTGTGACTTGCCGTACGCAGGAGGTTCATGTCTACCGCAACGTCAAAACACAGGAACTCGCCGCCGGCATGGAAGACAAGGTCCAGCTGGTGACCTACGCCATCGGCCTGACCAGGATCCCCGAGGATGTCAACAACCCCGAGACCCGAGGATGGAGATTGATCGAGTTGCAGAAGGCTGCCCGTGATTATATCTAAAACTGCTACCGGACTCTTTTATCTTGCTTTTTCCCTTTTCGACGACTTACTTATATTTCGACCCGTGTCTTGATTATCGGCAATTTTCTCATGAATTCTTTTCCCCTCTATATCTATCTCCCTTCTCGAATGTTTTGATATCATCCGACTGTACAATACCGATTATTAAATAGAGACCAGGTGGAAGCGGCGCTTTATTTCTTATGTCTGAAGTAACCATGACTAATTTTCGTTGAATATTTTTTTTTTCCCTTCTCTTCGCCTGGTTTTTTGCTTCCTGTGGTGTGGTCGGTGTTTGGGGTTTCTGGATTTTCACCTACGCTCCACTCCTAAATTTGCATCTGGATCTTTGTCCAGCATGTTGTTGATCAATGTTGTTGAAAACTATAAATTTACAAGAGTTACATTACAAGTCTAGTTCTTTCCACTCATAAATAAGCTGGTTTAAAGTTCCCGGGCAATAGATGGAGGATTTTGCTGGAAGAAGTTCTGGGATAATTTTTCATCTGTCAGGGCATGAAATCGATGGTGGTCATCTCTATTAACTTCTCGATTGTTTTCATCGAGTGCGTATCAAGGCATAGGCAAGAGAAGCAAGTTCAACGCAGGAAATTTTTCGAACGAGGATAGAAAGGCTCTCAAGAGAGCGATGGGGAAATGGAAACATTGAAAGACAGAAGGTTCTTCATTTACTGGCCTTGGCCTCCACGGCCGGCACCTCCACCTCCCATGAAATTCTTGGCCCTATGAATATGAGTTAGCCGCCACGAGTCTCTCTAAGATCCAGCAAAGTAGTGAACTTACATATCGGCAAGGTTGGGGTCGTTCATCAACTGGGACATATCGGGCATGCCACCGCCTTGGCCAAAGTTCTCAGCCATTTGCCTCAACCGGGGGTTGCTCATGAGGTTGTTCATCATGTCCGGGTTGCTCATCAGGTTCTGGGCCATGCTAGAGAACATGGGGTTGTTCATGATCGAGCTGAGGTCAGGCATGCCACCGGCACCGCCACCTTGTCCGCCACCAGCGCCACCGAGCATGCTCGCCAGAGAAGAGAGATCGGGCATGCCGCCGGCACCACCGCGAGAGGCACCGGGGGCGTCGTCAACGGCATCAGCCGGAGGCTCAGTACCACGGCTCGCCTCCTCGATCTTTCTCTTGGTAGTCTCGAGACCACGCTTCATGGCATCGCTGCCACCGTTTCCTTCCGCCTCGATACCCTGCTCATAGGCCTCCTTGGCGCCCTTGTAGTCGGCCATGTCGAATCGCGCAAGGCCCAGACGGCTCCAAGCCTTGGAGTACTTGGGGTCGACGGTGGTCGCGAGCTCGGCATCCTCGGCGGCCTTCTCGTGCTGTCCGGAGGCAGAGTAGGCGGCCGCGCGGTTGGAGAGGTAGATGGGGTTGGCGGAGGCAACAGCCAAGGCCTTGGTGTAGGAGTCGATGGCGGCGTTGTAATCCTTGCGCGCCATCGCGGCATTTCCCTCCGACTTCAGCTTGTCGGATTCAGGCGTGGGAGCTCCGGCCTGGGGCTTCTGGCTCTCCTGAGAGGCCGAGCCAGCGGATTCACCGGAGGGCTTCTGGCGGAGCTTCTCATAAACACTGTAGATGCTCGCAAGCGACTGGCCACCCAGGGCATCCTTCACGGCGGCCTCATCGGAGGGATCAACTTTGAAGGTATCGGCGATACACGACTGGGCGATTTCGATCGATTCGGCGTCGTCGGCCGTCAGGGTGCCGTCCTTAACGCTGGCACCGAGGAAGTCGATGATCGCGAGCGCGAGGCGCTTCTTGGACTCGGTAGGAGCCTAGATAAGCAGGGCGATCAGAATCCAGTTCAGGGGAAGAGGAAGGAATGACACAGCATCTGATAAACCTACCATTTTTGAGATCGAAGAGGATAAAGGGGATGCAATGAGGCGAGTGTAGAAACTAGAAAGAAGAAAAGCGTCCAGTCGCGGGGGATTTCACTCACTGCGGGGGAAGCGAAAGATGGCCTGTTTGGTCCGTTTGCCTGCCGCACGTGATGGCCGCCGATCCCCCGAGGCTCTTCCAGCTCGACATCGTCACGCATCCTCCCTCATCCCCTCCCCTTCCCCTTCTTGATAGATCGAAGGCTTTGGATGGATATGGTCGGCACGTTTGGGATTGAATCTGTCCCGCGCCCGACAGAATAATCCCTCCGCCCCCTACGAAGATGACTCGGTGTGAGCTTGCTTTCCTCCGTGACTGCCGCACCTGCATCAAGCCATGTACTGGCCCCATGGAGTTCCGCGGGTCTATGCGATCAATGGCCCTGGAATTCCATTCACCGTCTCCGACGACGACGAGTCTATAGGACTGGAGAACTCCGTCGAGCAGTCGCTATCCCTCAATGACAATGAGCCCAAGAAACCGTCCGGTACGGAGTCAGCATGGGCGAATGAAGCCATTGGCGGCCTCTGCGTGTCGCGCACGGGTCATATGTTTGCGACTATGACCCACACATCGATTGCTTTGTGGCAGACGAGAGTATGTATTGGTTGCGCAGTGCGTGTCTGCATGTATATTGACCGAGTATCAGCCTACCGCCGTCGTCGCCGCCGTCACCCGGTCCACTTGGTCGCTCGAGACCTACGGTCCTAATGTAGCCCTACTGATGCATCCCGATTCCACCATTATCGTTGTACAGACCCAGAACGGCTACCTTCTGACCTACACGGTTGCTACGGACCCTCACAGCCGAGTGTATCAACAACACTTCGACCACTCTACTCAAAGACAGCTCGCGCGTCTGTCCGCAGAGGATGTCAATGGGGTTCGAGATGTCAGTATGCGATTCAGGATGGCCATTAAGATTGAATCTGGTATCGTTCGGGCTCTTGCCCTGGATAATGAACTTGTCGTGGCCACTGTGAAGCCGCCGGCAATCCAGTGCATCCGATGGACCCCGGACGCCAGCGGCTCGCAGACCACCTCGGAGCTATTGAGCCGGATCCTGGGTGTGTCCAAGCGGACGTCGATAGCGGACATGGTGTATGATCGTGCCATCAACCTCCTGGTATGGATCACCAATGATGGACAAGCATATGCGGTCCAGCGCACATTAAACGGGGCGCAGGAGCCCGGGGCGCCCAAAAAGCTTTTCAACGGACACTGCTTCCATAACCCCAAGGATGATGGGGAGAAGGCCGTCAAGGTCGCCGTGAATGCCCGGTTTTCACTGCTGACGGTGAACTGCGCCAACGGCGAGGTCTTGGTGTACACGGCAAAAGACTACCTGGGGAATGTACCCCTTTCTCACAAACTCCAGTTGCCCGCCTCGCCGGTAACTACCGGGAAATTAAATTTCATGTGCTACTCGCCCGATGGATATTGTCTGTTTGCCGGTTACGATCGCGGGTGGACCACATGGAGCGTGTTCGGGAAACCCGGAGGCAACAGTTTTACGGCAGACCGGGAGCTCGCCAAAACCAACTCCGAGGATTGGTTGAATGGGACGTCGTATGGTTGTTGGATCGGCGGAGGCTCCGACATTATATTGGCAGGGATGGAAGACCGACGTCTGTGGATCTTGGAAACAGCTCGCAGCGCCCTGACTGGCTGCTTTTCTTCGGCAAATCTCGCCAGAGGCCTTCTGCAGACAGGAACGGAGGTCATCCTATATCGAGGCCATGACCTGCCCGACCTCATGACCATCTCGGGCAAAGACTCGTTGTGGCATCATGCTCAGTACCCACAAAGCTACCTTCATTCCCAGTGGCCCATCCGGTCCAGCGTCGTGTCGCAGGACGGACGTTATGTCGCCGTCGCTGGCCGGCGAGGCCTTGCTCACTATAGCGTGAACAGTGGACGGTGGAAAGTGTTCGAAGACTCGAAAGTCGAGAACTCTTTTGCAGTCCGGGGCGGCATGTGCTGGTATGGGCATATTTTGATCGCCGCCATTGAAAGTGACGGGTCATACGAGGTAAGCTGGTTGTTCATTGGATGTTAAACCATGTCTAACACTACAGCAGCTGCGATTATATTCCCGGGAGCAGCCCTTGAACAATCAGTCGATTTTGCACATAGAATATCTTCCCTCGCCGGTGGTTTTCATCGGGCCATCGGGCGAGGACTCCATCCTTGTTTATACCTACGACAACATCTTATACCACTACATCATCTCTTCTGTGAATTCTCGAATCTCGTTGGTCCCGGTTGGTCAGATCGCTTTTAACGGCATTGTGCGAGCCCCAACTCGAGTACGCGCAATCAGCTGGGTGTTACCAGAGGATCAACTGCGTAAGTGCAGCCCGGATTATGGGGTCAATGGCGTTCTTTCTGACTCTAGCAGGCAATGGCGACCCATCGCAAGATGTAAAACAGGCCTCGGTGCTTCTTTTAGTCGATGGAAACCTCGTGTTGCTCCAGCCATCGACGTCGGACGCCGGGGACTTGAAGTATGACATGAGAGTGGTTTCCCACGACGTCGAATACTACATCTTGATGCGAGATCAGTTCTCATTCAACTTCGCGCCGTCGACGGACGAGTCTCTCCCGTCCAGTCCGTCGGCTGAGATGACACTAAACATGTACCACCACAATTTGTCCCTGAGAGACTCTCTCTGGACCTTCTGCGGCAGAGATCTGCTGGCCTGGGGCGATGTGCAAGATGTCCTGCGCCGGGAAGACGTTCCCAAGGCGATCGAGATCCCACTGGACTTTTACCCGCTGTCGGTATTGTTGAACAAGGGGATAGTTTTGGGGGTGGAATCCGAGATGATGCAACGGCGTGACGTTACCTTTGCGGTACTAAAATTTGCCATCCGAGTGAGTTTTTCTATCTTTTTCTTCTGGAGTGGAGGACTGACGATGAACAGAGCCATCTATTCCTGCCCTACCACTTGCAGCACTGTCTGGTCAATGGGGACATGCCAGCCGCACTGTCGCTCTGCCAACACTTCTCGCACCTCTCCTACTTCCCACACGCTCTTGAAGTCCTCCTCCACCACGTCCTCGACGAGGATGTCGACAACGAAAGCCGCAACAGCAAAGTCGACGACCCGTCCTTGAAACAAGAGCCCCTCCTCCCTTCCGTCATCTCCTTCCTCCAAGCCTCCCTCCCCGCCCGCGTCTACCTTGATATCGTCGTGCAATGCACACGCAAGACCGAGCTCCGGTCCTGGCGCACGCTCTTCACCTACCTCCCCCCGCCGCGGGATCTCTTCGAACAAGCCCTCCGACTGAACTCCCTCAAGACGGCCGTCGGCTATCTCCTGGTTCTGCAGGCCTTCGAGGACGAGGAGGGCCACGAGGCGCCCATTGAGGACTACGTGGTGCGGCTGATGGCGCTGGCGTCCCAGAAAAGCGAGTGGGAGCTGTGCGCCGAGCTGGCGCGGTTCTTGATCGCGTTGGACGGCACGGGCGAGATGCTGCGGCGGGCGGTTTCGCGCGCAGGTCTGCGCAATCCCGGTGGGTATGCCGGGACGGGCAGCGTCAAGGGACTGGGGTTGGGAGGGTTGACGATCAGTCCGTCGTGGTCGTCGCTGTCGCCGACGTCGTCGATATCTCCGCGGCGAAGTCCGAAAGAAGAGGAGTTGCCTTGACAGGGGAATAGGGGGTGTGTACATAGGTAGATAGATGGTTTATTGATCTCGACTGGCTGCTGTTTATACCTTGGCTTTACTGGTTTCTTATGTACTTCATACTGTACTTTCCTACAGCTTCTCATTTTATAAGCAAACTATAGAGAATATCTATACGGTTCAATTCATTCAATCCCATCATCATCATCATGACAAATGCCATACATAAAACAAACAATTATCAATTCAAACAATTCATATCATCAATCATCCCTAACCCCCCACACCCCCTCAACACCTCCCCCAGAAATCAAACAGCATCTAATCCAAACTCAACTTCCACAACCCATCTCCCAAATAATGTCCCTCATCAATCGCCACCCCCTTCCCCTTACTCTTGATCTCCTCGGTGCCGACGCACAGCGCCCCCACCAGACAAGCCGTCTCCTTCCCCTCTGCCATCACGGCCACCACGTCTCCCTTCTCCAGCTTGTGTTCGGCGTCGGGCAGTTTTCCGCCGGCGGACGTCAGGCCAGGGGCCATTAGGGCTGCGCCGGAGAGCACGAAGCGGATGGCGCCGCGGTCGATTTGCACCGTGGGAAGCGCGGAAGGATACGCGTGAACGAGGCGGAGGTGGGGGAGGGGAGGGCCGTCGAGGGGTTGGAAGAAGAGGGGGGTCGAGTCGATGGTGTAGAGGGTGCATTTGTCGGGTCTATTGTCCATAATTAGTTGTGTGGTTGTGTTATGTTGGTATAAGTGGTGGGTATGAGGGGATGGGTTGGGGAGGTGGCATGAGTGAGTAAATGAATACTCTCTCTCCCTACCCCTCTCGATCTCTTGATCTCATGATCTCGAACAGAGAATACCCCAGACACACAAAAAAAAAAAAAACACAATAACAAGAAGGAAAGGTAAACATACAGCTTGACCGCATCCAACTGCGCCTTCTTCGGCAGGATCTCTTCAATGAACGGTTCGAACCCGGGGTGCGCTTCGACGAACCGTTGGCGCAGACCGCGCTGCACGGACGACTTGACCTTCGAGCGCTGGCTCGTGGGGATACTATCATTTCGTCCGTGTTAGTGAGGTCTCATTCTGGTTCTGGATTCTTTCTCCCTCTTGGCTTTTTTTCATGATGCTCGTCTGTCTCTGGGTCGGGTTGTCGGGTTTTGTTTAAACATTGTTGTACGCGGAGTGAAGCTGGATGAGCCATGGGTGTGGTCTTATAGACTGGACCTCGCTCTGGGCATAAAATGACTTACTCTTTCTTGAACATTTTGTCTGGTGGATCTGGATTGAACTGAGCAGATCAGATCAGTTTCTGGCAAGAGCTCGAGGGGTTGCGCCGACGCGGGGAAAGGATTGCCGCGTCACGTGTGCAGATACTGCCGGACATAATCGGAGGGTGAAAGGCGGAAGGCAATTTGCGGTGTTTACTGGCAGCCTCAGGTCTACTTCAAAGTGCATACAGAATTACAGATACGGAAATCAAAGATTGAAACTGGTAGATCGTACGTCATGCATTCTTTTATCGTAACTATGAATGATGATACTATTTAACCACGAGCAGCACCCGCCTTGATCAGGAGCACGTCGCCATCCTCCACGACGTAGTCCTTACCCTTGGTCATCACCTTACCGGCGGCCTTGACGGCACCTTCATCACCGTACTCCCGCAGGGTGCTGTAGTTGTACACCACAGCCTGGATGAAGGTCTTCTCAAAGTCGGTGTGAATGACACCCGCGGCGGCAGGAGCCTTAATACCCTTACGGATGGTCCACTGGCGCACCTCGTCGGTACCGGTGGTGAAGAAACTGGCCAGGTTCAACACCTGACGCATGGTAGTGATGACCTTGGGCAGCGACGACTTGGTGTTCAGCTGCTTGCACTCCTCCTCGACCTGGGCGTCGTTCTCGAAGCGAGTCAGACGCTCCTCGAACGACACGGAGATGGGGATCAGAGGGTCGCCCGGGGAGTTGGCCTTGATCCACTCAAAGACCTTGGGAAGATACTTGTTCTTCTGGCGGATGTAGTCCCGCTCACTCAGGTTGACCAGGTAGACAACCGGCTTGGCAGTGAGAAGCATGAGGGGGTTGATGACCTCGACCTGAGATACCAAGTTAGTCAATGGTAAAACTCGCATAATGAGTGATCAAAACATAATGGATCAAAAAATATCAGTTGGGACGTTATCTCAATGTGGCCTCGAACGTTGGAATTAAAAAAAAATGAGGCCACTCGACGAGCTGGGATTATCGAGCAATAGCTCTTATTCATCATAAAAGGTGTGGTAACAAGAGAAAAAGAAGAAAAAAAAAATCAGATGCATACCTCCTTGGGACCCCACTCGCCCTTACGGACGTCATTGCCCTCCTTCAAGAACTCCAGCACCTTGGCGACGGTAGCCTCCTCCTCACGGAGCTTCTTCATCTCCAGAGTCTGGCCACCACGTCGCGTCTGCTTGCCGAGGGCCTCCAGAGCCTTCTCGGTGAACTCGATATCCTTGATGCGCAGCTCCTCGTTGATGATGGTCAGATCCCGGATGGGGTCGACGTCACCCTCAACGTGGATAATCTCGGCGTCATCGAAGCATCGGACGACCTGGAAGATAGCGTCGACGGCACGGATGTGCGACAAGAAAGAGTTACCCAGACCGGCACCGGTGGAGGCACCGCGGGTCAGACCGGCGATATCGTAAACCGTCAAGTTGGCAGGGACACGCGACTTGGGGTTGTAGTGCTCGCACAACCAATCGTAACGCTCGTCGGGGACGACGACGCGCGCCTCTTCGGGATCGATGGTGGCATAGGGGAAGTTGGCCGGGTTACCCAGCGACGACTTGGTGATGGCTTGGAACAGAGTCGATTTACCGACGTTGGCCAGACCAACCTAAGCAGGACGGAAGGTTAATGACATGATTCAAAGCAATTGAATCGGTGACCTCAAGAATTACATGGTCACGATGGATGGTGAGAAGGAAGAAGGAAAGAGGAAAATTTTTCAGTTGTGTGGAAATAAATAGGGGAGAGTGGAAAAAAAAAAAAAAAAGGGAGCTAAGGCTGGGTGGCTGGGTAACCAACCCATGCCAGAAGGGAAACAAAAAAAAAAAAAAAAAAAAAAATTAAAAAAAGAGAGGGCGGTGGGGGGAGATAGCTCACATACGATACCACTCTTCAAGTTGTTACCCGGACGGCCCAGGAGCACCTTCTCTTGCACGACGGCCTTCTTGGGGGGCATTTTGGACTTGGATTTCTTTTTGCTGGAGTAGGAACGACGACAGGAGAAGGAGTAGAGGGGGGAGGAGAGTGACGGAGAAGAGGAGGGGAGACGACAAGCGACGCGGGGCAGAGAGTGAAAGCGCGAAGCCAAAGCAGGACCAGCTGCAGAAGAAGGGAAGAGGGGAAGAGAAAGAAAAAGAAGGACGGAGGAGGGGCGGGAGGGAGACAGAGTGGCGGTTGGCCCAATGACGTGGGCTGAGAATACTTTACAAGATGTTCGTAGTGTACAGTGAGAACCTTAGGACTTAGTAGAGTGGTACTCTGTAGAAGATGAGACGCTCGCTAATCCCGTGTGGGCTTGTTATTCACCGCCCACGTGACCACTGAGCCCTGGTCATCACCTGATCGGCCATCGTGAACTACTATGAATGATAACATAGTAGGTGAATAGGTACTGCTCACTAAAATATAATACATCGGCACGATAAATCCAGTAGAATCACAAGCAATCAATGTCCTGCCTGCCCCCGTAAACTCCGTAGAACGCCCTCCCATCTCCTCTTACGGTTCCATCGCTTCGCCCGCCTCCGACTCATTCTCCACCACCCCCAGTAGCTTCGCATATGGCACCGTCACCCGTTGCAGGTCTCGGTGTTTACCTATCATCAAGTCAGCGAGAGAGTCCTCCAATTCCAAAATCCCAGGGGCCAAACTTACCCAGCGCCAGAATCACCTCCTTCAGCAGCACCTCTCGTGGCCAGCCACAGAGGGTCTCCGAGCTCTCGCCCCAGTTGCGGTCCTCCTGTTCATTCGCCTGCAGTCGTTTCCCGCTGCCAGCCTCCTCCTCTTCAAACAGTCCCCCGATGAGTCCCTTCAACAACTCCTCCACCTTCACCTTGAGTCCCTCCGCGCCGATGCGCTTAGCGTACATCGACAGATACAGCCGGAACTCTTCCCTCGCGCCCAGGGACAGCGCCGCCGCTAGTCGGTTCTCCAGGTGCGCAATGGACACGCTGGACTCGAAACTCTCGTAGCCCTCGCGCGACAGCAGGACCTTGATCAGCCGCTGGAGAAAGTACGCCCGTCCGCGCAGCAAGGTCTCGTTGGTCGTGTTGCGCTCCAAGAACGGGATGATGCCCGCCGACACCGTTGCCTTAGCTTCCCTCTCCTGCTGCGAATCCGTCGACTGCAGATTACCCACCGGCGCGTCCGTCGTATTCCAGTACTGGCTGCCGACTGCCCACCACGCCTCCGAGATGCGCTGCCACGTGTACATGGCCGGCGAGTAGGTGTATCCTTCGCCATTCGACAGCGCCACCACCACCCGGCCCTCCGAGTTCACGCGGGCATTCGTTACCGCCGGTGCCGCCGACGGGTGCGCCCCCAGCGTGTGCACCGCCGCATCCAGCACCGGTTGCAAGGAGATGGGAGGGTGTGGCGAGGAGAGATGCTGCACGTTCCAGATGTAGCACATGCCGACGGCGGAAATGGCCAGGAGCCACGGCCCGTTGCATTCCAGGATCACCGGCTGCGCCTCCAGCACCAGAGCGCTGACGAGACGGCGGCCGGCCGGAGTCCAAATGTAAATAGATCCGTCTTCACAACCTGCAGCCCACATGTGCTGGTTACCCGTCACAAGCAGAACCGGGCGTGGGAGGAAGTCCTGCCAGACGGGTTGTTCACCCCGCGACAGTGTCAGTCGCACCGGTTCTCGATCGACAGCGCGGCCCGTCAAGCTGGCAGGAGACGGGTTGCGCGCCTCGAACACCACGTCCACCCGCGACTTGCTGGATTCGGCCGCTGTGCCCGGCGGCTCCGTGGGTTTCCCGGCCGAGTCGATGGCCCGAACGATCTGGCTACGGACCTTGGGAACCGCCATTCGAAGTTGACTCATCGCCATGGACGGGTTGACAACCGCAGGGCGGATAAAGTCGGGCGTGGGTTGCTGTCCCACGGAGGGGGGTTGTGGTTGTGCCGGGAGGAGACCGTCGGGCGTGTTGGCAAGAATCGGGGTTGCGCCGTTTGCGCTTGCCACGGCGACTCGCTTTTCCACATGGCCGTCGTCGTCCCCCTCTAATTGAGCAAGTTTTCGTTTGTTGCCAAACAGCAGCGACGCCAGCCCCCCTTTTGGTAGGCCGTCGAAGGGTTTGGAGAGATCCACAATGGACTGGGGTGTGTCGGCCTTCACTTGGTTGCTGACCGACGCCATGAGCCGTGCTTGGGGCAGCGAGGATTCGGCCGCCCCTGCACCGGACACCAGAAGGGGTGCAATGCGCTTCTTGCCGTCCTTGGTGTAGGTCGGACGTTGCTTCAGCCTTTCCAGCTTGGCCTGGTATGGGTCGGGCTTTGGCGCCTCGGGGGCGGCCGGGGTCACTGAGGTGCCGTTGGGTTGGTTCTTCGGGGTTTCCGCAGGGGGCGACGCAGCTCGGGCTGGGGTGACTCCATTCGACGGCAACGGGGTCGACTTCCCGTTAACGGCGTTTCCTGAGGCCGCGTGGTCATCGCCCATCAAAGCGCCCATTCTCCCTTCGACGTCCTTGATCTCCCCGGCTTTACTCTTTTCCTCCAGTAGCAATCCATCCGTAGTCTCCGCAATGCCAGCACCCCTCCGATTCGTACCGAATTTGGTGAGCGACTTCTCGTTCTCCTCCATTTCCATGGGATACCCAAGATCCCCGTCTTCGAACCGTATCGCCAAGATCGTTCCGTCCAGGGCGGTTGCGTAGAGACATTTACCGTCGGGGCTCCATGCCAAATCCGATAGGGACTTGGCCGCTAGCTCTTGGGCGACCACCAGTGGTCGAGGGTTACTCGTGATCCAGATGCTCAAGGACTTATCGCCTCCGGCACAGGCAATGACTGTGACGGAGGGCGGCGCATGGCCGTCGGCAGTCTGTTGGTTGATCGGTGTATACAGTCGGGGAGAGAACGCGCACACTTCCACCGGAGCTTCATGTCCGATCAGGTTGATATCCCCGTCCCACGTTCCACGGTTGATGATAGCCACAGAGCTGACGGGTCCGTTCACGGCATTCGCGGCCGCGATATGCATACCATCCGGAGACCACGAGCATCGACGGAAATAGGCGGTGAGGGGGGAATTATTAAAGGGGTCCAGGATACTGGTTTCGAGGACGAAATTGTTCATCTGATCATGAGCCGTCGAGTTCGGCGTCGGGGAGGTAAATCGGAAGATGCGAACGGTACGGTCATCGCTAGCCGTGGCGAAGTATTTGTTCGCCGGATCGAAGGTGATGCCCTTGACATGACTCTGGTGCACCGACAGAGTCTTGAGCTTCTCGAAGGTATGCCCTGACCAGACCACCACCTTAGAATCCAGGCCGACAGACACCAGAATTGAAGAATCGTACGACCATCCCAGGTCCTGAACGTCGTTGTCATGCCCGATCAATCTGCGAGTTGTGCGCCAATTCTCTACCGGCGGTGCCTCGTTCGAACCTAAAAAGATATCCCAACCACCATCAGCTCCGCGTCACACCTCCCCAGGAAAAAACCTTAGCCCCTCTCCGCACTTACCGAACGTTGAAGCATGGGAAGGCGCATTCGCATCCAGAGCGTAGATACAAACAATCTTATCGTCGGCGCCCGACGCCAAGTATTTCCCATTCGGCGAAAATCTAACGGTGTGTATCGTTCCGGAGTGGTTGCTCATCGACGCCAGTTGTTTCGGCTTGTTCGCGACCTCGGGGTCGTCCGTATTGCAGATCGCCTCCGTGGACCAAATTCGAACATATCCATCTGTGTATCAAGAAGCGAATGCGCAAGTCAGTCCCCATAGTCTATACACCCGTCCCCAGCCCTGCAGTGGAAAGGGGTCTGTCTCCGCAGGAGCAAACGTAGAAACTGACCTCCGGCGGCCGTCACGAGTCGGCTTCCATCGGGCGAAACATCGCAACTGTATACTTCGAAATCTTTTCTCTCGCCTGTAGATCGAAAGAGGGGGTGTTAGCCAACGTTTCGTTTCCTCAAGTCCGCTCGCATATCTGTTGTATTCGGCCCCAGTCCTCCTTCGCAAACCGGGGGGGAGAAAAGGTCCAAGTACCTCCATGCGTGAGCCAAACTGGCTTGATAATATGCATCGTCGCAATCTCGTAACTCCCTCGCTAGAACCGGAGAACGCTTCCTTTATGCGTAAATGTGTTGGGGGGTTCGATTACTGGTAAATTGACGTGGACGAAGGAGAGCTTCCTGGGGACATCGCAACGCAACCGTGTCGACAGCTCATCGAACCACAAGGCTGATTTCGGGGTCGGATAGAGCTTCGAAATAGAAATGGATGATTGACGGAGCTAAAGTGAGTCTGCAGGGAGATCCAAGCACGGTGTCAAGAGCAGCGGGGAAGGAGAGGAGAAACGCGAATGGTTCAAGAAAGGGCCGATGGAGGGCGCGCCCGATTCCCTTCAAGTCGCGATCTTCCGGGGTCCGAGCTTTCTGCCCTTCTCCGCCCGCATGTACAGTACATCCACTTCTACCTTCCAGTATTTACAAGGGCCAAACCGTTCCACTGCGTCGCCTTCATTCGTGTTGATCTACTGTACAGCCTAGCCCCATACCAGGTACATGCAAAGTAATAGAAACAGTCCTCGCTCCAAATTAGCTGCCCGCAACACCCTCTAACAATAGTACATACATGGACCATATCGAGTCCCCTTTTTTTACTTTTTTTTTCTAACTTTTGCAATCGCATACTTTTGACTTCAACGCGCTGGGGATATTGTCTAGCAGTCAAAGACAGACAAGAATAACAGGCGAAGAATACACGAGGTGGGAGGGAGGTGGTTTCATACTCGTCCAGAGGCAATCATAAGAGTAGGGAATTAGAAAATACAATTCACAGGGGAGAAGGGCCAGGTAGATATCAAATAGAAAGGGAAAATCAATAGTTGCGGATGATCACTCAAGACTTTCCAGTTCACCGACTCTGGGTGGTCTGGTCGAAACTCTGCAACACATCTCTAACGACACCGTCCTTGCCAGTCTGCTGTTCCGAGTTGGGCGTCTGATCATGCTCTGACTTGCGGGATGAGGACTCCACCGAACCTGGTGCTTGCACTCCCAGAGACTTGGCCGCGATGCTCTTCGCCTGGCTGCCGGTGACATTGCCGTAGACAGCCATGGCGTTCGCAATCATTCCACCCAGGTCACCCACATTACCGGGGACGACCACCGAAGTACCTTCCTTAGCCAATTTCGAGAACGCGTCCACGTACTTCTCAGCCACGCTGAGACTGACAGCTGCGTGGGCATTCTCCTTGCCGGCTTCGATAGCCCGAGCCACGGTCTCGACGCCGCGGGAGGTGGCCTGCGCGCGCAGAAGAATAGCCTCGGCCTCACCATCGGCACGGTTGATCTGTTCGGCCCGCATGGCCTCCGAAGCTAGAATGACGGACTGCTTGCGACCCTCGGCGATGTTGATCGCACTCTGTCTCTGGCCTTCGGACTCGAGAATCTCGGCGCGCTTCGACCGCTCGGCCGTCACCTGGCGATGCATGGCAGCCACCACACCCTCGGGGGCATGGATATCCCGGATCTCGTACCGCAGGCAGACCACGCCCCAGGCCTGGGCCGCCTCGTTGATGGCTTGCGTGATGTTGGTATTTAATGTCGCACGCTCCTTGAGCACATGGTCGAGTGTAAGCTGGCCGATTTCCGAACGCATCGTGGTCTGCGCAAGCTGGGAGATGGCATACTCGGCATCCTCGACGCCGTAGCTAGAAAGAAAGTAAACCGGCATTCGTTAGCCCCCATATCCTCGTTTACAATGTCAAATGAACAGAAGTCCACATAAATAACTCACCTGGCCTTGTAAGCATCGAAAACCCTCGTATACAGCACACCGTCAAGCTCCAGTGTCACGTTGTCCGCCGTAATAGCATTCTGGCTGGGTATCTCGATGGCCGATTCCTTCAAGCTCTTCACGTAGGCGATGCGGTCGAGGAACGGAATCAGAATCGCAAGACCGGGATCCAGGATGCGGTGGAACTTTCCCATGCGCTCTACAATCCACGCGGTCTGTTGGGGGACGAAACGGACGACGGTGTTCATGGGAAGTGCGGAGTGATTCGCAAAGTAGGAGGGCACGCCGCCCGTCGCAGGACCACCTCCAAAGTTCAGGAGAGACTGTTCGGGTGCCAGTTTTCGAGATGATGAGGAGACATTTCTTCGTTGAATGCGGTTCAGGGTGTTCGTGGTTGTGAGACTGGAGGCAGGAAGGCGAGAATTATGGAGTAACCGATAGGAGCTGCGGGGGAGAGACCGGAGCAGCCTCGATGTATGTCTGGAGGCCACATCCATGGTAGGAAATGATATTACCGACAAATAAATCCCAAAAGCGCGGCGGAGGGGAATTTTGAGGTTAGATGAAGCTACCTTGAGACGTGAAGCTGGCCGCTCCGGCGTTCATCACCTGCCGGGATTGGTAGCCTGAGGCAGCTAACTATGTATGCTGAGTCATCATGTCTTAGTTAACGTATTTCCCCACCGAGTCGGCCACACCACCGAGTCGGCCACCGCCTACCAACTTCTAATTACTAGGGCCTTTA